TCTTTCATTAATAAAATTTCTAAATTTACTATATAAGAAAATATTAAATATAAGAGCAGAAATAGAGTTATTATATCATCAAATTACCTCCAATCTCAAGATTAGAATTGTTAATTTGAAAGCCAAATAAAATTAAAATCCTGTTATAATATATGAAATCTCTCTTTTTTATATATATAATATATTCAAACTGATTTTTCTACTTTAATGTTATTTTAATGTTCGTTTTAAACAAGACTTTTAACTATTTCACTTTATTATAGATCTTGTTTAGATTAAATAAAAATACTAAAATAATTAATTAATTAATTAATTAAAATCGAATAATTATAAAGCATATTAGTTGTAATTTAAAGTAACGCGTGATCAGATTAAGAACTTCATATTTATAGATTAAGCTTTCAAACTTGCTGATTTATTAATCATAATATTTTAAATTTAAACATCCTAATTTTAGAGTAATTAGAAGTGCCTTAAAGAAGCATAAAATTCTGTGATCTAAAGCGATTTATTCTTATTTTAGAATTTTAGATGCTTATTCTTATAAGTAAAATAATTGAAAAGCTTTCTTGATAATATTATGATAATACAAACAGGGCATCCTTAGAATAAATGAATTTGATATAAAACTTTCATATTATTTGAATGAATATCATATTCACGTATATCGTCATTATTATTCTAACATTAGTTACAAAAGTATTAAATAATAAAATAATTTTTTTTATTTAAAACAGGGTAATTATATATAGTATCAAAAATATCTTGATTTTGATTTATTTTTCATAATGATCTCCAAATTCTATCCAAATATTCAAGGAATTGAAAATACTATAAGAAGTTCATCTAGACCTCAATTTTTATGCCTCTGGCTCTTTTCTGTTGATTGGCTTGCTGTTAGTGATGGAAATATGTGCTAGATGATTCATCAGGCTCCTTCGACTTTTCCCAATTCTCTAAAAATTGCCTTTTGTAAGAATAAAAAATTAAAAAGACAATTCATTCTTCATGAATACTAGTACTATACTTCTGTAGTAAATGAAATTTTTATAGTATTTGGAATTCTTTGGAAACATTTCTTAGTCTTTAGAGACCATTATTTCTAATCTCAATTATTTGATTCCACATTTACCCCAAAAATTGAGTTGTATAAGTTACAACTTTAGTGATGTTGACTAAAAGTTTTAAATATTATTAATTGCAAACATTAAGATTGATTTACCATTTATACTAATAATTAATTAATAATAATCACGTAATCTGAGCAGTACATAAATTATGATTTTTTAATAATAATTTAAATAATTAAATTCAGAGAGTCTATTTAAATACATTTTATGAGTTTATTTTAAATTGAAATAAGAGAAGGATTTATAAGAAATTCATAATTAAAATAATATTTTTAATTATTTAAGATCGATAATTCAACCCTTACCTGCGAAAGATGTCATGTTTGCTAATGTAGATTACAAAATTCTCAATTTTCTTTAACTTGCAATAACATCAGTTTCTAATATTCCCTACTTTACCATTTTCTTTGCCTAATATAATTATAATTAATTTAAAGTTCTAAATGTTGAAAATTTCTAATTGACTTCCATATTCATTGATTATAATTAACATCCTAAATGTTGTTTCCAAATAGCTATCATTGGTGTACTATTATCACCTAAACCTAATTAATCTAATATTTTCATCAAAGCTGCTCTTCCCTTTTATATAGCTTGAAAATAAGGATTAGTTGAATCCAATCCAACTTCTTATTTTGCAAAATCTAAATCACATCTTCTAGCCATCAACGCATACATATAAAGCATGTATTTCATATGAGGATGATTATTATAATAATATGTTGCTATTTTATTGATTAATTCTTCTGGAACTCTATCCCAATATGCTAATTCCGGATGAGTAAAAGAGCATCTATCACTATTACAATAAGCTTGAACGATGGCTCTCTAATTCTTTATGCTTTCAAAAGGTCTAGCAATCTCTCTACTACCTGCAAAATTGAAAGACTCAACCATAGTTCTGACCACTTAATTTTTCACATACAAATCATTATATTCTTTAGTCTTTTACATGGCTCTTTAAGGAACTCCAATTACATTATCTAATTTTAATTAAGAATCTACCTAATTCAAATAAAAAATCCATATATTCATATGAAGGTTCAAAATCATCACTATAATTAATATTAGATAATCCATTTAATAAAAATGTAAAGGCTACATCTTCACTAGCAAACTCAGAGGTGAAATAGTGTCCTTAGATAGTTCTTATATGTCTTTTTCGTTATGCTCTAGTTAATGCCTAATATTTTGTATGGATCAAAGTATATGGTCCACCTCCTCTTTCTGGAGTAATACCCTATCCCATATAAATGTATTTTTCTGGATTCCTTTTATATTCTCTCATATTTCTAAGTTCAGTCAAGATCAATCCATCTCTTTATCTTGTGTCACTACTTGCGATCATAGTTATTTTAGAATCAGTATTGTTTGTTGAAGAAAAGGTTTCCAATAAAGGTACTATTTCTACATTCTAAACCTTATATTTATTGATTAGATCATTCACTAAATCATATTATGATTAGGTTTTGAAATTAGCAATAATAACCATATCTGCTGCTTGTCCATTGGCATTTAAAAGTGAGATTTCTTTGAATATATTTTTAATCATCGGTTTGATTGAATTAAGCTTAAAAAATTACTAAAATATTAATACATCTGTTAAATCTTCACCAGCCAATCTAATTTGTCCCAATACTCCTGTTAATCTGAAAATAGAATAGAGTTTCTTTAACTTTAATGCAATAAAGTATTCTTTAGAATCATCATTTTTAGCCAATATATGATCTAGAATTTAATTAATTTAATCTTCTATCTTTTTGATATTAAAAATAGGCATTTATTAATAAAATTCTTCAAGTGAAATCTCCTTCTTGACCCTAAATTTATCACTTAAATCTCTTATATTTTTACTATAATCTAAAGCTTATTAATATAATTCTAAAATCTTTTTAAAATCTTCATTATCCTCTAATTTAGCTTCAGCAATATATTCCTTATATTATTATATCGTCAAATCAATTGTTAATCCATGTGTAAAAGTCATGATACCAATTTCCTAATAAATAGAAATGAAATGTCTACCATTCCTGGATGATTGTCGAAATCAAATGTTAACCAAGTACCTGGAGTTTCAAAATATAGTTCTGGGTTCTACAAACCTAATTCATAAGCCTAAGCTACAGCCTTTATAAGATTAGGTAAATATTAGGAATGATATATTAATGATTCCTCAATATAAGAAACTTTCTAAATAATAATAATATGGATAATTTTACATTAAATACTCTTTATTTGTTTGATTAAATAAATAATTTGGCAGCATACTTTAGATACTTGTAATCATTTTATTCAATCCCTTGTAGCATTCTACTTATAGCAATCAACTAGGTCAAAGAATTAGGTTAAGTTGGATGTGATGTGAACACATACTTAACTCTATTAATTTTTTACTAAAATTTTATATATAAATATATAGATACTTTATCTCGTTGATTAAAATATTCGATAATTCTAAATTAATCAAGATATTCATATCTAGCATAATGACTGCTTAGTCTATCAAATATCATTAAGCTATAAATATGCCATAATAATGATTCTGGTAAATCCTTTTCTTCACAAGTTAAGTTCTCCATTTCTTTTCCTTAATATGTATTATCAAAATAGATGGACAAAGCATCTTGAAATAATTGTGTTTCTTCTTATGTTAAGTTATCAATATATGCATCTAAGAGTTATAACATTGTCTTCTTCTTTCTAGGGTTAATGTGTCTGAAGTAATTATTTCCAAGATCCATTAATCTAATTGGAGATTATTCAAGTAATGGTTCTTCTTGTATGAATTTTTAAATTTCTACAATAGAGCACCTTTTATCACTAAAATTCATTGAATATATAATTACTCTGCATTTGCTGCAATCCAAAGCATGTCATTTTCTCTTAATTATTTTTCTTTGACATTCTCAGACAACAAATATTTTGGCAAGTATCTCGAGGCTTAGTACAGGTGAGTTGCATTTTTAAGGTAGGATGTAATCGATCGTATCATATATTTTTAAATTAATTATAATTTGTTCTAGAATAGTGAGATATAATACTGATAATTTATTAGGGTTGTTGATAATATAAAAATTAAATAACAGAGTAAGTCTAATTATATGATATTGATAAAGACTTTGAAGTTTGGAATTTGTCTATTTGAGTTAATAAGCAAAAATTATATTGATAATTATTTTGATTAGAATTGTTAATCTACAAAATTAATTAAAGTAATAATTAAATTAGATTGAATGATTAAGATAAAATAGCATATATCTAATTGTATAGTTAATATTGTAATTGAATTATAATAAACTTATAGTTGCAAATAATGATTTTTGGTTATTTAAATTTATATTAATTATTATCATCATTAAAATTAGATTTATAAAATTTATTTTTATACTTTTGAGTCATTCAAAATCTTCATTAATTATGTTATTTTAATAAGATTTTTACTTAAATTATAGTAATCATAATAGAATCTATTTTTTTTATAAATATAACTAAGTATCATTTTTTGAAAATATCTCTTAAATTATAGTTAACTATTTTGAATGTAGAATTACACTAATTTTAGATTTCTATATTAACATTATTATGTTATCACATTCTGGCAATAATGAAAAAACATAAAATATTCTATTTAAAATTAGTTATAATGGATATCATTCTCATATTAAATTAAGAATTAAGTTTTTGCTTTTATATAATTTTTGATTGAATATGAGGACAAGATCTAGAAGGTTAATGATTAAGTGAAAAAGAACTAATATTCATGATATAAATTATTGCCGTTTTCATACAAACCTCTTTATATTTGAAGTTTAAGTTTAGGATATTATATGATCAAAACATATATTTAAAGTGAATATTTATTAGAGTTAAATGTCAGATCCACTTGAATTATAATAAAATATAAAAATTAAAGCATTTTTATTTTCAAGAGAAGAATTAATACATATAATGAATAAAATAATATTAATTGTTTCCTTGTTGCTAGTATTTGTATCAAGTCAATAATACAGTATAACACAATGCAATTGTACACAATTACAATCTGAGGGAGATTGTATTAAAAATGTTTCACCAGTATGTTAATGGGATAGTACAAAAAAGGCATGTTAAATTTCAAATACAACTGTCACTCCAATTCCTAGTTATGCAACATATTGTGATTCATTTGCTGAAACTGATTGTCCAAAAGCGGCACCTTGTACTAATTGTGGAAATTATTCAGCTTGTGCATGGGTAGAGGGCAAATGTACATTTTTTACAAGTTGTACAGCATTTGCTAAAAAATCAGATTAAGAATGTTAAGCAATAAGTAATAGATGTATATCAGATGGAACTCATTGTGTGGAAATAGATGATTGCACTACTTATAAAAAATAAATTGTTTGTATCAAAAACGCTGTAGGAAATTCATGTTATTGGGATTCAACAAATAATACATGTTTAGATGCTAACACTTGTGATAAATTACCATAAAGTTTAATATCTGACAAAGATTGCAGAGATGCCATAATAACATGTACTACAAAGAGTGGAGGTGGATGTATAATAAGTGGAAATAATTGCAGTGATTAAAAATTAGAAATATAATGTGTTTGGAATTAATCAAAAACAATTGCTTGTTATTGGGATGGAGCAAATTGTAAAGATAGAATTTGTGATAATGCTCCTACAAATTTGATAACTGATGATGCATGTAAATCTTTTAGAACTGATGGTACATGCACAACTAAACTTAATGGTGGATGTATAACAAGAACTACATGTGTTGCTGCAACTATTAAAGAAGCTTGCATCTAGAATATATCAGGATAGAATTGCTATTGGAATGGTGTAAATTGTGTTGATAAAATTTGTGCAAATGCTCCAATTACATTAACTACTAATTCTGATTGTGCAGGATTCTTAACAGGATGCATTACTAAATCAGGTGGAGGTTGTATTCAAAATGGGTCATGTTCAGTAGCAAATATACAAACAGCTTGTGTATAGAATGTAATAGGGATCACTTGTATTTGGGATACAACTTGCAAAGAAAAGACCTGTTCTAATGCACCATTATCAAATAATACTCATGATCTATGTACATCTTATCTAGTATCCTGTACTGTTAAATCAGGTGGTGGATGTTAAAATAGAACATGTACAAATGCTCCCATTACGATTACAACAAATGGAGAATGTGAAGCATATCTACCAGGATAGAATTGTATTGCAAAAACTGGTGGTGGATGCAATACAAATACTACTTGTTCAGCAATTACTTTAGAGGCTGCTTGTATTAAGAATTCCTTAGGTTTTACTTGTTTTTGGGATTCAACAAGTACAAGTTGCAAAGATAAGACATGTTTGAATGCACCATCAAATAACAACACACATGAACTTTGTTAATCTTTTTTGAATACATGTACTGTCAATTTTTCAAATACAGGATGTGTTGATAAAACATGTGAAAATTCATTGACATTAGCTATTTGTGACAAAGATATTAACAATAAAGTTTGTATATGGAAAGGTAAATGTTATAAGAAACTTTGTGTCTTAGCTTCATCATCCATAACTACTCACACTGATTGTTAAAATTATCATTCCAGTTGTACTTTAAGTAACACAGGGTTAGGATGTGTTACACTTCCTCTAAAATGTGAAGCAATTACAATTGAAGCAGCATGTCATATTAAAATTAATGGTTAATCATGTGGATGGAATGGATCTTAATGTATTGACAAATCTTGTTCTACTGCTTCAAAGGCTTATTCAAATACTTTATAATGTTAATCCTATATTTCAAGTTGTGTTGCAAATAATCCTACAATAATAAATGGGTCCTCTACTATTTAAGGATGTTAAGATTTACCAACTTCATGTTCAGCAAGAAGAGCATCTGAAAATTGTGAAATATAAAGAGCAGGATTCCCAACTTGTTTATGGGTTTCATCTTCTTCATCTTGTGTTGAAAAGTCATGTGCAACAGCTAATCTAGTTGGAACAAGTAATGCAATTTCACCAGGATCATTTTCAGTTATTAATTGTTCAAGTTATTTAACTGTATGTGTTAAAATGGATGCATAAGGTGCTTGTATTTAGACATAGAATCCATGTATTTCAAATAATACATCTGATGGATGCATGAATAAACCATCTAGTTGTAATGTATTAGTTTAAGATAATTGTACTATTGGGTCTACAATAAGTGGTAATTGTTATTGGAATGGATCTAATTGTGTTGATAGGACTTGTGCAAATATCATAAAAATTACTCATAATGATTGTAATAGTATATTTGATCAATGCACAGTAAATAATGGTTAAACTAGTTGTTAACAACTGTAAGATTCATGTTCTTCTTACAGCATTTAAGATAACTGTATAATAACATCTATGAATAAAAAATGCTTATGGACTGGTATAGCTTGTAGAAATTCAACTTGCGCTGATGCTCCAGATACAATAGCATATGATTCAGATCAAGAATGTTAGGGTTATCCTGTACCAGATGATACTTGCACTGTGATATACAAAATTGGAGGGTTAGGATGTGCTTCAAAATTAACTAATTGTACAGATTATATGATATAAGCACAATGTCATTAAACCATCTCAAACTAAACAGGAATTGATGATTGTAAATGGATTATTGATTAATGCTATTCTTTGTCTACATTTGCAACAGGATCTTGTTCATCATTCAAAGGAACATAGGCCATGTGTTTATAATATAGAACTGGATGTACTAATGTTGTTAGTGCTTCTGCTTAATCTTCATGCACTGTAGATTGTACTCTAAAAACTGGAGTAAATTTAACATTTTCAGATTGTTAAGCAGTTGATGTATCATGTTCTGTAAAAAAAGATGGTACTGGATGTATTGTTATTTAATCTACTTGCTAAGGATATGAATAATAATCAGCAAATTGTTTCAGATCTACTGCTGGATTGTGTATTATGAATAATGCTGTTCCTCCTACTTGTTAATCAGTGACTTAACCATCTGAGTGTGTCCTTTTAATTGGATTAACAGGCTTAGACCATGCTAAATGTTAAGCCTATAATTCCCTATGTACTTCTTTAAGTGATGGATCTGGATGTTAACCATATTAGCAAAGTTGTACAAATTATTCTAATAGTAATTCATGCACTATTATTCCAACAGGTAAATGCTTTTTTAGTGGTGGTTCTTGTATTAGTATAACCAGTAAGGCAAATTGTTCAACAATAACTGGATTAACAGGATTGGATCATGCAAAATGTCAAGCCTACTTTAATGGTTGTACATCGATTGGAGATAATACTGGATGTTAAGAGCTTAAAAATTCATGTGAAGACTATCCAGGAACAGTAGCTGGATGTACGAGATCATTAATTGGAAAATGTTATTTATTTAATAATACTACTTGTATTACTATTGCAAATCCAGGAACTGATTGTGTTAAAATAACTGGACCTGCTGCAACTATAACCTATGAATTTTGTTAATCATACAACACAGCATGTAGTGTGAATAGAGCTAGGAGTGCTTGTATCTAATAATTTGCTGAATGCACTAGTTATACTCAAATAACTAATTGTTATCAATCAAAAAATAGTAGATGTATTGCTAGTAATATTATTGATTCCGGTTGTGTTTCAGTTTCAACTGCCTAAACTTGTGAAGCAGTGTATTTGGGAATTGGAAATTATAGTGAAGTTAATTGTAATGCTTTTAAATCAGGATGTACCTATAACGGTAATTAATGTGCAACTAGAGTTTGCTCTCTTGCTACAGGGTTTGCATTCACTCATTTAAATTGCTACAATTGGTTAAATACATGTACTGTTAATAATGGAAATAATGCATGTATAACTATGGCATAAAAATGCACAGATTAGAATTAGAATTCATGCCTAAGAGCTATAGAAGGTGAATGTGTTGTATTTAATTCCTAATGTGTCAAGAAGACATGCGATATTGCTACAGCAAATGAAAATTATAATACTGATAGTGAATGTTCCACATATTTGTAATAATGTACTGTTGCCAGGACAGGAGGATGCCAATCCAGGACTGTCTGTTCAGACTATATTTCTTAATTACAATGTACATTTAATAGAAGTGGTGGAAAATGCTTCTGGAATCCAACACTTAAGAATTGTGTTGATTTGAATTGTGGATTAATAGAAAAAACTTCTTTATTTGATACCCATGCAAAATGTATGGCAGTAGATGCTAAATTACTATGTACAGTAAGAGCAGCCGAAGGTATTCCTTAACCAGGTTGCATGGCTAGAATACTTTGTAGTTCATATTCAACTTAAGACTAATGTCACTTGAATCATCTGGGAAATGAATGTGTTTGGAATACAAACCCAGGCAAGGCAATCTGTTAAGAAAAGTCTTGTTATACTGCTCCACTATCAACAGTCACGCATAATGATTGTTATTCATATTACAATACTTCTACTGTTACATGCACTGTTTCAATTAATGATGGTGAATTAGGAGGATGTTAATAAACAGCTGATTGTGCCCTTTATGCCAAAAAGGAGCAATGCCAGATCGATTGGAAAGGGGAATATTGTGCATGGATTGAAACATCTTCTTAATGTGCAGATAAATCTTGTGAAACTGCTCCTGCTACCTCGGATTATGATGATGACTCTAAATGTAGATCTTACTTAAGTAACAAATGTACAGTTTCTTAAAGTGGATAAGGTTGTGTAAATGTTCCTGCATCATGTGAAATAATGACAGAGAAGTAATGTTATTTCAATAAGAATGGAGATCCTTGTTATTGGACAGGGACAACTTGTGTAACAAGATCATGTGAAAATGCTCCTGATTCTGTTAGTTCTGCAGATGAATGCAATGCATATTTAGCTGGATGTACATCTGATACTGTTAAATGCAAGACAAAAGTCTGTGAAGATTACTAATTTACTACAGATGCCCTATGTCAATAGGAATTATCTACATGCACCTCAAATGGAAAATATTGTGTCACTAGAGGGTCTTGTTTTTAAGCTACAAGTTAAGCTGGTTGTGTTACTTCATCTACTGGATAAAGTTGTGAATGGATAGCTGCTCAAGGGTATTGTACAATAAAAAATTGTCTTACTGCTCCTTTAACATTGACAACTGAAGAAGAATGTGCCAATTATTTCACTAAATGTACAACTAAAAAAGGAGGTGGATGTATAACCAAATCAACTTGTGCTGGTACTTTGATTGAAGCTGGATGTACAACTGCTTTAAATGGCACTGTCTGTTTTTGGGATGCAGAAATAAAAAAATGTAGAGATAGAGATTGCTAAGATTTTAATGGAAACTCCCATCACGAATGTCAACTTTAGAGAACTGGGTGTACAATGGGAATCAACGGAAAATGTGCAAGAGTCTAAAATTGTAAATAAACTACTATAAGAGGAGCCTGCATTGAAGGAGCTGATGGACCGTGTTTATGGATAGAAAAGTATGAGAATGATGATGGATCCAAGGGATCTTGTTTCAAATACACATCATGCAAGAGTTTAAGTTGGGATAATGATTAGAAATGTAAATTGGTAAGTAGTTAATGTACAACTAACGGATCCCATTGTGTTGGTATCTCATTATGTTCAGAAACTAATACAAATGGAGGATGTGTAACAGGATATGACGGTGCTTGTATTCAATCTGTTCCAGCCTTGAATTCATCCGATCCAAAAGTTTGCAAACCTTTTAATTCATGTATTTAGGCCTATTACATTACTCATTCTGATTGTTAATAAGCAAATAACAAATGTACAACAAATGGAGTAACAGGATGTATAGCTTTAGGAGAGTGTTCATCTTACACTTCCAAAGCTGGCTGTTATATTAATGATAAGGGATCAATTAAAAGTGGAGACCTTGTTATTTCTACAGGCATTTGCATTTGGAATAATAACACTAATAAATGCAGAGATTAAGAATGTTCTGACTTAACTGGATCAACTCATTCAGAATGTTCTTCCAAATTATCCAAATGCACATCAAATGGTGCAATATGCATACTATAAGGAAATTGCTCAACTTATACTACTTAAAGTGTATGTTTAGTAGGCAAAGCAAATGATGGTCCTTGTTTCTGGGATTAAACCTCTACAACTTGTCGTATACAAGCTTGTAAAGATATTCAAAATGGTAACACTCCTGATGCTTGTTCTATCATGTCTTGTGTTACTGATGGCACTAATTGTATTCCTAAAGCTAATTGTTCCACTTATAAAAATAAAACTACTTGCAATCAAGGAGGACTAGATGGAATTTGTGTATTCACTTAAACATCAACTTCCGAGGGATCTTGTAGTTTAATGACTGGTTGTGCTTCTGCAAATAAAGATTAAAGTGCTTGTAATTTTGCTAGAGATAGATGTCATTGGCATAAAGATGAGACTACAAATTCAACATAATGTGTTACTCATACATGTGCTACAAATTAGGCTATGAATGGATCTTGCACCCGTTTTTTTAATTGGGATAAAAAAACATAATAAATCTGTGCAATTTTTACTGGAGTATGCTAAGCAGTTGATCCATCTACATTATCTAAGGATGATTGTTTCTTGATATCGGGTTACACATATACATGGAGTACTTCTAATAATAAATGTGGAGTATGTACAACGATTAATCAAGGTACTAATACCACTAACAACAACAGTAACCAAACAACAAATAACATAACAACTAATTCAGGATATCTTATTAGAGTAACCATAATAATTTTAGGGTATCTAATATTTTGATGTGATTGATATTTAAAACATATATATGAAACAATAATAGCATTTAATTGTCCTCTTAGAAGGCAATTCTAAAATATTTTTTTAAAATTCTGTTTATTTGTTTTCTGGTTTTCTAATTAGAGTTACAAAATTTTAACTATAACTATTATATTGCCCCAATTGAATTAGAAAGTAGGATTGGACAAAAAATATTTATAGAATTTGATTTCTGGATAAAAACACAGAGAATTAGAAAATTCACTACAAGAAAAAAATACAAAATCTAATTCATCATTTAGAAAGTTTCTCTGACTCAATGAATATATTACAAAAAAAATTAAATTTCTACTAGTAAATTTGGCAAAGGTCTACAAATAAAATTTAGTTCTTTTGAAGCAATTTTCTATGTGTTTGATTAATTTGTATGTTTTCTAATGAAACTTTCTATTTATTATGAATACATATTTAGATTAATCAGTTCAGGGGTAGTAGCTCATTTAGTAGAGCGCGTGATTTGCATTCACGAGGCGCCGAGAGCGAAGCTCGGCTACTCCAATTTTTTTCTTTTATTTTTTATATTCATTTAATATTTATTATTATTATTATTATAATAGGATATTATTATAATATCAAATTTGTCAATCTGAATATATATTTTTTCAAAATAATTTGATTAATGGGATAAATAACTATGGTTATTTATCATTTTACAATTTTATTTACAGTAATCATAACTTATTAGTAAGTGTGTGTTTCAATTTTTGATAATTGGATTTTCATATTATAAATAACTAAATCAAAATGATTGACTATTTAATAGAATTATAAGCAAATCAAAGATATAATATCAATATAAAATTAAAAATAGAATGAAAGAAAATAGAAATACTTAACAAAATTACGAAAATAAAAATAACTAATAGGAATAGAATAAAATAAACAAAAACAACCTAAAGTATCAAAAATTAAACGAGGAAAAAGATTAATGGAAAGAATATTAATCAAATAAAATTGAAGAATTTTATTAATGACAAAAAATTCTAATTAAATGCTAAAAGTTTACATAAATTCTTAATAAGGGAATTTAAATTATGAAAGGATATATGAATATAAGAAATAGGTAATAAGGAGTTTAGGAAATAACACTGAAAAAAAAGATAAGTAATTATTTAAAGAAATAATGGAAGAAAACAAAATTTTTATATAAGAGATAACCTAAAAATCAATGTCAAATTAAGTAGATCAACTAATATGAAACAGATAAATAATAGTTGGAGAATTTTGAGCCTAGGAGTAAATTGGTAACACTCTCTTTAGGGAACAATAAGAATAGTAACCCCAAAACAACCAGGAATTATGAAAGAAGAATAAATTAATGGAATTTGAGTTCTATTAAACCAACGACGTATTATTTGTTTACAGGAGATTAGAGGAAAAATAATTGGTAATTCGCCTCGATATAATTTTATATGTAAATAGAGTCAAAGTCATCACTTAGGCGGAATAGCTATTGGGATTAATTCTCCAATAAATTATGAAGTTATTACTTAAAACATTATTCCACCACATTCATAAAAAAGAATCTTTAATAAAGAAAATTAAACGTTTCTAGTGTGGAATCCATTGAAAATAAATTCTAATAAAAAAATATTCATATTTGGTGATTTCAATATCTGAATATAGCTTTTCTGTAGTAAAAATAGGTTAAATTTACTTTGATCGCTAAGACAGATCACTGTTTACTAAGAAATTTTATTAATACAAATATCAAATGTAGTTTTATTAATCTATAAGATAATTGTTTAATATAAATATCTTTAAATTTAATAATAAATCTAAAGAAAATCGAATAATATATGACAAAAAACAAGACTACTTGTTAAATTAAGAGGTTAATAAATTAAAGAATTTTACATGTTGAAATAACTACGTAAAAATCAATTTGAGAAAAAAGAAGGTTATTTCAAAGTAGCGTATTACTTTATCGTAATAAGAACCTTTAATGAAATACTTGATTAAAAACTAGAGTTAATAGCAAAGCCATACTAAACTTCTAATAGCGAGCAAGCATTCAAAGTAATTAAATCTTTAAAAAATCTCAACTCCAGGAAAATAGATAGAGGCTTATTCTGATGTTTTAAAAACAAAAATGAAGATTTATAGTGTTGAGAAAGTTGCATTACTAAATGTTTAGATTAACCTTTAATTATTTCTAAAACAGCTTCCTTTAATCCTTAACAATTACAATCTTTGCCTCCCTCCTTTATCGTTAACTGAGACTTAAGAGGAATAAAAAATTATGTCAATAGACAAAACCATAACCAAAGACAGGATATTAGATATATTTATCGAAAATACAAAAATTATCAATTATTAAATTATTTATGGACTAATAGTAAACGAGCCTATATTTAGGTGAAACTTGCTTAATTCAATTAAATAAAATTTTTCCTGATATACCAAATTACAATTAGTTAAGGCCTATTGTTGTAATGAGTCCTCTTTTCAAATTCCTCGAGCAAAGATTAGCAAATCTGAGTCTATAAGATTATACATAGATACAGATTTAAGTAAGCAGGTTTTTGTCCAGGTAAATGAAAATAAGTAAAAATATACAAATTATTGAATATTAGGAGCAAAGAAGAGTGAAAAATTCAATATTGTATTTATTGATTTTTCAAATGGCGACAACACTGTAAAAAGACCAAAACTATGCGAAATCTTTAAAGATAAAAGAATACTAAACAGATTGAAGTTGATTTTATGATAGCTATTAATTCTTAGCTTTACTTCAAAGACTCATTTGACAAAATGAGATATATATGCTTTGATAATGGGGTTATGTAGGGTTCTCCGATAACATGATCATATTTAATATTTTCTTACATGAATTTTAAAAGGAATTTTATGAAAAACTCAAGTATTGGTTTTATGTAATTGCCAATGCAGATGATTTAGTCTTTATAGTAAAACATGTAAAACAGAACTAATTTTCTGAATACCTTTGAACTCAGTAAATAAAAAGTAATCAGGTTTCTTTATTCTTCATAGTTTACAAAATAAGTATAAATATATTTTTGAATATCCAAAAGTTAAAAATAAAATTATTTAGGAATTTTAATCAATAAATATTCTTCTGTATTAGAAAATTTAAAGAAAATTAAAGGATAACTAAAGGCGAAAACAACTAAACTAAATGGATATGTAGAAAAATGCCATTATTTAAGTAAATCAATATATGGAAAGTCTTTATTAATACTGTCTTAAATTAAGTTCACCTGCTGTAACGACAACAAACAAGAAAACTCATAAATTATTTTTATCTAATTGAAAAGAACCCTTTTAAAATAACTTATAGGAATTCCGAACATTTCTCCAAACTAATCTAGTAAAAGAAAGTGAATGCAAATATAAATGGAGCTAAGTAATTTTTTATTCATAGTAGAAAAATATGTTTAGAATATTAATAAAGAGCGTCCTGTATAAACATTTTAGAATAGTATTTATATATTAACTGGAAAATTTTCAGATAATTCTTAGAAGGATATATAATAGAAAGAATTACTTCTATTAATATAAAGATAAAACTTAAAACTTGAATATTTAGAAATTTCAACAGTTAAAAAATGGATAATATAGGATTATTGAATATAATTATGACATGGTTCCTTAAAAGAACTAATCAATAAATTATTTATTTTTTTTATTAAATAATTATTTGAATTTTAAATATTTTTTTTTGTATATATACTTTTAAATATTATGTTATTTATTATATATATACTCTCTCTCTATGGTTATAATTTTACTAATAGTTTATTATTTTGATTTATAAAATGCATAACACTATAATTCAAATGTGTTGATTAAATGTAAAACCAAATAATATATATTCTCTTTTATCAATATTTATTTTTATTAATAAATTGAGAAGTTTGTTTTAATTAATTATCATTAAATTATTTGAAATAGAGATATAATGAATTAAATAGATTATTATTGTTATTATTATCATATTTCAATTATCCTAAAAAATATTAATCATTTAAAATATTATACTATTCCGATTTGAAAGTTAAATTTTAAATTTAATTGCTTCCTATAAATAAACATATATGACCATTTTTATATCAATGAAAAATTATATGCTAATTCAAAATAAATTATACCATAAAATGAAAAAAAAGGTCAAAAATATTTAAAAATAGGGATTGCTCATATAAATTTAAATATTTTAGATAAATTGTATTTAAGTGTATAATTTTGATTTAGGGAACCCTTTTGTTTGATTAATTTGTATGTTTTCTAATGAAACTTTCTATCTATTATGAATACATATTTAGATTAATCAGTTCAGGGGTAGTAGCTCATTTAGTAGAGCGCGTGATTTGCATTCACGAGGCGCCGAGAGCGAAGCTCGGCTACTCCAATTTTTTTCTTTTATTTTTTATATTCATTTAATATTTATTATCACATACAATAATAGAATACTTTACTTAAATTATTTAACATTAAATTTATCAGCCTCAATATTATTAATAAGAATATCATAATAAGAAAATATTATCTAATTTTATCTTCAAAACCATTATTTTAAAATATCAATAACCCTCTTGTTACATTTAAAGACCAGTTTGTACATGCAGTAATTTGTTTGAATTTTTCAGTATAAATATTTATATAAACAAAATAAAAATTTATATATCATAACTTAGCCTTACAGATTCTCATTATTATTATAGATAATCAAACATTAATGCAAAAAATTAAAGTATATCTATTTTTTCTTAAGAAAACAATTTGAATGCTTATTTAAGTTATATCTCCTTTTCTTAAAAAAATGGGAGAATATCATTAAGTGTTATATAGTGTTATTAATTAGAAAAATGTTAGAATGCTTTTTACAAGTTAGATTTTGTAATAATAGATCGTTTATCAGTAAATCTAGAGATGAGCTCGATATATTATAATTCTGATTGTGATTTAAAAATCTGATTCACAGCAAATAAAGATTCGGACTAATCATATATATGTTTATATTATTTTCGAACTAAAGTTGCTAATTGAAATCGAGTTATTCTTTTTGTATTTTTTAATTAAGAGAGATATTCAAGTGAGTTATCACTATACATTTCAGCCATCATATAAAAAAGAATCTGTTAAAGAGATTACATTATTGGATTAATATTTCTTGGTTGTAAATTAAATTAAAAGGAGTTCATAAATGAAGACTCTAAAATTTCTATCATATCAATTCTCTTTTAAGGATTTACTTCTAGCATTTAGTTTAATAAGTCTTGAATCTCATAATAGTAAGTATCATTAATTTAAGGAATCTAGTTTCTTTTTCCGTATAAAACATTTTCTAAAAAATCTTTAAACGAATTTCCAGTAAAAAGTGAAAAGTTATAAACTATTCGTACTCCTATAATTCCTAAAGACCAAACATCATCTTTAAATGTTGGCTCAATTATTTAATTATCAAGGTAAGCTTACACCAATTATGGACTTGAAAATTTAAGTTTTATGGCAGGTTTTTTATCAGAAATAACAACTGAAAAAAAATCAACTAATTTTATTTAGATTGTTGAAGATTAATCCACAATTTCAAAGCTTTTTAAAGTTAAATTACCATGAACAATAGATTTTGAATGTAAATAGGAGATGACATTAAAAATCTATCCTAATATTATTTATTTTTAATAAATTGTTATATGTTTAGATTCATTTAATATAAATGATTCTAAGCTTCCTCCATTACAATAGTTTTTAATTATTGTATATTATGAACAGTAGTAATATATTTCAACAAAATCCTATAAATTTTCATGAAATAAGTTTGAAATTAGTGAAATATATTTATTAGTTTTGTCGTTATTGTCTAAAACTTCGGCGATAAATATTTGTCTGGTCAAAATATGCTAAACAATTATAGAATTTTAATTTTGAATGACTTTATCGACATGTCTAATCTAATTATAATATTTTAAATAATTCTCATTGATCAAATTAGAGGGTTGAATTACTTCGTCAACATAATTAAAGTCTAATGTATGATCATTCCTTTTAGAAAAAATTAGGGTGGGTGATGCAGGGCCTTCAGAGACTAAATTATTTTGAAGATTTCTTAGGTTGATACATTTTAGTGTGCCTTTTTTAGAAGAACAAGTGCCCATAAGTTTAAAATATAACTTAATTAATGTTGGAAGATATTCAATAATAGAAACGCAATATATATTGAAATTACACAATTTGGATGTAACATCTAAAAATATAATATAAGTAGTTAATGATCAATCATATTTATAATGATTTAAATTTAATAAATAGTTTGACAATATGTTTCCATTTACTCTATTCTTATGATTTTTTATTTAAAAAGAATATATGGAAATTTTAATTTCTTCTTTCTTTGCTTTTCTTTTAATTCTTAAAAATTCTGAATTATTAAACAAAAATAATGAAAAAGAAATTATTTTAAGATTTAAATACCAAGTTAAATAAACATGGAGTGAATTAGACTCAAACTAACACTTTTGTTTTATTTTATTTTAGTTAATATTGATTTTAATTATGAAGCTTAAAGATATTCAACTGGTTCAGCATATTTATTGTTAAAATAAAAATGAAGAAATCATTATGAAGTTAATTCTTTGAATACTTTAAAATTCATTAAGGGAATAAAATAATGAAATAGAAATATATTTATTTGTTTATAGATATAGAACTTAATTAATATGTTCATAGATTGATTCATTATACTAGAATAAATACATCTATCTGTCCTTTAGAAATTAAAAATAAAATATTGTTAAATATATATGATTCTCATAAATTTTAATATTATAATAGATAATTAGGTTAGATTAGATAAGAAGATTAATATTTTAATCATTCATTTCTTATTTGAAATGATTTAGTCTTTTAATGGGCTATTCTTCTTAGTGGTTTTTGAGTCTCAGAGATGTCTTACTTATCTTAATTTCCAGTTTCAATATCAATCACAATTAAAGATTTCTTAAATTCCACTTTTTTTCTTTAGAATTTTGTTACTGGTGCCAATATTTTTGAATCTTATCTTTTAAGAAATAACTTAGTTCTTTTTTAGTGTCTTTCAAATTCATCAGGAGTTGCATTTCGTGACTCTTAAACAATGATAGGAATTTCTGGTAACGATCTCTAAAATCTTTTAGGTCTGGTTGTGACTATTTTAGGTAAATGAAAATGATAAGGAATTTCGATTAGTGGATCACTTTCAAATTAGGTATACATTTTATTTCCATTATTTCTATCTGTAATTTCTCCCTCTGTCTTTAGAGAATAAGGAAGGACATCAAGTTAATTTAAAAAAAGAGATGGTCTCAGGGTTCTTTTGGTTGTTGTGTCTTTTGTTGGTGAAACCTCTTTTGAAACGATTGAAGGGAGATGAAATCTATTTGGAGTTTGATGAGACATAATGCTTCAATTTTTATTTTAATAAATGATTTTAGAAATTAATTTATTGAAGTATTATATATTGAAACTAATAAAACTGTTGTGATCTGTAATTTACCTACTATAATTATTTATAATAAATAAAATAATTTAATTAGATTTTGAATATAAAGGGGTGATGGAATATCAAATAGATATTATTAGATCAGTTTACAAAATTGTTAGAAATAAAAGATTATTAATTTTAAAAGTTTTAAACTTTTCTGAATTAATTTAATTATTTAATGAATTGGAATTAATTTGAGGCAATTCACTAAGAGGTTATATAAAATCTAGAAAATAATGGGTTTACTACTCCAACACCTGTATAAGTTGAAGTTCTAAATAATTATCAAAAACATAAGCATATTATTATAGCATCTTAAACAGGATCAGGTAAAACATTAGCATTTGGAATTCCATTAATTTCTGAGATCTTAAAGAATATTAATAATTATCCAGCCAAATAAATCATAGCTTTGATTTTAACTCCAACCAGAGAATTGGCTATGTAAATTTATAAACATTTGAAAGCAATCACTAATTTGTCAATTGGTTGTTTAGTAGGAGGAATGTCTAAAGAGAAATAAAGAAGAGTTATAAATGCAGCTCCATTGATATTAATTGCTACACCTGGTAGATTATGGGATTTTATTGAAAATGAAGAAAATGAGAAAATTAAAAAATTGAATCTCATTAAATTTTTAATTATTGATGAAGCTGACAGAATGGTGGAATTAGGTCATTTTCCATAATTAGATAATATTATGACCAAAATTACAACCCCATCTTAAATAACTCATGATAAAGAAAGAATTATTTCAATGATGAAAGAACAAAGTGAAGCAGCTTATCTAAATAATTAAAAAATTACATTTGAAGTTGAAAAACCAGTAGAAATGTCTTATGAAGATTTTATTAAATTATAAAATGGTAAAGGTAAAATTTATATTGATAATGATATAATTTAAAATGATATTGAAGAAATAAATAAAGATGATGAAGTAGAATAAGAATAAAATAAAGATGAAGAATAAGAATAAGAGAATGAAGAGGAAGAATAAGAAGAAGTAGAGGAAGAGGAAGAATAAGAAGAAGTTGAGGAAGAAGAATAAGAAGAATAAGAAGAAGAAGAAGAATAAGAATAAGATATGTCAGATTAAGAAGATATTAAAGAAGAAGAAATAGAAAATGAAGATGAAGAAAATATAGAAGATGAAATTGATGTTTCAAATGATGATGATGAAGAAAATGAAAAAGGAAAAAAATAAATAAAGAAATAATAAAAATAGAAATAAAAGAAGAGACCATAAAATTTTTAATAATAAGATTACTCTTTAAAGACTAGATATGAATTAAGAACTTTTTTAGTTTCTGCTACCTTAACTCATTAATTCAAGACAGGTTCAAAATTTTAATTTTTAAAGTCTTCAAAAAATGATTAAAAAAATTAAGCAGATAAGTTGTTAATAAAATAAATGAAAGCAACAGTTCCTAAATTATAATCACTTTTAGGTAAATTGAAAATAAAAGAATAACCATATATTGTTGATTTAACTTAATAACTTGTATTTCCAGAAAAATTATTATTTTTTAAATCAATAATGGAAGAGGATGATAAATTATTACATATATATCATTGGTTTAAAAATAATGAAGATTAAACATTTATTATCTTTTTAAATTCAATTACATATGCAAATAAAGTTACATCAATGTTAAAAGTTCTTGGAGTAATAATATTATTTAATTATTTTAGCTTCCAGCTGTTACTTTACATTCTTAATAATAATAAAGATAAAGATTAACTAAATTAGATTAATTTACAGCTAAAAAAAGTAATATAATGGTTTGCACTGATGTAGCTGCAAGAGGTCTTGATATTGTAGGTGTTGAAAATGTAATTCATTATCAAGTTCCTTTTACTGCTGATACATTTGTTCATAGATGTGGTAGAACTGCTAGAATAAATAAAGAAGGAAAAACATTAGTACTTATAGGTCCAAAAGATATGGCTAGATTTGCAAAATTGGAGAGTGATTTATTAAGTAGCGGAATTAAATTTGAAGATTTCAAATTAACTTTTAATTAAGTGAAAAAGAGTAGAGAGATGATAAAATAAGCTTAAAGATTAGAAAAGGAGGATCATTCAATAAAAAAGAAAAAGAATATGAAAGAAGCTTTATAGAAATAATTAAAAAATGATGATTTTGATTTAGATGAAAAAGAATTAAAATAAGAATTAGAAAATGTATATTATATATATATTATTAATTATAGATTGAAGAAGAATTAATTAAAAAAAGAAAGAAGTTAGATCATGAGAAAATGTAATACTAATAATTAGTATCATAAAAGAATAAGTTAGATGGTAGATTTGAAAGAAGAAGAAATGGATTATTTTTATCTCCTGAAGATACATTATAATTAGCTGAAAAATTAAAGCATTAAAAAGAAATGCTTCAATTAAAATAATAAAACTAAAGAAGGTGATTGATTATTATTAAGTTACAAGAGTCTTATTGTATATTTTATAATTTAATTAAAATTTAATAAATTAATTCTGGCATGTAATCACCTAATCCAGCAGGAGCATAATTATAATAACAATTAGAAATTTTGTAAAAAGGATTTGAATAACTTGTTTAAAGAGTTCCAGAAACTATTCATTTATCTTGTTTATCTTAAAATAGCAAAGATGTTAATAGATATTCAGATTGTAATTTGTTAAATTAATAATTTAAGGCATGATGAAAAGAAGTAAAAGAGTAGATAAAGAGATGAGATTATTTGATTTCAAAATGGTATTTATGGGAAATCAATTTGAAAAATGTATTTAATCAGGTGATACTGATAAATGTGTAGAATCAGCAAAAGTAGATGTCTAGAGATATATAAATGAATTCCAAAAAAGTATAAATTGATAAAATTATCTATTTAATGAATTTAAATGATTCTCAAATATTAGAGTATCAATAAATACAAATATAAAATATAATTCTCAAATAATGTTGGTCTTATTCATTCAATAGAGAAATATTTATTGAATTCATTCCCAAATATTATTTGCAATAATCTTATGAAGAATCAACTATTTAATAATTATTATTTCAAAATAAATTAAACTTTATGTTAAAAAACTATATATAATATATTAAAAGAATTATTAAAAAATAGATCAATAAATTTATCTATAGATTGAAGAGCTGATTAAATTAGTAATTCTTTCTAAATTAATTAATTAACTGTCAAATTTTAATCTCTCTAAAGTATCCATTTATAAGTAAATTAATAAATCAAATTAATTGATAAAAACATTAAATTCACAATATTATAAACAAGGATACATTACATTATTCATTTATTTATAAGATTATTAATTATAGAATAGATTTATTACAATCTCATAATTATTAATAAGATTATATTAATTTTAATAATATTATTATTCTATCTATATGATTATTATAATTATAATTACATTTATAAAAATCAAATAAATAAGTAGTATGTGTTTCCAATTTTGATATATATTTAAAAAAGAGAATCCTTAAAGTCTTATGAAAGTTTATTAAAATAAATATTAATAATCATCTAAACCTTAAAAATATTGATAATGATTTCTAATTATTTAGTTTATTTTCAATATAAATTTATTAATATTATATACTTATAAATTCCACTCTTAATGCTTATTAGTAAACTACCTTTATTAGAATAAACAACATCATAAAAAATACTATTCAATAAAACAAAAATAAATTATGAAAACTCAAATAGTGTAAGTGTGGAAAAGGGTTATAGATAGACAAATGTACTTAAATCAAAAAGATAATTAAGTATTATGAAGTAATCTAATGAAAACAAAAAATAAATATCTACTTAAAATGATGAATCTATTTTAAAAAGAATTCAAGTAACTAAATCATAATCTGATTGTCTAATAATTGAGAAACTACAATAAGAATTTGAACAAAAGTATTAAGAACAAGTAAATAGAGATTTTGGTTATTTAGGTTAGGATTTCAGAGGATTTAAAACTAGAAAATATAAAATTAAAAATGCAGTTAGAGGAGTAGGAATAGTAAATAATTTATCTAAAATTGATAAATAATGATTTACGATACTAGATAGATAATTCTACTTTAGCATAATAATTAAAGAAGTTAGAGTTAGAATATAAGGATACATATAGAAGAATGGATGATACATTAAGAAAAGCAATTGATGAAAACTATGAAAGTTAAATAAAAATGAAAAATTTATCAATAAAATCTTAGTAATTAGAATAATTTACAGTAAGTTATATATTAATTAGATAGTTTTCTTTGAGACAGCAACTTACTTGCAAATTTTGTAGAAAAGAATTGTAAAATACAATTACTGTGATTCCATGTGCACATAATTATTGTTAGAGATGTGTTTCTGGATATGTTGGTAGATGTTTTGCTTGTAATGATGATGTAATTATTATAATATATTGAATTAGAGTCTTGTTTAAGCTACTTATCATAATGAATACATTAGCGATTTAATAAATATGTATAAAATATTTGAGAATATTATGAATATATTAAAAAATTGATTATAATTAATATAAAGTGATTTTTAAGCAAGTATAAGATATTAAAATTTATTGATTAAAATATATATATATATATAAATAATAGTCAGAGGTTGAGTAAACCTTAGTAGTATTCATTATAGACATCATGTAATTATGATTCAATTCTTTGATGACATCTTTCATATTCTCGATCATTAGTATTTCCTTTGTAACATTCAAGAGCTTGTTTTTCAATAAATAGCATCTTGATTGAGAGGTATTTTGCAAAGTTGTCAATTTTACCTTCATGTCTTTCCATACCTAAATATGATGAATAAGAAATATACATGTGGCAAAGAGTTCGAAGGTTTTTGAATTTCTGAGACAAATTTCTTTTTATTTTTCAGCCAAGTCTTATTGTTTAAGCATTTGATCAATAGAGATTGAACTGTCTTCTTTAAAGTTTTTGAAGTCATTTTCATATTACTATTTTCTTTACATTTGTTTTTGTGTATTTAATATTGATTTATAGAGATAAGATATTGGTTGGTTTTGAATTATGATAATTCATCATTACAGTATATTAATTTCAAATTTGGATGATTCATTATGTAATAACATATTTCGTCATTTTAATAAAATCATTTATTTATTTTATATTTATATGATGATATAATATAACAGATGTTTCATATTTAGGTTGGTAATGTATCTTAATTATGGATTCTTTAAATTTTAAGTATAATAATCTCTAATATTGTATCAATAACTATAAGAACAATAAATGTTATTGTCCAGATGAAATCAATTTCAAATAATAAAAGAATGGAGATGTTTAAACTTAGAGATAGTATTAATTATATTATTTATATCCATTTTCTATTTGATTAAAAGAATCTAAATATTTAGAGAATAATTATATCGATGAGTCCAGAGATTGAGAAATGCAAATTTAATTAAAATAAACATCCAATTAAAGCTTGTGAAATTATAATTCTAATTAAAACTCTATAAATTATGTATGAATTTTGAGAATTCGATTTGTTATTCTAATTTTGTTATTTGATTTCTCCTAAAAATTTGATATCACATTGTCTAACAGAGTCAGGTATTTCTTATAATGAAGGATTTGTTTAAAGATTGTTAATATTTCTAGATTGTATAATTTGTTAACCTGACTATTTTCTTGTCAAAGTTGGAGTTTTTAATAAAGTCTTCATTGGTGAAACAATAATTAAACTATTTCTATTTTAAGTACCAGCTTCTGGAATAGTTTAGATAGTTATCGTACCCTTTTTTGATAATGTTCTATGGAGACGCTGTGTATTTTAAAGTGTGAAGTCTGATGATTACCCTGAGTTTCTTGTAAGTCTTAATTGATAGTTATTGGTAGGAGTTGATTTCTTAAGGGTAAGGTTTGATTGTGTTGTAAATAAGTTTGATTAGTTTATTTAGTTCAGTTAGTTAGTTTTGAAATGCATACGATAAAATAGATAGAGCAAGATAACAAATATAAAGGCTGCAAAAGATATATGGATGATGAAGTACATAAATTATAATATATATAAATAAATATTCTTACTAGTAATCAACTACACATTAGATGATCTTAATCATCTATATAAGGATTCATTAATTATTTTAATTGAAATGAAATATCTATAATTCAATCTATTCCTAGGGAGTAATTCTTCATGCCTGAATATTCCATAGAATCCTTCAAAATAATACAGCTTGGATATCACTTTGAAGTATATAGATTCCCCATCGAATTCCATCTTATTAACATTAAATACATATGATGAGTAGACATCATATAGAACAATTTTAGTACCAAAATATAATACAAGTAATGGGTACTAGTATTGTATGTCTAATTATTCAAAATTATTAGTGTTTACTCTCTATCTCTTAAAAATACTTATTATTTTAAATAAAAAATTCCAAGTTAATTGTTATTTCTAAAGATATCTATATTCTAATATATTCATGAAACTTTATTATATCTCTATATATTTTATAAAATGTTTTTAATAACAACACTAATCATATTTAGTGAAAAATATGTTTAATGAACAAAATTGATTATAGTAAGACTTTAGATATATATACTTAATTAATTCAGTAATATTTTAACTAATAATAAAGGAGCATCTCATTTAGGACAGTTCTTTGTGGTAGATTAGCTTAAATTTTGCATTTTTATCATTTATCATTGAATTCAATATACTAAACTTTTAAATTTAATTAGAGATAAATATTCTATGAAAAATGTTTCTAGGATTGACTCTTTTAATACTATTAAATTGTCATCTAGTATTAATTATGTTGATAATAGAATTGGAACATCCTTATTAGAGTACAAAATAAAAAGGTATGATAGATTAGGTAATTATGAATTCACCTTTCAATTATATAATTAATATGAATATCTATTTCTTATGATTCTTATATGTTTAGTTTATAAGAGATACGAATATATTTCATTATTCAATATAGAAGATTATATTTCCATTAAAAATCCACTAATTCCCCTTTCTTAAATTCTATATATCATATCAGTTTCTACTTTGTTTGAGTTGATATTATATGAGTTATAGACTTGTTTTTAATGTATTTGTATAGAGATTAAGCAATATTATATATTTAATAATAATAATAAGTTAAATATATTTGATTGACATTGTTAGATTTTTAACTCTCAATATGTTTATCGTTTTTCTTTAAAAATTCAAATAAAATGGCTATATTTTATACATAAATATTCGAAGATGACGCAGTATGTTTGTTATGAGGATACAACATTGAATATCCATTTCCAACGTCATATATTAATAGGAAACCAAATAATATGAATAAGAAGATCTAAGTGTTTATGGAAAATTAATAAAATCTTTTTATATATCTAAAAGACAAGAAAAATATGAAAAATAGTCAGAAATTAAGTGGCAATCAAAAAATTTAACAATTATACAACTATGAGGAGATGATTGAATAGGAAGAGATTTCAAAATAACTAAAAGATCAGTTAATACTTATATTAAACACTTCAAATGAATAGATTTCTGTCAAGGATGCAGTTGATGCAATTAAATCTGAAAATATTCTAGAAACTCATAAAGCATTAATTTAATTGAGAAAGACCTTGTCTGTATTATTGTTTCAATAATTTAATAAGAATTTTGATTAAGCACAAATATTTACTAATGAACTTGTACCACTCCTATTTTATTTAATCCAATTTGGAAGCACATACATTATAAAATTGGAAGCTACATGTTTAATTAATTGTATATATTAGAAATCATCTCCATTTTTGCAGGAGGAAAGAGTGATATTTCAAGAATAATCTTTGAAAATGGAATTGTTTAACTGGCTATGTCTATTTTGTAAAATGACAATTCTGAATTATCAATGTTGATTATGGTCATATTAGGCAAATTAGCTGGAGATTCAATATAATATAGAGATTGTATACTTCAATCCTGTAATTTGGATAGAATTATAATGAAAATGGAACTAAGATACGAAGCAACTTATGTCTGGTGTTTAGCTAATATGTGTATTGGAAGACCAAGTCCACAATTTAAAATAATAAGACCAGCCTTTAATATATTCATGAAAGTTATTATGTATGAACCTACATAAACAAATATTAAGATGATGAACGATGCAATCTGGGCACTTGGATACATGTTAGATGGTGAACCAACTAGAATATCTATATTAATAGATCATGGAATTATAAATAGATTGATAGAATTAATGCATCAATGCAACTTTGTTTCCATTTTAAGAATTTTTGAATGTATTTTTCAAGGAAATCAACAATAAATTCGTTATTTATTAGAATGTGGATTCCTATCCCAAATTAGAAATATACTTGATCCAAAAAGTAGAGAAAAGAGTGGCAATATGTTATAAACATTTGCAGCAACAGAAACCTTATTCAAAGTTTTATCTAATCAGAATTTCTTAATATCATTATTTAATTCTTTATAAGATGATAATTCAGAATTAAGAGGAGATGCATTAGAAATGATTGGAAATGCAGTATAACATGGTACGAATGAAGATGTATATCAAATGGTTAAGAATAAATTAATCCAGAGTATTTTGGGAATGTTAGAGTTAGCATAAATTAAAGAATTACCATCTAATCATCTTAAAAAAGGATTAGAAATTCTAATTAAAATATTGCGAAAAGGTGAAATCAGATCAAAAGATAGGTAAAACAATTAGTATTTTACAGTATTCATGTAGATCAATGGAAAAGATGTAATATAAAAGCTATTATCCTATAAATAGGATGACGTTGCGAAATATGCTTACATCTTTAAATAGGAATTCACCTTATGAATACATCAAAATTATAAAATATATCTTAATTTTCCTTTAATAATAATCACACCTTTTTTATACTGATTCCGTTAAAACTCTCTTTAATATAAACCATGTCTTAATTGTTTAAATGTTTATTTCTAAACTACCTTATCTAAATAGTTAAATATAAAGTAAAAGAAAATACATTACCCCTTCTCAATCCTTAATTTTAATTGAAAAAAAAAAATTACATAATTTCTATATTCATTTAATAAACATCTAAGATTGTAATAAATTATATATTTAAAGAATCAATCATGAATATTAAATTAATAGACATCTTCATTATAAAATTATAATGTTGTCAATTCATACTCTTTTTATATTTCAAGTATTTATTTTAATATTATATTTCAAAATCTTATATTCAACAGAATATTGATATAAATAGAAAACTATTGGATTTATCATATATATATATATATTTAACAAATTTGACAAATATAATTATCTGTCTTAATTTTAATTATTATAATTGATTATTAAATCACTCAACATATTTAATATAATACCATATGTAGAGATCATTACATTAATTCAAAATTTGTTTGATTTACTATTTAAATGATAACAATATTATTATTTATAACAAATTTTATTTTCAATAATGTTAGAATATTAATATTTCATAGACTATATTTTGATTCTACATCATTGATAACTCTATTTTCTACTAATATTAATTATATTTAATGAATAAGAGAATTAAATGAAATTTAAACATTTAATACATCTACTTCATATAAATATATAAGCATTATTAACTAATACCCATTAAATAAAATGTTTTTTTTTCTGATGTGAATCTAATTAAATAATTATTTTTTATATCTTATTTGATAATGCCCCCAAAAAAAGCAACAAAGAAAAAAACACCATCTCCATCACCACCACCTGCCAAAAGGTCAACAAGATCAAAAAAAGAAGATAAAGTTGATGATAAGAAAAAGTACAAAGATATTAAATTAATTATAGAGATGTAGTCACAAAAGTCACTAAAGATGTATCTAAATCAAAAGGAAAGGGAAAAGCTAAATAAAAGACTCCATCACCTTCACCTCCACCTAAAAAAGCCCCTACAAGAAAGGATTCAAAGAAAAGTAACAAAAAGTCACCATCACCCTAACCAAAAAAAGTAGTAAAGAAATCCCCTTCTCCAGCAAAAAAAGTGGTAAAGAAATCCCCTTCTCCAGCAAAAAAAGACGAAGAATAGAATCTAAAAAAGTTAGTATTTACAGGGAAAGCTCCTGTTGATGAATTTGTTTAAAATAGAGACAATTATATTGTGTATGAGGATGCTGCAAAAGTATATGACTGTATGATGAATTAAACTAATATAATTGGAAATAATAATAATAATAAATTCTATGTTGTATAATTATTAAAGAGTAAATCATCAGGTATCTTATACAAAATATATTAATTAGATACATTTTTTGTATTTACTAGATGGGGAAGAGTTGGATAACCTGGTTAATAAGCATTACAAGTCTGTGGAGGTAGTCTTGATACTGCTAAATCTTCATATGAAAGTAAGGTTAGGGATAAGAGTGTAAAAGGAGATTATAGAATATTAGAAAAAGATTATAGTATTGATACAGATCCTAAGAATGCTGAAAAATTAGAGAAATTAAAAGAGTAGAGAGAAAAAGAAGCTTATGAAAAGAGTAAGTTACATTAAAAGATAAAAGAATTAGTAAGGTTAATCTTTGATATGAAAATGATTAATAATTAAATGAAAGAGTAATATAAATAATATATTATATTTTAGAATAGGTTATGATGCGAAGAAAATGCCATTAGGTAAATTAGCAGCTTCAACAATTAATAAAGGATTTGATGTATTAAAGAAAATCTCTGAAGAATTAAATAAGAAAACCCCAAATGTTACAACTTTATAAACATTAACAAGTGAATTTTATAGTTAAATTCCACATGATTTTGGAATGTAGAAAGCACCTTTGATTAATACATCTTAAATGGTTAAATAGAAATTAGAAATGTTGGAATCTATTTAATAAATTTAAGTAGCAACTAAAATATTAGAAGAATAAAAAGATGATGATTCAAATGTTATTGATGAAAATTTCAAAAAACTTGGAATTAATATGTAATATTTAGAACCAACTGAAGAAAAAGTAAAAGTAATTAAAGAATTTGTTAAAAATACTCATTGTGACACACATAAAAATTATGATTTAGATGTACTTGACATCTTTGAATTATAAAAAGATTAAGATGATAATAGATTTAAAAAAGATCTTGGAAATAGAATGCTTTTATGGCATGGATCAAGATTAACAAATTTTGTTGGTATTTTAAGTTAAGGATTAAGAATTGCTCCACCTGAAGCTCCAGTAACTGGATATATGTTTGGAAAGGTAATTATATTATTTAATTTATTAAGGGTGTCTATTTTGCAGATATGGTTTCTAAATCAGCAAATTATTGTGCAGTTTCCAGAGAAAATAATACAGGATTGATTCTTTTATGTGATGTAGCATTAGGAAATACAAATGAAAAATTCTACTCAGATTACTATGCTAATAATTTACCACCTGGTAAACACAGTACTTGGGGTAGAGGTAAGACTATGCCACCACCTGCTTAAAATATTCCCTTCCCAGGTATGCCAGAAGTCTAAGTGCCTATAGGTAAAGGAGCTCCTTCAGGAGTTGCTAATGTAAATATAAATATTTTATAATTAGACCTCTTTGCTTTACAATGAATTTATTGTCTATGATGTTGCTTAAATTAGATTAAAATATTTAATAAAAATGAAATGGAATTATAAATGATGAATTTAATTCATTTAAATAAATATTAAAATTTGATATTAATTATTATTATTATCTTAATATTATCATAAGATTATTAATACAATTTTACATTATTTTTTACATTAATTTAATATGAAAATATATTATATATATATATATATGATATTTTTTGATTACTATAATAGTTTAAATGAATATGAATTGATAATTTAGAGTAATATAAGAAATTTGAGATTAAAAATATAGATTATTTTGAGTTCATAGGGTAAGATTAAAATAATGAAAATAAATTAATAATGTTTATATATATTTTAAATAATGAAAAACAAATGTATTCAAACAGACATCAGTTATTTTAGAAGAACAGATGAGTATTCATAAACAATAGATCATGATTTTGAATAAGCATTACAATTGTAAAACAATCCTAAATTGGTTTCAATAAAAGAATAATTTAAGTAATTGTAAGATATATACCCTTATGATATTCATTTAAATTATGAAAAAGAAGAGTCAATTCAATTTCAATTATAATTAAAGAGCTTTTTAGATGAATAATCTACATCTTAAATTGTTCTTTTAATAAAAGGTCCTATATTTTCAATTGATGTATTATTTAATTCAACATTCTTATAAGAAGAGAAATAAGAAATTCTAAATATAGTTTCTAGTTGTTAAAATTCGAATCTATTGGAAACAATAATTTAATTAGAAACTAAATTAACTGAAATTGATAAAGAATTTATTAAAAGAAGAGCAGTAAATTAATACAAATTTGTTAATAATTATTAATAAGTGGAATAATATAGTGAACTTTAGATAACAAGAAGTATATCAAATGTATTTGGTAATATAAGTGAAGATATAGATATGAAGTAATCTATTCTAGGTTTTGATTCATTTAAGGATCATTTAGTAGAAAAGTATGACAATTCAGAACCTCAATTTCATCCTGTTTCTACATCAAATCCAATTGAATAAATATCTTAATTATAAGCATGTAGTTTCTCTAGATTTTAATAAGATTTTTCTGAAATACAACTTATAGGAAGTGGAGGTTTTGGTAAAGTATTTAAATCTAGAAATAAATTTGATGGAAATTATTATGCATTAAAGAGAATTGTCTTAGATTATTCAAATAAAAAATTAACTGAAAAAACTAAAAATGAAGCTGTTTTATTATCTAGAATACAACATCCTAATATTGTAAGATATTATCAAGCATGGACTGAAGAATATGTTAAAGATTAATATGAAAATATTGAAGATGATGAAGAATTTGTTGAAGATTCTGAAGAAGAATCTGAAGAAGATGAACCATAATAAATAAGAAAAGGTAGTAGTATAAGTTAAGAAGAATATTATGAAGAAGATATATAATATGAATATTAAGATAATAATGATATGGATTTTTAAATTGAATGGGTAAATTGTGATTAATAAAATTAAGAGGAATCCATTCAAACACCTGAAATCAAACCTCATTAACCAAAATAAAATAGTAATAAATAATTATTATATATTTAAATGGAATATTGTACAGGAGATACTTTAAAAAAAAAGATTGATGAACAAAATCTTACTTCAGAATAAAGAAAAAAGATCATTAGATAAATTTTAGATGCATTATATTATTTACATAGAAATAATATTATTCATAGAGATTTAAAACCTTAAAACATCTTTTTGGATGGAGATTTAAATGTCAAATTAGGTGATTTTGGTCTAGCTACAGAAATGAAATAGGAAATTAAATTCATTGATCATAAATTAATGAGAAATTCAAGTACAATATAAACTAATCAAAATCAAAGATCAGGTTTAACTTCAGGAGTTGGTACTTTCTTATATTTGGCACCTGAATAAGAATAAAGTCAATATGATTCAAAAGTTGATATTTATTCTTTAGGTATAATTCTATTTGAAATGTATTATCCATTTAAAACAGATATGGAAAGAATTAATTATATTACTTAATTAAGAGAATAATGTAAATTTCCAAAAGATTTTGATTAAAAAGTTGGTATGGTTGATAATGAAATTAGAGATAAGATAACTGCTTTAGTGAACAAAGATCCTTAAAAAAGACCTGCTACATAAAGTCTCCTTAATGAATACAAAGACAAAAGAGTTTAATAAGTAATTAGATCTATTGCTAATCCTAATTGTCCTGATTTTAATGAATTAGTTTAAACACTTTTTGAATGTAAACAATTAAAATAATAAAATAATTTTTTTACTTCCTGTCTAGAGGAAGCTATTAGTTAAAGTCCTGAGACATTTTTTAAAAATTTTTAATCTGGTATTATAGAATTATACACAAGAATTGAAAAGATATTTAAATTAAGAGGAGCATTTTAATTAAATTTTAATCCCCTTATTCCTACATAAAATATATTGAAATTTTTATCTATTAGTGGTTAAATTGAAGAGTATGAAAATTGTCTTTATTAAAATTCAAGTTTTAGATACATAACTCAAGAAGGAGAATTAGTTTAATATTGTCAAAATCTAATTTAGCCAGTAATTTATTGGTTGAAATTACTTCCACTTAATAATTTTAAAAGATACACTTTAGGTGAAGTCTAACATTCTGATAGGCTTTAACTCTCGAAACATAATTGTGCATCATATGACATTATATTAGAACAAGATCCAGGACCATCAAAATTTATTGAATTATTAAGTATATCTAGAGATGTGATAAATTAATTTCATAATCTGAATAATTTTGAATTGAAAATCAGTCATACATAATTTTTTGAATTAATTCTATTAGAATTAGATTTCAATTCTTAAACTGTTATAAGAATGTTAAGACATTAAACTATTTTATAAAAAATTGCAAAACTTAATTCAACTATTAATGGAAGTTCATAATTTAAAGATTAATAAAAAGAAATAATTTTAATATTAAGTGAAGAATTCAATTTTACTGATGATAAAGCTGAAAAGTTTCTAGCACTTATGACTTTAAAAATACCATAGATCTATATAAATGAAACTCATCATTCATCAAAAACTAGTGAAAGTGGTAGAAAAACCTAAGAACCTAAACCAAAAAGAACATTGAGAGAATAGTTAAAGGGTTATTTTACTAAATAAGAATAAAAATTTTAAGAAATAATAAGTGAAATTGAAAAATTTGAAGAACTTGCAAAAGAAACATAAGTTTTATGTGATTTTAAAATAGTTTATGAAGTATTCTAAATGAATGAATTATGGTATTATTATTCTGGAATATGTTTTGAAGTATAATATATTTATATTTATTTTTTTAGTTTGTTGAGATTAGAAAAGAATAAACATATTTAAGTAAGAATATGTAGTATGAGATTATGCATTCAAGATCTGAACCTGTTACTAAAAACAAGTATATTATTTTTTTTATTATATTAGTTGTCCGAAAAGACATCAGAAAGGTAATATTGATAGTTTTATTATTGGGGGAAATTACAGTCATTATATAAATAATAAAGAGAATGGGAAACATGCTTGTGGGATTTAAATATATATGGATTAATTCTATTATAGAAAATTTGTTAATCATTTGAACAACAATTTTAATGGTAGAGTATAATAAACATTTGATATATTTAAATGGCCTGATTGTTTAACTAATTTTAAGAGTCTTACTTTGAGTGTATTAATTGTGGTTGAAAATTTATCAATGAAATAAGCTGTGAATTTAGCTGTTCGTTTTTGGAATTATAGAATAGCTGTAATAAAATATTATTATTATAATAGACAATGATTGTATGTAGTAAGAGTTTAAATAATTCAGCATGGAGTTATAAGAAGAATGTAGAAATAAAATTGAGTTTAACTAAAAAATTGAATGAAGTTAAATGTATAATGAAGAAATATCGTGAAAAAAAAGAGGAAGAAGTTCCATATCAAGAGATCTTATAAAGGACTATAAGTTATTTAAAAGAATATGTAAAAAATGAAGGAGGTGAATATAAATATAGTAAAAGAGCATAATCAAAATAAAAATAGTGATTATTATTAACGACAATAATTTAATAAATACATTTGAATTTTTTGGTTATTATTTAATTTTTAATAAAAAATTTGAAAAAAGAAGATTGGCAATGGTTTTTAAAATATTTAAGTCATTATTAGTCAAGAACAGGACCAAAGAATCAAGTGCTATTTGACGGAGAGAAGAGGAACTCAATAAGAACTTATAATGGTATAAGTATTAATTTAGATAATAGATAATGTGAACAACAGACAAGGATTTAAAATAGGATGGGACATAGATTAAACAAGAAAGGAAGATTTAAAAATTGCAGGTAAAGTTGGTTAAGATTAAAGAAATAATAATGGTAATACATACCAAGGTAATCCTTATTAAGGTTAATAAGTATTAATTAACAATATAAATAGGATGATGATTATATGAAGTAAATGTATTATCAAGAGATGAATAAAAAGTAAGAATAAGCTGGTATCTAACATAAATAACCAGAACAGTATTATTAAGATTCTCTTGACCAATACAATAATGGAAAACCATATGGAAATTACAATCATAATAATTAAGACAATTATAATCATGATTATGAACACTAATAACCATAATTATTGTAATAATCCAATAAATATGATCATTATCAATAACCAAATGATGATGAAGGTCTCTATTAAAAAGTATAACAGTTATTTTTATTATCTAAGTATAAATAAGGAAATAGTGGTAACAAATCATATTCAGCAAAACCACCAATTCCACAATACAATCCAATAACTGGAGTTGCTTATGCTAATCAAAATACTTTAAATACAGATGTTACTAATAATTATCAAGGTGCTGCACATTAAAAAACTAATCCTTATGAATAATAATAATAAGATGATGCTCTCAGTTAATTTAGTTAATGTATTAGATACAATCATAAACAATAGTATAATAGCATAAAATTACATCTATTAAAAATAAGAGTTCTAATATTTTCAATGTAGATCTCCAAGAAACTGAAAATATTAATGATACTCGATAGAATAGTAGAATTTTGAATAGAAAGAAGGAATTAGATGATGCATAATATAAAGGCTATGGTAAGTAACTATTGTATCCATAGGACAATTTTATAAGAACCCTATTGAATAAGCTCCAACTTAATATAGAGAATAGAAATTTATTAACAGAAATAAGATTGATAATCACATATTTCCAAAATGATTATTTATAATTATATATATTAATATATTATAAATAATTATTACACGTATATTGCAATTATATAACTTAAATATTATTACATTGTAATTCAATAATTAAAATAAAATGAGTTAAGAAACTCTCAATGGAATCAATGGCATATTGTCTGATGTTTAAAGTTTTGGATAAGAAAGTTATAGATTCATTAGAAAATGCACTAAACCAGATAAAAGAGGTATCCCTAATTTTGAATTTAGAATATATAAAAATTGCAACATCATGTGCTATTGGATTTGTAGTAATGGGAGCTGTTGGATACTTCATCAAATTGGTATTCATTCCAATAAACAATATTATTTTGAGTGCAAATTGAAACAATTTTACATTATTAATATATATTATTAATATTTATTTAATGAACAAATTATAAAATAATCACCAACTTGATGCTTCTTTTAATTATTCTATTGCTTCATCTACAAATGAGTTGAATTATTCTTCTTCTTTAAACATATCAATAATTTCATCAATTGAGTAATTTGTTGGATCTGATAAAATTTCACTTATTCTCTTCCAATGTGCTTCTGTATCAGTATTAAGTCTAGCCTTAATTCTATAATAAAGCATTTGTCTAAAATTATAATCATAATATATTACTAAATTTATCTGAGTTAATCTTCTTAAGGTTTAGCTTTGAAAGCTTCTAAATTAGCCATCAAATCTACTAAATCTTATCTTTTATTGAAAGGAACAATTTGAGCAGGAGCTTATTATTAGAAATCAGGTTATTAAACAGGAGGAGGAATATTTGGTCTAATAGGTTATGGAAATCCTGGAATTTATTATTAGAATGGTCTTCTCATTCCTCCAGGACCACCTTACATTCTCTATTACATTTAATATGGAGGAAAAGGCATTCTTTAACCAAATGGCATAGGTCCTTATGGCATAGCATTCATTCTTCTATTAGGTGATTATCTTTAATTATTTCTTCTTTATCCTCTTTATTATGATTATTGTGGAAAGAGATGTTAAAAGTATTTGCCACCTGCTGTTTCAACATTTGGATCAAAGAGTTTTTTAATTTCTTCAAATTTTTCATTGCTTTTAAAATTCTTAATCAATTTATTTGCATCTGAAGCTTATTCAAAAACAATATATCCAATCCTTATAATTTATTGGAAACCTTATTACATTTTTTCTAATCTAATCTAAAATTATGAAATAATAAGATTACCATTTGAATATCACCATATCCACATTCGTTGAGAGTAGTTCTGATCATTTCTTCAGTGACATTTCTTGAGAGATGATCAGCATAAATATATTTAGCAAATATATTATTGTCTCTTTATTATTTTCTATCTGTCTTAGTCTATGCCCATCCAACATACATCATTCTACCAGTACTCAATGGATCCTTCTTTTAATTAGTACCCAATGTTCTTTATGCTTCTTTAGCATCTTAATGTCTATTGAAACTAACAAATGCAAATGGAGCTTTTCTTTCAATATCAATTTTAACTAAGATTGATACAATTTATCCAAAACCATTAAACCATTCATCTAATTTAGTTCTCATTTCTTTTTCCTAAAATGTAAAACCTTAATTTTACTAATGATTCACGAACTTCTGCATTATCTAAATCATAAGTATCAAGTGATGGCCAGAAATTCTTAATGTAAAGGTTATTACGTTTATCTTCTCTATCTGATTATCCTTTCTTAACAAATCTCTTAACTATAATCGGTTTTTTCTCGTTATACATGATAGTACCATCTGTACTATCAGCTAACAATGCATTAGCTTATTCCTTCTTTTCATATTATACCCATCCATAACCTAAATTTAAATATGAAAATATACCTCTACTCTTTTTATTCTCATCAATAGACAACTTCACACTAACAACTTGACCCCATTTTAAGAAGAATTCTTCAAGTTATTTTAATGTTGTAGTCAATTCGAAGCCTGCAAAGAATAAGTTAGCATCCTTCTCATATTCTTAAATGTAAGTGATACGCATTGGCTCTCTTAAAAGTTACTTATAATTCATTGCTTCTTTTGCTTTACGAGCCTCTTCTTGAGATGAGAAATATATGAAAGCATAATGTTTAGACTTTCCAATTAAAGGATATCTATTTTAAGATTACATATTCATACCTATGTAATTTTACAAAGCTTATTTATCCAAACTTTCTAAATTCCACATATAATTATTCTTCTGTGATACCCTCCTCTAAATCAGCAATATGAAGTCCATTTTCTTATTGTTTGTTTTGATCTTAATATCCTGGGAACCTAAACACTAATACAATAAATCAAACATCTTACTTTGAATCTGATTTAATAAATAAGATTTAAAATTTCTTTAATTTTTTCTATATGCTATTCCCGCTTTGCAGAGATTTTATTTATGCCAAAAGACAAGGACTTAAATTTTAAAAAGAAGTCCCTATTTAAATTTAGAACAATATTCTCATAGATCAGAATGGTCATTAATACTAAATACAAACTCAATAATAAAAAGATAATGAAAGTACTACTATCTATTAAGGATTTGCATCTCATTTTGAAACTTAACTAAATGATAAAGATGATATAATATTTTATATTAAAGAACTTAAATGTAATGGATAGAATATTAAGACAAATATTGCAATCAATATGAAACAATAAATTCAAAAATCAACAGAATCTACTATTTTATACAAACAAATAATAAAAAAAGATCAAAAAATTCAATTAAGTTTTTCAAAAATCTTGTTAGAAGTTGTTATTAAGTAAATAGATTATTAAATAATCAATACAAAAAAAATCTGAATAAATACAACTTAAAAACTCAGAATCATTAACCATAACTAATAATGAAATAAGCTAAATTAAATATCTTGAATAATTGAGTAATGGCATAAGCAAAAGTATTTATTAGTAAATATCAACTTTTTAGAATATTTTATTGAGTATTTCAAGAAATAGAAAATCAAAAGTGATAAATTCATTAATCTAATCTATCCACCTCTTCAAATTGAATAAGAACTATTTGAATTTTAATAAATTAACTATATCATTTTTTATTTTCATTTTATTTATGTCTTTATCTTTTGATATTCTTCTTTAAGTTATTTTAATTCATCAGCAATTTCTTACTTTTCGGTTGTCTTCTTTCCCAAATTAATCTCACTTATTGCCAAAGCTGTCTCCAATTCTTTATTTACTTTCTTCTTCTTCATCTCTATCTAACTATCCAAATCCTCAATTGTCTTCATTAGGGTATCCAGAATTAGATCAGCCTCCTCTATTGTAGACATCTTCTCAATTTTCTGTGAGAGAAGATCATTCAAATATTCTTTCACATTCACATCCTCATCCTTATATTTGTTACCTTAATAATTTTACTTCCAAGTAATTGTAATCAATCTACATACAAATTTATATATTTAAGAATACGAAGTAAAATAAATCAATATATTTTTAGTAAATATTAAATCCATTAAATTGAAGGACAAGCCTATCTAACTTAACAAATAGGTTCCTAAACACTTTTTTATAATGCAGTTGATTATTCACTTAATGTTTCTCTAGTTGCTATACTCTTTAAATCTAATTTCTAAGGAGGGTTCTCAATATCAATATCAACTCTCCCTAATTTTATTTAATTCTCTGGATAATTCAATTTTACAAAGGAATACAGAATCAAATCCAAAAATATGTTAGAAATCTTCAAAATTGTAATTCCAATCAAATAAATATTTAATTCTTACTAATACATATTAAAATTGTATATATACATTTGCACATTCAGCTACAAAAGTACAACTAACAAATAGTTCACAAAAGAAGTAAAATCCAACTATCAAGTGCACCTCATTAGCCAATCTTTTTTAAGGATTAATCTGACACATTATACACAAAATTAAAGTGATAACCTACATTCCCCCAGACCCTACTACTGAAATAGCTCGGTTAAAGTTGAATTTACCCATAATGTAACTATATCTCTATAAAAAAGTAATACTATAAATAAAATGATATTAAGTCTAAGCCAACTGCTATAATATAAATCTGAATTTAAATAACCAGACCAATCATCTTATTTGGTAACATTAATAATGAACATATAATCCCAAGTGATAAGTATTATAATATCATAAGTATTAAACAGTCTTATCTAAAATTCACTATATTTAAATATAGTAAAATCCCAATATATAGACAAACAAAGCAAATTATATATGATTTCTTAATGGAATGTTTAGGTTTGATAAATGTGAGCCCCAAAATTATCAAACTAAATAAAAATTATAAAATTCCTAAAGTTATAGTTAACCACTATTCAGATTAACTTTGTTTAATTTAATTATTACTTTTCCATTTGCAAAAAGAAATAAACCATGGCAACTAAGTTTGTTAACACATGGAACTAAGGAATAGCAATACAACACATTGATTGCATCTTTAAAAAAATAATTATTCGAAAATTATGTTATTCATATATCATAAATATTATCATTTTTATATCATCATCAATCGTAATAATAAATTATATAAATTATTTAATTTAGATATTATTAAATATTAAAAATAAACACTTATTTTATAATTAATTTATTATTTTATATAAAAAATTATAGATTTTTCACATTCTTAATTTTAAAATAATCCTCTTGATCATTCTTGCTTCATATGAAACTGTATGCTTTTCATTCATCTATTCTAGAGGGTTGATCACCTAAATATGATATATTATTATTACAGATGGTATTGCTTTACCAAAGGAATCTGCTGCATCTAGGAAATCCAATATTTCACTATAAGATGTGTCTTTTAATATGATCATGTGTTTTGCTAACACTTCGATAAGTGCAAGAAAACATCTCTTTGCATAAAACCAAAAATCTGTGTTAATCTAATTAGAATATATCAATATAATTCTACTTTTTTATTATAAGGTTCCAAAAACTTGATTACTCTTGAAACACCAAATTCATAATTGTTTTTAGAACAATATAATATTCCAATAACTAAATTTACTATACAAAGATGATAAACAGGTTTATCAGGTTCTTAAACTTATGATTTTTATTCCTCAGCCTCTAATTTTTTCATTAATTCCTCAGCATCCTCATTTTAATTTACCATAATGTAACTGACACATAAATTAGCTACAACAATTGCTGTTAATGATAGTAGATTATCATTGTTTTTCTTAACTATTGGTTCTTAATATCTAATGGCTTCTCTATATTTATTATCTTAAACAAAAAAAACATGAGCCAAATTTAATTTCCAAACTTCATGATCTGCACAAAATTCTGCTGATTATCTAAATAGTTTTTCAACTTATTAATAATTATCCTTATCCCAATAGATTTTAGCTTAAGCCATCAAAACAGGTATAAATTTTTCAAGACAGTCATCAAATTCTTTCAATGATTTCTTTATACCCTTATTATCTCTATTTAATCGAGAATCTTAAATTGATTTTGTAATTCTCCTTAAGGTATCAATATGCTTATTAGCCAATAATTAGAATTTCCTGAATGATTCCTCCGGACTACTGGCTGTTAAAATTAGAGCATCTACAAATTCAAAATCATCTTAACTGATAGTGTTAAATGTGAGATCAGCATTTTCTGCTAATATGTCTGCAGCCATATCAAAATATCCATATTTACAATACAATAGTAATAGATTTGAAAAAGTTTCAGATGGAAATGGAGGATTTTATAATAAATGATTTAATTTCTTAAATCCTTCAGCTGTTTACTCTTCTATGTTAATGCTTAATTCATTAAAGAAACTGGATCTAGTTCCTCTTCTTCTCTTGGAGGCATATCAATTAAAGCTTCTTTGGCAGCTGAATAATTTTTTATTGAATATTCTATTGCAGCTTTCAAATTAAAAGCCTCAATAAGGGCTGACTCTTTTAATGCTTATGAATTTCCAACACTTTTGACTTCAATTCCTTCAGAATTTGATCCAACACCTAATTAAGGATGTTCTCTGACTCCTCTTTCAATAATTTCTGCAATAAATTTCAATGATTATGCCAATTACTTTTATTTATAATAACAAAGTGCAATATTGTATGACAATTCACATGAATAACCAGTTAGATTCATTGCATCTTAAAATCTTTATCTAGCCTCTTCAAATTTATTCTCTTTATATAAAATACAAGCTTCATTTATTATTGTATTAGGATCATCCATATCATTTTATTTAAGTAATGTTTTTGCATGTTAAAATTCATTTTTTTTTCATATCTAATCAATGCTTAAAGTTATAAGATTTTACCTTAATATTAAGAATTTTCAACAGAAGCACAAATCTTGAGTGCTTCATCATATAAACCTATATTTGAGAATACCATATAAGTATACTATCTTTGTAATAAGATTGAGCTATATAGATTTTGTAGTCATCAATTTCTGGATAATACTTAACTAATTGTTCATAACTATATTAGATTAGATATACATAGTAACAACTTAGGAAAAATCTTAATTCATATAATGACAATATGCTAAGAGTGAAAGAGGTCTGCTTTTTGGACAAAATTATAGTTCGTAATTCAAATAATTGATGGCATCTTTATATTTCTAGTCCTTAATTAAATTATAGATGGTTCTTGTGCGTTAACCTTCTATAATTGGATGGATCGGTTGCATTTTATATTTGAAATTATAATAAATAAAAATCTATATATATTTTAATCACTTATGATTATATGTAATATTTCTCAAGTAAATTTACAAATAAAAAAGAATAGCTATATATTTGGGTGTTCAATTGAATATATCTTATATATTAATATTTGAATCTTCTTTATAATATTAAAACAATCTAAATGATAAAATTCATAAATAATTAAATACCGTTTCTCAAATTCAAAAAAGTTCATTTATTACAAAGTATAAGAAAGTTCTACTTTATATGACTCCCAGACATCAGTATTTGAATTTAATTCCTAATTTATAAAGATTGATTCAAGAATTCTATAATATTATGAAAAATGGTTTGATTCACTAAAAAGAGAGTATAAAAAAGACTAATCGTATATTCCGTTTAATCTAACCTACCTAATTAGCAGAATTTGAATAATTTATTATGTCATATCTAGATTAATTTTTATACAAGAAATGTAAGAATATCACAAACCAGCAAGATCATTACATTTTGCATAACCAAAAGCTGAATTCTTATTCAAATCTAATAAAAGATATCCTGAATTCGATCCAGCTTGTTTTTTAAATGACTTTGATGCAATACCTGAATAAAATTTGAGGTTCAAATCTGAAAATATTTCACTATTAACTAAATAAACTGATTAGAAAAAAGAAATGTAAAAAGTACCTGATACTAAAATTCCAGTCCTCCCTAAAATTAATTAAAAGTTTATTCGAGATCAAGATGTTGTTGAGGAAGTGTACTTCTTACCTGAATCAAAATAGAAGTACTTACAAAAAAATAGATTAATTTTATCTAATAACATCCTATAACCCTCTTTAGATAGAATTAGTAAATCTTCTAGAGATCTTGATTAATTATAGGCCAAAAAAAAAAGAGTCGAATTCAATACTGCCTTAGAAATTGTAGACTTTGAAGGAAGAGTTAGTACTGAAATAATAAATCCTGAATAATAAACAATTACAAAATAGAAAAGATTTTCAAGACTTAAAACACTTGAATGTTGATGTTAGGACATTATTTTATAATTTATTTTTCTTATTATAATAATTGTGATTAACTTAAATTCTGTATAATTAATTTGGATATTGAAAAAAAACAATAGAGAATTAATAAATAAATTGAATTATCAAGTCTAAGTAGAATCTACAAATATTAAAGAAATCATTAATTTAATTAAAATTTTTAATATTAAATAGTTTATTTTCTATGAAGCAGATAGTAAAGAATTTTATATTTATATTAATTAAATTAAGTATATAAACTTTAAAAGAGAGTATTTTAAATAAGATTAAGTTATTAAAATAATTTGAATAAGTATTTCTTTTTATGAAATCAATATAAATTATAAGATTTTATGTTTTAATGAAAAAGAAATTTTAATATAAACAATAAGTTAGTAAGTAAAACTATTAACATTCTTAATTATGTTAAATCTTTACTTTAAAATAAACATAATAATTAATTATAAAATTTAAATCGAATAATATGAAAAATTCAAATTAATATAATTTAACATATTACAATTTTCAATATTAACTTGTCTTCCTTTTAGCTTAGGATGAAAAGTTAGTTCCATCAGATTAATTTATAAGAGATTTGACTCTAATATTCATAATACTGAATTATGGTCCAAATAGACCCAAAAATATTGGTAGTAATACTAAACCCTAATGATAAGATAATAAATAATTTTACATTAAATGCTCCCAAAACAACCATCAAAATATACATTCTAAAATAGTAAAGTTTAAAAAGAGTTGATGGAGCAAATCCAAGGACAGCTACTCCAATAAATTTAGTACAAGCAATGCCCACAAATACAGAAGTTCCCATTGTAGACATAGCTCCAGTAACTCTTTCCCATCTTTTACCTTCACATAATCTAAATTTGATAACAATATGAGCAACAAATTCTACAGCCAAACCTATACAAGTAACTAAGTTAACAACACTCACTGCATTAATTTCAATCTAAAATAACACAATTTATAATTACAATAAAACCTCCAAATATAACATTGGTTAACCATATAGTTCCAATTAGATTAAAAGCAATCAAAAAAACAAACAAAACAACTATGATAGCACAAACAACATCTTAAACAAGTGTCATAGTGAAGAAGATAGTTGCTAATGCAAGAAGTACATTTGTTATAGCCACTGCACGAATGTAGGAATATTGATCATAAAAAACATATGGCATTGAATAAGGATACACTTTTTGATTATCTTTTAGTTTTGCATCTTTAACTACTTTATCAATAACTTATCTAGTTTATTCTAATGATAAAATATATCCTGCTGAATTATGAATAGGTCTATGTTGAAATCTAAGTCTACTAGTTTTTACATAACCTTATTCATTAAGTACAATATCAGCCTCAAATGTTTCACCACAAATACCATATCTTTGACAACATGGAGAATTTATTCTAACTCCTAAAAATCTCTTTAATTAAGTAGGTAAGTCATAGAGTGCAATATCCTATGTTTCACAAGCAGTTGTCCATTCAGCTTTCTCTCTAATAAAAAGATTGAAAGAAGCCACCCAACTATATATGGGTGGTTGAACTGTTTCATTTAATTAAGATAGAGAATTAGACAAATTGGCAACTAAATCTAGATCATGTTAATTTTAATAATCTAGATTCTCTAAAATTAAATAAGCCAATGGTCCTATCTCAATGTATTTCTTTTCTAAAGTCATATAATTGAATAAATTTGATCCCTCAACCATAGACACCTATTCATCTAATCCAACTTATAATTTTGTTATTCCAACACAACTAATGGCAAATAATGCTACAAAAATAATTATTGTAGTAATAACACAAGCTGGTTTCTATATAAATGGAGAATAGTGTTTTTTAAAGAATGTTTGAATTAGTTTTCTATCTTCTTTAATTTAATAATTTGTATCCTATTTACAAATCATTAAATCATATCTTTTATGTTTTTTTCTTTATTCATCTAATGTGAGAAAGGCTACAAACATAGTGATTTACAATAAATAATCTATAAATACACCAACTGCTGCTTAAATACAGAAGGATTATAGAGCTGGCATCTTAGTTAAAGAACCTACTAAAAATGCTAGAGTCTCACAAATAGCTGCAATTGTAATACTTGGACCTACTTACTTTAATGTATAACCCATTCTTTCAGGTACTGTTGGATGCTTCTATTTTTTATAATTGTGAGTAATAATAAACATATTATCAACTCCAATAGCCAATATTAGAAAAGGAATAACCTAAATTAATTATAAATTCTCATACTTCTAAACTGATCATAGTCAAACCAATGCTAAAATAAGACACCATTCCAATACTACTTATCATTGAGACAGCTACAATGAAGATACCACCCAAACCCAATGTAAATCCATTATAGATCTTACTTGGAAATTAACCAATTGCAAATCCAATATACATAAACATCATAAAATATGAAACTACAACAATCCAAGCATTTTGATTAGTTTCATCATCTATTTCATCTGATACTGATCTCTCTGCCATAAATGCCACTCTATATTAATCTAATAATTATTCTCGAGGAGCAGGCATTAAAGATTTATCATAATACTTATATAATTTAGCATAATCTCTTTTATTCAATGCATCCAAAGTATCCATCCAAACTTCTTTCTCCCATTATTCAGCATCTTTCTTAGTAAATTCATCATTCATCAATAGATAAGTTACAGCCATAGTCTTGGCTTGAATATAACAATGATCACATGGTTAAGTATCATTAACTCTTTATTCACAATTTCTAATTTATTCATACATTATTATACATTCCACCAAATACTGATTCTAAAATTATTGGAATACCATTCTTATCACTACATGGAATATTAGTTTGGTTTACATCAATTGATTCTGTACAAAGTGTTGTGAATTGTATGTCCTCATCTTTCTATTATAATAATATTATTATTAAACATCTAATAAGGAAGGATCCTATAACCAAATATCCATTGGACTTGGCACATAACATCCCTTTGCAGATATTGGTCTGTAACATAAATCATCAAGAGTTGTATTCTTTCCTCCTATTAAGACTTTTCTGTTTCTAATAATGTTCTATAAAAAGTAGATCACTTTTAATCCATCCTTTTGAAATACATTCACCCAATTCTCATCTTAATATGCTAATATAAATTAATTGGTTCTGTAGAAAGGACCATAGTTTTCTGCAGAACTCTCTTATTCTTAATAGGTTCTACTGCTTGATGATACCCATAATGCTAAAAAATATTATTAAATAATTTACACTAAGGATCTGTTAACACAGTTAGATTGTAAAGTCCTAAAGACATTATGCCTGTTACTGTCATGCAAATTACAAACACTAGACATGGATATTTGGCTCCAAAATAACCAATATTGTAGAAGAGGCCAGACATTAAATCTTATTAAAATAATATTATTGTAAATATTATTATTCATAAATTCCAATATTTAAATAAAATTTAATATTAATGTTGCATTCCACATGAGATATTTAAAGACTACATTAACATCAATTTATTTACTCACTAAATAAATGAATAATTATTAATGTACTATTAATCTTATATATATCAATATTTTAATTTTTATTTATTTAAGATGCTTAGTATTCAATTAATTTAATTAAATTATTGAAGTCTCTCTTTATGCTCTATTATTCTTTTACTTAATTGAATCTTAATTTTTCTAAAGAAATTATTGTTATCTTTAATATTAATAACATAAAATATGATACTAACATTTGTCAGATTTAATATAAATAATGTGTATTTTTATATAAAAGACTTGAATTCTATATGATATGAATAATAAATCAAGAGGATAATAATAAATTATCTAAAATCATCTTTTTGCTAATATTAATTAATGTTTTTAATAAAATTCATTTAATTGTACACAAAAGAACTAATAAGAAAATGAATCTTCATCAACTTTAGATACACCCATAGCAAAATCCATTATATTATTAATTTCTTATATTGATAATTCTGTTAGGTCTCTCAATATCTCAAACAATAATTCTTTACTTATATTACCACACTTTATTTTATCGAAATCTTTCAGTACCAAACATAATTGATACACTGCTTTTTCCGATTTTTCATATTCATTTTCACCTGTTATTTTAAATTATTAAATTAAATGACTTTTTAATTTTTCTAATACTTCTCTATCATCTAAAGGTTTAATCTGGAATGCTTTATCAGGATCCCTTACAAATTATCCTTCTTTGTAATTGAAAGTGGGTTCAAGTTCTTTAAAATTTGGTCCTGGTTTATCATAAGGAATTAATTGTGGAGCTGGTAATTTAATTTCATCATTGAATCTTGCTCTTAGTTTATCAATAAATTCTGGGAAATAGATCATTCTAAGTGGTTACTAATATGATGGTTCTTTATTATGCTCTAGTGATTGAATAATCATAGTAACACTTGTTTAATCTACCAATAATAAATCCTCATTAATAATTTTTCTCAATTACACTTCATCTATCAATTGATCTGCTTACATCATTTTCTAAGCTTTATCCTCATATCTAACTAAAATTGATAACATTATAGATTTGAAAAGAGTTTAATAAGCTTTTTCTAAATCAGTTAATTCTGCTTATTCATGTTTCTCAAAGTTTTCTGATACCAAAGTTTATAAGAATTCTTATACTTTTAGTAATAGTTGTTATTACTTAGAAAGTGTAAATAATCCATGATTAGCTAAATAATACCTAAATTCATTAAAATCTAATTAAGAATATCCAATTTCTAATGATCTAATAACAATTTTCAAATTTTCAAGAGTACATAATCCATCATTTTAAAAAGGTTTAAATGCTTAAGCAAGCATATTAGTAGTATATTTACTTGCCATTTCTTGAAATTCTTTGAAGATTTTAGGTAATTGCATAAGTTCAAGATGAGGTTATTTTGCATCATACATTTTAATAACTTCTTTAAAATAAAGTGGTCTACATTCCATTATCCAATGAACAAAAGTGAGAAGATTAAATTCTCCAAAATTATTTCTTTTCCAAATTAAATAATATAATAGGGAACATTCATCATAAGTCATTTCTACATTATATAATTTGACTTTTATCAATTAAATGAATTAATCTTTCATAAGAAATGGAAACATTTTTTAATTTCTTCTAATTCCTAAGAAATCAAATAATGCCATTTCAATTTTCTCAGGAGCTATAAATTGAAAAGCTAATTATGGTAAAGCTTATACAGATATCTTTTTAGATATTAAAATTTAAAAATTCTCTAAAATGATATTATTATTATGTCTAGAGAAATTAGCCATCTTCTCTTAAACAATATCATCAAAAATAATATTAACTGCATTAGTACTCAACAATTCTAAATCCAATAAATTTAAATTAAAATGTTTGAAATCATAGATAGCCTTACGATCAAAATAATTTGAGACTTCTTCTTCAAAATGTTTCTAAATTTCTTCTAAAAATAATTTATTTGAAGCTGAATTCTATTTCTATCTAATAATTGCATTCTTAAACACATGAAATGAATTCTTTGGTGGTACACACTCTGTTAAATATTTATATAATTCTCTATAATCAATATTCCTATTAGAACTATAAGGAGCTTCCTTTAATATGCTAGCAATATCAAATTCTGTAAAATAAAATTAACTTTTTGAAACTTCTACTAACACATCTCTCAAAACCTTTTCCTAAATAGTACCATCTTTGAATTGATCATATCGAGAACATAATTCAATAAAATCAAACTTACAATAATATATGTATTCTCTTAGTAATTACATACCGTCACTTAGAAATTCAGGATGATGTAGTTTATAATACTTATCTAAGTTATCAGTCATTTTTTTATTTTATTTAATATTTAATGTTTTTTACCTTTTTATTGATTACGCATCTAGCACATTCAATAAACATTAAGGATATTTATCATTCCAATATTGATAACTATTATATACATCAAAATCAATTAAGTACTATTTTGACCCTTCCAGAAGCTAGAAAAATATCTATAACCTAATTATAAGAACAATCAATATGCAATGCTAAATAAAGAACGTTAGGATTTCATACTGAGTTATATTAACAATTTGATGAAAATCAATATTTGCTTGCTTTAATTCAACTTACCCCAAGTTCCTATTTAATATATTCTTCAAATAATACTCTCATTTACATGGACAGTGACATAGCATAGTACCACTAATTTTCAATGGATAATAATCAATAAATCTCAATGTTAAAATTAGATTAAGATGTCATCATTCTTTCTAATACATAAGCCTTTCTTTTGGAAATGGAAACCTTATCTAAAAGATCAGTTATCTATAGAGAAGTAAAAGATTGGCAATCACGAACTTATAGGAGATTGACAAAATTGATTAAAATCTAAAATAAATAGTTTTTGCTCTCAGCAATAGGAGAAGATGGATTAGAACTCTATAGTGTAGAAGGTAGAAATATCACATTCACTAAGTAATTCTAAGCATACAAAAACATTGTTGATTTCGCTGAAGTGAATAACAATGTATATATACTAGATTCTGAATAAGGACTTATTTGGTGTTATGTTGAATCTGCCAATCTTACTACTCAAATCAAAAAAATAGATAATATGCAGGGTGGAATTGCTGTTGATTCATACAATGGAATCAATGTTTTCGTAGCATATAAGTGGGTTCGTTATGCAGTAGTTGAATATATTGTAAATTAGACATCATAACATTGGTATAAACATAATATGATTTACACAAAAAAGATCTATGACGTAGATGCTCTTGCTGACTTTGCAATCATTTAAGGATAATATCACCATCTTGTTTTATTTAATTATCATTTATCTGATGAGAACACATACCTTAGACACTTTCGTTTATCAGACTTTCAAGTGTATTATCACTAAGATAAAGTCTATTTTAGTGGCATAACATCAAAATCCTATGTATTTTCAGAACTTTATGTTCTACCTGCCTAAATTATTTGTTTCTCTAATCAGACACCAATTAGTTTCTCTTACAAATTATAATATATCCAGTAGATTACAAAAAGTAAATACTAAAAACATCATTAAAAGTTTTAGGTTAGTATTATTGACACTTATTTTTATGAAGATTAAATAGTTTTGATAGTTATAGGTTGTTTTTTGATTCTTATACTTTTAATCTTGCTTTTGGTTTTTTTGATAAAAAAAAATAAATCTATGTTAGCATATACCATGGAGTTAGAAAATATTATTTTATATAAATATAAATAAGATGTCCTGAAGAAAGAAGATGATCCTCCTTAGATCGTATAATTGAACTTAATGAGTGTTAGAGAATCAAAAGATATTGAACATTTGAATATTTAATAATGAATTAATTTTTATGAACTTTTTATTGATTTCTTTGATCATCTAATTCATAAGTTATACGTTAGGATTCACTATAACTGAGATCGAAGAGCCTCTAAGTTCGATTAAAATACATCCAAATGAACATAGAACATTAATTTTAGATGATGCTAAAGATGCTATTCTATTATCATATAATCATAGTAGAGGTTGTGAAGTAACTCCATTATAACTCTAATTTGAAACTCAAGAATTCAGAATCATTCAACCATAAGATTTTACAGAAAAAGATTTTGAATCAGACACTATTCTGAACTTTCGTTAATTTGTGTCAATGGTTCATATAAAAGATGGCATGTTAGCAATTACTTCAGATTCAATTGCTTATCTACTTAAATTTAATTATAATACTGTTTTTGAACATGATTTTGAAGAGAAAGGATAAAAATTTGCTAGAATTTTATGGAAAGCAGATCTTCAAACAATTGCCCCATCTTTAGTTGCAAAAAATGAATTACCACAATTATTATTTGCTCCTTCTTATAATTTAGCTTTTTTGTTATTTAGTGATAGTGCTTAACTATTTAGTATGGAATAGATGGAATCATAAACAACATCACTTGATGTATATTAGGTGACTGATTGGAGAAAGAGAGGATATAGAGGATTAACAAAAGAGATAGATGGTTTAGTATTTAGTGCAGTTGGAAGAGATGGATTGGATGTTTATAAGATTATTTAAAAGGATCTTAGATTTATAAAGAATTTAAAGTTGAAAGATTTTGGTTTGAATTCTTCAATAGAAATAGTTGATTTTGCTATAGTAAAGCATGGTAAATTAGATGGATATTATTCAATGTTTTTATTGGATAGGGAATGTGGATTATTATTAATAGATGTTCATAAAGATTAATATGTTAATTTTGGATTGAGATCATGGATAAATTTTTAATCTGGAGGTATATCAGTAGATACTAGAAATGGTAGAAATGTATTTATGGCTTATTAATCAATGAATCATCATTATGTACTTGAATACAATGTAGATTTAGATAATGGAAATTCATTTCAAATAAGAAAAAAGAAGATAGATCATAGAATTATTGATTTAGATGCCACAGAAGATTTTGTTATTGTATAAGGTGTTAATTAGCATTTAATTCTATTTTCAAATGGATATGATTTTGTTATGAATAATCATCAAGATTAAGTATTTAAACATTTAGGTTTAAGAGATTTTGCTTTTTTTAATTAATCTTATAAATTGGAAGATATGGATGATATTACTAAAGAATACTAATATGATGATTTCTTTTTTGGAATAACTGCATAAAGTGCTTTTCTGACTAGATTCTAGATGTAACCAATTAAATTGAATTGTTTCTATCATTAAACTGATGGTATTATAATTAATAAATATTAAGTTGGATAAATTTTCACATATATTCTCCAATATAATACAACAGTAGAAGGTGTTTCAGATCTGGTAGTAAGACATACACAAAAGGTGAATATTGAGATTGTGAAGACTTATTTTTATGAGGCAGAATATTACTTATTATATTCAATTGGTTTTTTGTTAGGATCAGTGTTGTTAATGGGATTGGGATATATAGGCTATTGGTTTTATAGTAATAAAAGGGAACATTAGATATTGGTGGAATATATTGAGAAAACAGCTAGGGAGAAGGGAATAAAGTAGATTAATGGATCAACTATTTAGAAAGGAGACGAAACTTCAGTTTTTTAATAAAATAAATCTATGTTATCCTGATAAAATTCAAAAACTATATAACTCATTTAATTTATAATTTAATTAGGCTAAATAATCTGATGTTTATTTTTTTTCATGTATCAAAGAGAAATCTATATTCGTATTTCCATTCATTATTTTACTTCTAGTTAAACACATCTCCATCATATAATCTAATAAACAAAACACATCATTCTCTTTTGCACTTAATAAAACTTATTTGGATATACTAATCACTCTCTCTTTAATTATCTTTTCTACTGATATTAATTAATTTAAATTTAAATCTCCTCCTTCAATAAATTATGAAAAGTCAGCAGATAATCGAAGATTGGATAGTAATCCTATTCTATCAAAATACTACATAGTATTAGTAAATAGTTCAGATGCTAATTAACTTTCTTATTACATTTGACTTATAAATCTTATGTATTCAGTAGTCTTTTTATATTATTCAAATAAGGCAAGAACATTTGATTATAGTAATTTGAATGAATTGGATATGAATTTTGCAGACAATAAACAAAGCATTTCGAAATACATTTCCTTCTTTTAATGTTAAGCAATTGTTGAAATATGCTAAGTCATTTCCACATTAACAAAATGAGAAAAATTGATTTACATCCTTTATAAATTATAGTTATTCAATTGATTCATAAACCTCTATGAAGAAGCATCACTCTATAGTATTTATTAAGATGCTGGTTGTGGTTATGGTTATTCCAATATATAACTACCAGTCATGTTTGCATTAAATTCAATAGCACCTAAATTCTTCTCTGACTCAAACATGGCAAATAATTCTGACCATTCCATTCTTTTACTCTCTTCCTTTTCCAAAGCTCTACTCAAAAAGTTTTTTCCAAAATCAGATAAAATAGTTCCAACTGGAAATCTTAAAGGCTATTTCATCACATTCACAGTTAAACTTTTCTCATCTACACCTGTCCATGGAGCCATACCATATATCATTTCATAATAGATTACTCCCAAAGACCATATATCTGATTTAGTTGTATATTTCTCTTTCTTCAATATCTGAGGTGCCATATATAAAGGTGAGCCAACACAAGTTCTTAATAATTCTCCACTAAAATTATCAACTATTTTTGCAAATCCAAAATCTGCTATCTTTACTACACCTCTATGATTCATTATATTTGCTGGCTTCAAATCTCGATGAATGATGTTTGCTTTTACTAATTCTTTAAAACCACTAGCTAATTAACAGAAAATCTAATTAACTTCAGATTCTGGAATACGTCTTCCCTTCATTATATTTCTCAGATCACCATCTGCACAATATTCTGTAACTATATAGATTGAACGATCCGTATTAAATTTATCTATAAATTTCACAATATTAGGATGATCAAGTTATTTCATTATTTGGATCTCAAAGTCTAAAACATTTTCATTCTACATAGATACTTAATGCATCAATTAGATATTGATCTTTATTGATCATTGAACTATCTATTTTTTTTATAGCTACTTCCTAGTTTGTTGTCAATTTATTTCCTCTATAAACCTTTCCAAAAGCTCCTTCTCCCAATAGATATTTCGTATCAAATTAATAATCTCCTAATCTCCTTAAACTTTATTCTAATTACTGCTACATAGTAAATTATAAATTTATATAATCATTTCTATAAAATATTCATTGCTTTCAATATTTGATCTTCATCGATTATCTATTTCTTCTTCTCTATATATTCATTCAATTCTAATCTCAATTATGATCTGTTCATATATTCACATTAAATATTAAGTAATTCATTCTTTATATTAGCTAACTCTTACACTTTTTGATTATGAATTAACTCCAACATTTTAAAATCTTCCTTTACATCTTCAATCTTCTATTAATTGAACTCTAAAATTTACTATTATTCTTATTTCTATGAATCCCTTCTAATGAATAGTGATTCAGCCAGACTATTTATTCGATCTAATTCTTTATTTATTGGTTATTTTGTTTATAATAATGAGTGATCCCAATTCTAAGTGTCTATCTTATTTTATTAATAATAATCTAAAGGATTGCGAGATTCTATAATTCTATCTTAAGTTTTTGGTTTATATGTTGACATCCCTTAATATTTACTAAACTAGTTCAATTCATTATTAAACATATGAAATAAAATCTTATTTAGTTTAAATTAATCAAGATTGATCTTAAATATTATTATATATTGATAAAATTGAAAGAAATAACAAAAGATCATTCTAAATCAATGTGTTTTAAACTTCTTGCATTTATTTGATTGACTTGAAAAGGTATCAAAATATATTAATTTAAATTCAATTCAATTTTGAATTATTCCATTATCTAACTTTAACTAATCAATTTAATATAATCTGATATTGATTTTAATGCTTTCTTTACTTTTTCTATTTAAAAATTACCTGAAATATGAAGCCATCTCTAACTCTCCTCTTCATTCGTTAAACAAATAGAAAGCTATTATCCTTGTGAATTTTCAGCTATTATTAACAAAATCAACAAAAATATATTCTATATCGTATTGATATTACTATTACCAGTTACGAATGCCTTAACTGATAGGTTAGTATACAAATTGTGTATGATTTATGCTAAATTATAAATGTTTATTTCGCTTTCATTTAATTTTGAGAGTCTTAGATCCTCATATAATTATAAGATCAAGAGTTTTCTTTCAATAAGACGACATTTCAATAAAGACAACCTATCTTTATGACTTAATATTTTAAGAATGAGTCTAATAAAATTTCTATGTCTTATTTCATAAATTGATGTATCTGGCTATTTTTATTTAAGGAAATCTCTCATAAGAAGTAATATAGTTGGTTTATTTCCATAATAAATTGAACATTCAATTCTTATCATTTTTCTTAAGTATTCTACTACCAAAGTCTTATTAAAAATAGATGCTCTATCCACTCGATATTTCTAAATTTGCATAAACAAAAATTTCTCTAATTTATTTCCCTTGTATATTGAATCTCTAATGAAATTTGATCCATCAAATTATCTGTTAAAAAAGTGATTACATTAAGCCTCTGATTTCAGAGTAAATTACATAGTATCCTCTATAAAAGATAAGACTATATATGGTTATTTGAATGCAATTGAATTTAAGATTTTTTCCCAATGAGAATCATTCAAAGCCAATAAGAATTGATTACGCATTGCCTTATGAAAATGATATAAATAACGAATTGTATAAAGGATGACAAGCACAGAACTTATGATTGTAGAGAACAGTAATAAGTTAGAAGCTATTTAAACCAAAATAATTTTCATAATTCCTATAGTTATGACTGATATAGCTGCATCCATGAACTCACCTGAAATAAGCATTAAAAAGTTTGCACCCATAACATTAGCTCCTTTAAGAAAACTATTGTATGAATCATCTTGTTCTGATACTTGCAAACTAAAAAATAATGAGATTAAGTGATTTAATAGGATTATGGCAAATCGTATATATTTAGTATGTTTCTTCATTATACCATATTAAATAAGCAAGTAGCAAATAAATAAACAGTATTTGTAAATGGTTTGATATTCATTTAGTAAAATACTTTCAATGATTTTAGTTAATGCAACAACTAGAAGACCTAAAGTCATAATAGTAAGAGTGAAAACTCTAAAATTTTATTAGGTTATGTTTTGATAGTTAGATTCGATCTCTTTGTCTTTGAAATTTAATGTATATTTATTCATGATTGGATAAAATATAAAATAAGTATGTAATATAATGATTTTAATTTAGTAATTGTAATTGAAATATTAAAATTACTCATCTCAATAATTCCATCACTTTAATGAATTGATCTAAATTTAACTAATATTATAGATAATACAAATATACTTTTTTTTCTGGTGCTAATTCATCAAATTAGGCTTCCAATTCTTCATTAATCACATTGAGATATTTTGTAACATTATTAGCTCGAATTTCTGATTTATTGTTACTAAGAAGATAAAACATAGTTTCAAGATTAGTTTTAGTAAGCAATTAATCTCTAGGAGCAGCTAGCGATAAAAAAGTAAACTATGCCATCTACTCTTATTTTATTGAATGACTAACAAAAATTTAATCTATTAAATTTTCTAAATCCTTCAATTTAGTATATTTTTCAAACATCTTAATTAATTCATCTTTTTTAATTATAGTGTCCATATCACTATCAAATTCACTGAATAATTTTTATAATTGTAGAGCAGTCTCTTATTCAAATTCTTAGATCATTATTTCAAGTATGGCTTACTATAATATACAACTTTCTTTTTAATTAAGCATATTCATTAACAATCTTTCTTACAAAGGTATTTCTGTATATTTTTGATCAACTATCCATTTACTAACTTTTAATTCTTCTAATGTTTTTCTTTTTTTTGAATTCTTTTCTCCAATTACAGATTACAATAAACTCTAAAAATCTTATGAAAACTTTTTAATATCTGATTCCACATCAAAAGTAGTATGTAATATTAATTATTTTGCAGAAGGAACATCATTTACATATTTTGGAGGAAATTTATATGGAAGACTACCCTTTCCTAATGTATATAGTATAAGCATCACTGCCCAGAGATCTCTTTCTGGTTTAAATTCTTCATGATATAAAAATTCTGGTGGTGTATAATAGATTAGATCTATATCTTCTATTTTTTTGGTTGAAATTGGTTTGACATCAACAAGTTTAATAAATACTTAACCAGATTTAAAATAATATTCCCAACTGTTAATTGTTAGATTACCATGATTTAATTATAAATTTTTAAGATAACTAAGTACTTAAAACATTTATTCAGCAATATTTGCTAAAACTATTTCAGTAAGATCTTCTGAGTTCTATAATCGAGATAATTTCCAACCATCAAAATATTCTAAGACTAATTAATATGCATTATTATCTTAATGAACTTCTAAATTCTTTAGTATATGTTAATGATCCTATAATCATAATAATAAATATAATTCTTACTAATTGATTAGATTTTAACCAATAAATATATTTAATACTATCTTATTCTTCTTTTGATATCAATTCTAATCGAGCTTTCATACCATTTTTATTTCCTTATATGAATGACAAATCAGGCTAAAATATCATAATTTTACTCTTTTACATTTCTCTAACACTCCTTGTTATATAAGAATGAATATTTTTTTGATGCATTTGTACTAAAAAATTGAACTCCTGCTTGTATTGAACCTCTCTATGCAGATTAAGGAGATCCAGGAATATTTAAAGATCTCTGTGATCCAGATCTAATATTTCTAGAACTCATTTATTTTTATGGTTTTTCACCTTATTTAGATAGGTTATGTGATAACACTGATTTTCTCTTATCTTCAACACCATTCACAGGAGAATGAATACTGTATTGACTATTTTGATTAGGAGGAGTATTTTAAGCAGAAGCCTCTCTATTCAATTAATTTTAAACTTATATATCAGGCTTGGGTTCCTCAATAGATTTATTAGGAAGTATGATTTTTAACTATTGTTTTTATTTTGGAATTTTTGAATTAGAGCCAGATTAAGAAGAACAGATTCCCATATGTTTATTATTTCTTATTGTTAAATATTAGAGTAATAAGATTTCAATTTAAAAAGAAGTATTCATAAATATTATACTTCCCGTATTACTTATTTATTAAATAATTAAATCTTCAAAGAAGGATGGCTGTCTAAAATTCTAATTACTTTAAATTATAAAGTAATAATCACAGTAAACCAAATGAATTGCCAATCTACAATGATTAAAAAAAAAAACTCATTAGAATCAGAGAAATAAATAATAACATTATAAACAATGAATATTTTGGTCAATTGTAAAACCAAGAATAACAAACAAAACCGAGATCCATCTCTTTATAAGATAATGAAAAAACTAGATTCCATAATGAACTCTATAATCCTATTTCTATTAATCAAAATAATTCATTAGTCTCATAACCTAATTAATAATTCTAGATGGAGCAACTTCAATTATATACTTCTAGATGGAATAATAAACAAGAATATAATGATTCATAGAATATCATATAGATTAATGCATTCAATTAATAGAATCATTTTCTAAAATTGGGTGACTAAATAGACTATGCTTTAAACAAACAAACATAAAATTCTATAAATAAAAAATAGTAATTCGATAATAATATTATAAAAAAATAGTAATATAATTTGCCTACTATTCATTAAACAAATCATTAGATCTAATTATAAAATTCAAGACCTTAATCAATATAAAAAACAATTAAAAATGATTCTTTGAATTGTACACAATCATCCTTTATGAAAACTTAACGTTCTGTTTGTAATTAATGCAAATAAGATATTTTAGAAAACAAAATCAATTTAAGTTGCTGGCATCATTATCATCAAGAATGTCTTTCATAAATAATAAAATATCAAATAGAATTAAAGAATAAAAGTAAACTACCCAAATGTTTATGTGGAATAGGTATCAAACAATAAGTAATAAAGTATTTGCCATCTGGATAAAATTTTATAGAGGCTTTGATGAAAAAATAATTGGATCTAATATACAAGTTATATTCTAACTTATTAAATTAATGTCCTACTTGTCAATTCAGATTTATTTATGATTAAAGATTAGGAAAATTGTGTTATTGCTAAAATTGTAAAAAAGTATTCAAAATATTATGATCAATATCCTTCCTATTATAAATTATATTAAAGTTTAATTTAATAATTAATTATTATTTAATGGTTAAGCGTAGCAAAGAGTAGTTCTTTAAAAAGAAGATGAATACAAAATTTAAGTCATCCTAAAAAGGATCAAAGAGTGGAGCATCTACTAATCCAGATAGAAAATTACCTGAGAAATAATTAAATGCTAAGCATTAATTCTTTAGATCCAAATAAACAATATAGAGATTGAATTTGTACAATGAGAAACCTAATAAGTATTTAATAATTTGAATGTCTAGAGAAGAAATGTGGAAACAAGCAACACAACCTGCAAGAGTAGATCCAAATAGAAAATGGTTTGGAAATATTAGAACAATTGATCAATAATAACTTGATAAATTAAGATAAGAAATGGCTAATAGAACACATGATCCTAGAAGTGTTTTAATCAAGGCTAAACAATTACCATTATCATTATTAGTAGAGGCATAAAAAAAGAATAAAAATGTTCCACTTTTGGAATTGGAGAGTTATGAAGTATATATATATCCTTTACAAATTTATAGGATACATATGGACCTAAATCAAAAAGAAAGAGAATAAAATTAAGTGTAGAAACAATGGAAGGATTGGCAGATCATGCTTAATAATAAGAATAAACATATGTTGTTGAGAAAGATGAGAAATTAAATCCATTAGAAGTTGTGTAAAAGGAAAGTAGAGATAAAAGATTGACTGCTGGTTAATCAAAGAGAATATGGGAAGAATTATATAAAGTGATTGATTCATCTGATGTGTTGGTTTGTATTCTTGATTCAAGAGATCCTATGGGCACAAGATCATATCATTTAGAAAATCATATTAAAAAGAATTGTCCACATAAACATTTAGTAATGTTAATAAATAAATGTGATTTGATACCAACTTGGTTAACATCTCGATGGGTTCAATATTTATCAAAGGAATATCCAACAGTTGCTTATCATGCAAATGTGAATAAGGCTTTTGGTAAGGGACCATTTATAAATCTGTTGAGATAATTTGATAAATTCCATAGAGATAAATAAACTATTTCAATAGGTTTTGTGGGATATCCAAATGTTGGGAAGAGTTCTGTTATTAATTCATTAAAAAAAAGAAAAGTTTGTAAAGCTGCTCCAGTTCCAGGAGAAACAAGAGTATGGCAGTATGTAGCATTGACAAAAAGAATATATTTAATTGATTGTCCAGGAGTTGTGTATTAACATGAAGGGAAAGATGATGTTGAAGTTGTATTGAAAGGATGTGTAAGAGCAGAGAAATTGGAAGATCCAGAATATTATATTCCAGCATTATTAGAAAAGGCAAAGGCTTCAGATTTAAAGAGGATTTATGATATTGATGATTGGATAGATGAGCATGATTTTCTGAAGAAAGTAGCAATAAAGAAAGGAAAATTGGCAAAGGTAAACAATTTAATTATATCAATAGGGTGGAGAAGCTGATACTAAATCAACTGCTAAATTGATACTTATGGATTGGTAAAGAGGTGAAATCCCATTCTTGACATATCCACCTGATTATGTATAAAAGGAAGTTGTAGAAGAGAATATAGATATAGAAGATCTTGAAAAGTAATAAATAGAGTTGAATGACTAAAAATTATAAGAAATACTTAAGTAAAATTGAATTATATGTTTATTTGTTCTAAATATTTGTTTAATAAAATAAATTCATTTTTTTAGAATATTTAATAAATTTTAATAAGAATGATTTCATCTGAACGAGAATATCTGAATATAAAAGGATAATAATATCAAGCAATTCATTCAAAAAGGTATAATTCTCCTTGTGAAAGTACTATCAGCATAAGCTAAACACCTTCTCTTCCATAACTCAATTTATAAGCCAAACAAAATCTATCAAAACCTATTTAAAAAGATTTCTCCCTTATGAATTCTATTCATCTCAAACCCTTAATTTGCAAGAATAAATCTTGCATATATTTAGTTCGAAGTTTGGAAGATAAGCTTTTGAAATGTATTTTAAGGATTAAAGAAATTGTTAAAGAAAATAATGTTTTAAGAAAGAAATTACAAATGGAATAAGTTATTGTAGATTAAGTCATACCTTCAACTCATAGATCTTAAAAATCAATGGATTTTAATCAATATCCTGATGATCAATCTTAAGTTATGAGATCTAATATACCTAGTATACATGAAACATATCAATTCTCTAAGTTTCATAATGAAGTTGTTACTACTAAACTTAATAAATAGATAAAAGATATTTTCAACAATTTAAATTATACTATGTTATAACCAATTTTAGATTTGAATTGGAAAAAGAACAATCAACTTAATAATTCTTAATAATAATTTCATAAATGTTTAAAATGTTCTACTAATATCACAAAATAAATGATTGAATTAGAGTGTAATCATTTCTATCATAAAACTTGTTTCTGTGAACATATTGTTTCTTCATAAAATTAGATTAGTATTTGGTGTTTATGTAAATAGAAAATAAATGAATTCGATATGTTTCAATTAGCTAAAACATAGAATATCATCATATAAGAAATGAAACATATTCAATAATTGAGTATGTTGATAAAATCTTTAGATAAATTCTCATTTTATAAATGTGAAATAAATAATTGTGCTTTTATTATTATAGCATCAAAATAGGAAAATCAATCAGGCATTCAATCTTATTGTTAATCTTGTTTAGAATTTAGATAATTCTATATACAAGAACAAAATCTTAAATGATTCAGTATTTTTATATAAATATGATATTTAATCAAAAAAATTCTAAATTCACAAACAACAAGAGAAAAGAAAGGAACTCATATTTCGTTTCAACATATTGATTATTTCTTAATTTTAAGTTACCTTGATTGCTGATCTCAATTCTGTATTTGTATATCTTTCAGCATCCAACAACAATCTCACACATTCTAAATGATGCCATCTAGATGAAACTTCTAAAGGACTTTCAGTTAGATCCTAGAATATACGACTTCTAATATGAGTATTGCATTCAAGAGACAACAGAAATTTAATAACTTATACATTCCCATTCTTAGAAGCAATGTAAAGGGCATTTTATCCATATTAATTGAGGGAATTTATAATATGATTAGGATCTTGAGGGTTTGTCAGATTACTGGAATAATATGGATCAAATACCGTTTGGGATCTCTTTAGAGTATCTTTATCATATTTTAAATGTCGTCATTTGAACCTGACATTGAATATTAAGTAAAGAGGCATACTAATTTGAATTAATTGAAAATTTCCATCAATCTCAAATCCTAAGAATCAGTAGCTGGATGAACCTATTTATAATTATTTTTATTATTATAATGACGCTGAGTAGATCCAAAATTATCATAAAATTATTCCTAATTTTATTTAGTTCTATTTTACTGTAGATGTGATTGGTTCAACAACAGGTTATTATAATCTCCAAATTCCTAAAAACATATTTCCAACGGCTTTGAGTTTATTTTTTTAAGGTGGTGTAGGCAATACAATTAAATCAGTATTATGAAATTCATAATTCCTTTAATATTGACAATATAATTGATTATCATCTTTTTATACAATTTCAGAATTAGATTTAATATCTCTGTTAAATTCAATAAGTTCAGAACCATTTACTACATAATTTAAATGATTTTATACAATTCTGATTAAATTGTAAGATATTATCAACATTAATTTAGAACTCAGATTCTACTTGCTATTAAATCAAATTAGAGTTCTTACTTAATTCTAAATCAAGGGATTTGTTAAGTTGCATTCCTACTTAACAACTTCTACTTGAGTATGAGAATTCCATCTTTCAAAATACCCTTTTGGATTACTTAAGCTATAGGTTCTCATTATATTAGTATCAAGACTGAAATTATTCTATTGAGTTTAACACTATTCTGATTAAGGAATTTTATGTATTCCATCTTGTGAATGGAAACTATGCTCTAAATTAGGATTCATAAAATAATATAATATATTCTTTTAATTTTTTATTCAATTTGGTATAATGCGTAAATATAATTCAATTTTCATTATTTCTAATACTTTTCCCAATACTTATTATAAGATTAATGATTTTAAATTAATTGATCATGAGTACCCTATTTGATTATTAGAATAATATATACATATTCAAATTGACAATTCTTGCCCAAATACAGTATCTTGTCTGCTACTTTAGTTAAATGCAATCTATGTGTAATAATCAAAACTGTCAAATCTTGAATCTTTAAAACTTATTCTAAGGTTTCAATGAAGAATTATTCATTATTTTAATCCAAAGCAGATGTAGGTTCATCCAATAATAATATTTTGGCACCTCTTAATAAACATCTAACTATTTATAATCTCTATTTTTCACCTCCAGAAAATTTATCTTAAATATACTATAATATTATTTTACTTGCCTAATCTCCCATCTAAGTATCATATTGATTTGGTAATGATTCAATCAATTTAGATAATTTCAATTATTTACAAAGACTCTTCATCTCTTCTTCCTTTTACTTGATCATCTCAGGTGTAAGATCATAAATCAAATCAAGACCGTATAATAGATTATTTTTAATGGAATCATTAAAAAAATATGATTGTTATGCTACAATTCCAAAATATTTTCGAAATGATTCCAACTTCAAAGTTTTGATATTTTAATCATCAATTGATATATTACCTTCAGAAGGATCCAACAATCTAAACTAAATTTTTAGTCTTAATTATTTACAATTAAATTAAACAATGTAGATTTTCCAATTCCACTTTCACCCACAATAACAATCCATTCACCTCCTTTGATTTATAAATTAAAATTCTTAAATAGTTGTTTATTTTCAATATGTTCAAAAGAGATATCTTATATATGGATCGAACCTGTTTTATAGATGAAATCCTATGCATTTGGTAATTCCTATATTTTTGGAACTCTTGTCATTATCTACAATAGATCTTTCATATCAATGGCAGATTCAACCCATTCTCTATGCATGGTTCCTAATAGAAATAATGGTTGAATCAATTGAAGCATAAGAGATTGTATAAGTATCAGATCTCCAGGAGTGATAACACCAGCTTATACTCCACTAACTCCTAAGACTAAATTGACTGTCAATCCCATAGAGAGGATTAATCTTTAGATAGCATTTAGAGTAGCTAATGTTTTAAAAGTGTCTATTGATAATTGTTGTAATTTCTTTTAAATTTAATACAATTATTTACTTCTAATAAATTATTGTATCTTTTTAATTCATATTTTTCTGCACTAAAATACTTGACAGTGAATAGATTATCCAAAGCTTGTGATATTGTAAAATCAGCCAACTTTTCTTGTTTCTTTCTTTGTGATATAATCTTTCTTCTATACTAATTAAACATCTCAAACACAATCATACATTTGAATAACGAATAGTGAATGCTGTGTAAGCAACAAATGTCACCAGAAATGATGAAAAGAATGGCCAACCAAAATTAAAACAGAGTATGGCTGTCGTTAATGAAATGTCTGCTAAAAGAGGTACGAAATATTAATTCAAAGATCTTAAATTTGATTCAATTCCTTTTTAGGCTTTATAAAGGGAATATATGTTTGATCTTGATGAAGTATTTAAATGAAATTCAGCATCCAAATATAATAAGTGTTCATATGTTTGAAGAGACATTTCTCTTAAAGCCAAAATATTGATTTCAGATAGATTTCTATTCCTCAAACCTTCAAAGTATACATAGGCAGAGTAACCTATTTTATAATAATAATGATTACAAACTCCATAACCAATAAAAAATAAAGGAGAGTACATAATAGTAGCTGGATTCGAAACCATATTTATACCATATTTAATACAAAAGGGTCCTCCAAAAAAGAAGGATTTGTTCATAATCAAATTAAAGTAGGCCTTCATTTATAAGGACTTAATGGAATCTAATATATAATATTCATATTATTACTTGATGTTTAAGATGTTGGCAGACAGTACTTTTTATAGAATTAGAGTAATTTAATCTGGCTATCCTGAATTTGTAGTTTATTTTTGAGAGTCTATAATAATTTATTATTCATAAAATAATCATTAAGTCTTATAATTTAAAGTAGAAAAATGTATTAATAAAGAGTTTTTAACAAATATATATATATATATATATTGAAATGACTCAAAAATATATGTAATAAATTATCAGAATATATTCATTATTAATTATACAATTTGCAGTAGTAATCATGTTTAAGTTAAACTTTTTAAAGTTGATTCCTGATATTTACATTATCTGCTATCATTAATTATTCATATAATCTAGCCTAACTCTTAAACAGTTAAATCAAATGTGCACAAATTTCTTTATAACTCATTTAATGATGTTAAGAATGAGGAGATGTAGTGACTCTAACAGGTTTCCGAATTTACATTAACTCATTTTCCTTATTAGGTGAGTGCAATCTTAATCGCGGTTTTTATTCACTTACATTAAAATCTTGAAATATACGTTTAAGGTTTATTCATTCTATAAAATGGAGAACACTTGCTTATTCTAGGGTGTTTCTATGCACTAAAACTACCATTGATTGCTAGTTCATCTGCACCAAAAGTAAATCCGGCTATTGAGGTATCCATATGTCTGTTATAATTAATATTAATTATAATGAAAGTATTAAAATACTTAATCAAAAGAAAAGAATGTTGACATTATATAATCAATTAATATATATATATATTATATAATTTAATTTATGGACGAACAGTATTCTGATTTATGTGAATTGATATTGGATCAAAAATTTGAAGTTAGAAAACAAGCATTGATGTTAGTGCTCTAATATGCTTAGACTGAAGAAGATAGAAAGAATTTCTTATAGACAAATTTAATATTTAACTTAACAAAACTATTGGGAGATGAAGATGTGATGACATCAGTTTTATCTGTTATTATTCAATTTGCTATAGATGAATATTATTAAGAGTAATTTCTAAAATTACATACACTTTAAAGAGTGATGGAAATCATTAAAGAAAAGATGCTAAATTTTTATAAGACTAAATAATCAAATGAATAATTAGAACTCACAATATAATTAGGATTGTTGGCATTACAAAATATTACTTAAAATGAAGAAGCAAAAGAGGCTTTATTATAATTACAATTTAATGATATCAATAGATGTTTTTATTTTAAATTATTTTGTAATTTCTTTGTTGATGAAAGATCAATTTAAATGTTTACAAATTTTAAATAAGTATTATTGAATGTCACTTCATCAAGTAATGTTAGATCTCAATTAATAAAAGCAGAAATGAAAATGATGGAATTCTTTTGTAAATTATTAGAAACAGGTGAATTATTTTCTATTTAATTAATTAAAAATATGGTATTTGAATATGAATAATAAGAAGCATTAGAATAAATTATTTAATTGTAATTTATTGATAAAGTAATTGATTTTATGGCACATGATATTGTTATAAATCATGAATTTTTTGATTTAGAAGAAGGTGAATTGGCATTCTAATTGGCTGTAATGAAATTAAAAAAATAATTCAATAAGACAGAATTCTAAAGTAGAGTATAAGAATCAGTAAAATGTTTATTGATTATGACCAATATAGAACCAAATTTAACTAAGAATACTTATAATAAAGCAAGATTGGATCTAATAATTAGATAATTAAGGAAATTATAATTTGTTGATAAAGATTAATTAGATGTGATTGAAACAGTTTATATTTAAGCTTAATGATTATTATATTAATTATTGATATGCTTATATAAATATATGATTTGGCAAGAATATTCATTCAATTGTATTGAGATTTTAAGAAATAGTATCTAATTATTTAGCATAACTTCTAGCATATGGTGTTATTAATTAAAATTCACCAAATCTATTTTCATAATCCTCCAAAACAGATATTCGACTCATTGTTCTAAAAGAAGGTTTTGTTATGAGTCTATTTACATAATTATACATATCTTTCTTTCTAGGATTTATTTGATGTTTGATTTATTATTATTTCATTACATTCATTGTATATTAATCCTGTATATTTCTTTGGATTTATAATAAGTATCCTTCATGTATTCTCTACATTTCTAAATAGACTTATTCATCGAAATAAGCCATCCATTAAATGAAATGAGTAAGTTGTTATTGAGGACGAAGAGTGTATTGATGAGGCATTTGAGAAATTAATTATAAAGTGCATCTAGAGAGAATGAGATCTTCATTAATATATTGGATAGGCACCTTGAATACATCATGGATTTCTTTTAGATGAATAGTTTAAGCATAGATTTTTGTGAGTTAATTTCTTATATAAGCATCAGTACGATATTTACGCATTTCTTTCACATTTTTGCAAATTCTTGATATGTAATAACTTAAAGGATGATGATTAAACTTAAGATTATTAACTTAAGTTTTAATTGAATCAGTAACTGTATACACAATTTAAAATCTATTTGTATTAGTTCGAGATTCATCAAGACTAGAGTACCTTACTCTTACAGCTTTATTCATATATTTTATAATAAAATATAAAAATCATTTAAGTGATATTTTTTTCTTAAGCAAACTAGACTTCATTTTATTTTTATGAAATTCTAATTATCTATGACTCAAAACATCAGACCATCTTTTATAAAATTCTTTTTTGACTACATTTCCATAGATTTCAGTTCCTATCATTTTATTTTTATGACTTTTAGGACTACCTAAATTATGTTATGAAGGTTAAGTATGTTAAGTATGTTAAGTAAATGAAGTATATTAAGTAGGTTATGTAAGTAAAGTAGGTTAAGTATGATTTGTTGGTCTTTTTGTAGTTATTGTTTATTATATTTCAATATTCAAAATTTTCTTCAATTATTCCTTTTTATTAAGTTAAGCCATTTACTATTTTTATTCTTTGATAATAGCTGCTATATTCTTTGTATCATATTTGTTTGATTATATTAATTTGAGTAACTACTATAATTATCTTGAAGTCTATAATTCTGTCAAACCTTAGAGTGCTTTAAATGAGAAATGTTAATCTTCTTCAGGTTGAATAACTAACATTCCCAACTGAAATTTGATTTTATTATATTTTATTTCTCTTTTTTTTTCATGATGTGTTTCTAATAAGGACGTTATCTTTTTGATAAAGAATCTAGGAATGTCGGTATGATATCGATAATATTCTAATAATTGTTTATGCTTCTTCTTGGAATTTTGAAGAGTGTAAAAACTAAATAACTAGAGTATATACGATTTGAAATACTCTTCATTTTCTTCATAACAAACTTAATCTTGGAATTTAATGATGGTGGAACTTCGAAGTTGGAAATTGGAATTATTGGATTGATATCTGGAATATAGAGCCTTACTGTATTTATTTTTAGTCTACCATGTTTAACAATTCAGGCATATTGGGTTTCTGGTCACAAAACATACATGTTATTTACATATTAAATAATTATCAAGGTAATTTAGATTAATTCAAAATTAAGTTAGAAATTTGAAGAAACTCCAATACAAATTGAGGCAACGTATTGTCTTCCAAATCATCACTATCAAAAGTATAATTGTCAATATTTTAAAGTGAAGGACGAAATGAACTTGTCTTAACAGCAAATTTCTCTAATGTTTATGTGATATTCAACAATTTAGATTATTTTTATTGTATCCTAGGAGAATCTTAAGAACATTGACTCTATAAATAGAGTGATCTCATTCCTCCATGTTTTGTTAATTGAGATCCTTCAATTGATATAGATCTATAGACAATATCTAAGAATAAATTTTAGCTTTTAAGATTCTATAACACTTCATTTAGAGAACTTCTCTATTTTGGATTCTTTTACAACATACCCTTAACCAAATGTATAGTTTTTTGACTAACATTAACAAAACAATATTCACTAAAATCAATATCACATTTTTGATTAGCTCTTATTATATTATCTTAATTTAATCCTTTAAATGGAGGTTTGCCTGTTAATAATAAATAATAAACAACTCCTAAACTAAATACATCTCCTAATTCAGTATATGGTTTATGAGTAAAAATCTCTGGAGCCATATAACCAACAGTACCTTATCCTGATGTCAATACTTCTCTATTAATTTATTCTGCAAATCCAAAATCAATTATCTTTATTTAATCTTTATCAATTAAGATATTTTCTAATTTAATGTCTCTATGTACATATCCTATACTGAATAGATTTACTTCACTTACCTATGAATGGCCTAAAGTCCTAATGCAACTCTAAGAATAATGCCACTAGCCTCACTCTCTTAAATCCTTACTTTCTCTCTTAATAATTTATACAATGATCCACTACGTAATAATTCAGTAATCAAAACTATCAAAAATTCTCATTATATTTACTTAATTATTCATCTAATTAGATAATTTCATATAATGTCAATATGAATGGAGAATTAACTTACTTTAAAATCTCACATTCTGCTTTTACCAATTAAGCTAAACAATTTAGATTTTTCTTTTATGCCAATTCATTTTTATTATATACTTTCCCTGCATAATATTATTACTAAAATGATTATTTATTTAATGGACACAACTTGTATACTTTTGAGTATCCACCCTTACCCATTAAATCTTAAATAGTATAAAGCTATTCAAAATTTTAACAAATGCAAAATGCTGTTAATCGTTTGAAGAAAGTAAATGTTTACTAACTGAAGAATCATTTTTAAACTTTTACAAATCTGCATTCCAAAAATATGAATATACTTATGAATTTCTCTTTACTCTAATCACTTTAACTAGATCCTAATCTTTATTCTAAATTTTCAAATCAATCAATTTAACACTCATCTAATAATTCAACAACACCCACTTTATATTACTTTATTTCTAATAACACAAAATTCCTTTTTCTGTCAATATATATGTTCTCTCTTTGATTACTTAATTTTTTCTATCTGTCTTATTCAATTATTGAGTTACAAGTATTTCACCATCTAAAACACATTCACCTCGATTCCAAAACTTATCACATATATCGTTTTCCAGGTATACTGGCCAATATACTTATTAAGACATAATAGATAAAATAAATTAAAAATTTATATTCAAAATCGAAAAAGTAAATACAAAAATTGTATATATATATTTCAACAATATTCTTTTATATATGTTTTTTGTTATTAATATATAAAATAATTAATTATAGTGTTTCAGCAAATCAAATTTTATTAACCAAATACTCTTTCATCATTTTAAAAAACTGGAATTTGTATTATTGTATGTTTATTTAATTAATTCTCTGTTAAATTAAAACATACTCTACATGCAGGTTTATAACAATCTTCTCCTCCAATTAATTCAACTTAATTATATTTTTATTTTATATACTTTCCTAAGATTAAACAGTTCTTTTAGTGAATGAAGCATTCTCTTTCTTACAAAACCAACAAACAGCAGTTAACTTAGTAATACGTTCAGCCAATGGAATCAAATTCAAGATATTATGAAATGGCTTTCTATCAAATGTACCATCAAGAGCTGCAACTATTACTATTTTCCCTAAATTTGCCATTGCTTCACTAAACTCAACAATCTAAGAGTATATTAGATAATAATTTACATCACTAAAGAATTAACCTTCATCAATAGCTACAACATCATGATCTTTACATTTCTCAAAAGCATCAAATAATTTNTATACTTTCCCTGCATAATATTATTACTAAAATGATTATTTATTTAATGGACACAACTTGTATACTTTTGAGTATCCACCCTTACCCATTAAATCTTAAATAGTATAAAGCTATTCAAAATTTTAACAAATGCAAAATGCTGTTAATCGTTTGAAGAAAGTAAATGTTTACTAACTGAAGAATCATTTTTAAACTTTTACAAATCTGCATTCCAAAAATATGAATATACTTATGAATTTCTCTTTACTCTAATCACTTTAACTAGATCCTAATCTTTATTCTAAATTTTCAAATCAATCAATTTAACACTCATCTAATAATTCAACAACACCCACTTTATATTACTTTATTTCTAATAACACAAAATTCCTTTTTCTGTCAATATATATGTTCTCTCTTTGATTACTTAATTTTTTCTATCTGTCTTATTCAATTATTGAGTTACAAGTATTTCACCATCTAAAACACATTCACCTCGATTCCAAAACTTATCACATATATCGTTTTCCAGGTATACTGGCCAATATACTTATTAAGACATAATAGATAAAATAAATTAAAAATTTATATTCAAAATCGAAAAAGTAAATACAAAAATTGTATATATATATTTCAACAATATTCTTTTATATATGTTTTTTGTTATTAATATATAAAATAATTAATTATAGTGTTTCAGCAAATCAAATTTTATTAACCAAATACTCTTTCATCATTTTAAAAAACTGGAATTTGTATTATTGTATGTTTATTTAATTAATTCTCTGTTAAATTAAAACATACTCTACATGCAGGTTTATAACAATCTTCTCCTCCAATTAATTCAACTTAATTATATTTTTATTTTATATACTTTCCTAAGATTAAACAGTTCTTTTAGTGAATGAAGCATTCTCTTTCTTACAAAACCAACAAACAGCAGTTAACTTAGTAATACGTTCAGCCAATGGAATCAAATTCAAGATATTATGAAATGGCTTTCTATCAAATGTACCATCAAGAGCTGCAACTATTACTATTTTCCCTAAATTTGCCATTGCTTCACTAAACTCAACAATCTAAGAGTATATTAGATAATAATTTACATCACTAAAGAATTAACCTTCATCAATAGCTACAACATCATGATCTTTACATTTCTCAAAAGCATCAAATAATTTAGTCACTTTTATAGCTTTTAAATATTATCTAATTTATAAATTAGATTATTACTTATCATGACTAGATATACATTAATCATCTGAGTATCTGTTATCATTAGCATAATTAAGAACTGCACATTTTCTTTCTGATATTGTAAATCTTTTAACTAATCTCATTAATTCACTTGTTTTACCAGAAAACTACATCAATTTAAATTATTACCATAGGACCATATATTACTGAAATAGTACCTGTGAACATTATATAAATTTTAAATTATTTTTAATGCGCCGAAATATGTATTTCAATTTAAGTACCTTTTCATTTCCCGCTTTTTTGAAATTTTAAATTACTCCTTGTAAACAATGAAGAGATATTCAAAATTTATAATAATTTATATGTTTACTCTTAATAATAGAAATTATCAGATAAATAAAATATAATCATTATTATATAATAATTTTCTATTTAAAAACATTAATTTTGAAAGAGATTAAGAAGATAATATATATAATATTATTTATGTAATTATAAAGATTAAATAATTATTATATGCTTAACTTTATGGATAAGGAAGGTTTCATGTTATTTATTAATTTATTTAATAGAGAATGAATGATATTAGACTACTTATTGAATATTTTATAATTATATATATGGTTAATCATAAATTCTCTATTTTAGATGAATTATTTAAAGATAATAATGCAATCTTAATATTATAATCTCTATTATTAATTTGGAAAGATTAACAAATGATACTCATTTATATTATTAAAATATTAGACATTTTTTAAAAGGATTATAATATACTTTAATTTTATTAATTTAAATTAAACAGATTTGAAAATAGATTCATAGTATGCAGTTATAAATATATATATTCAGCAGTATAAATTAGCCTAAATTTAGAATATTCTATTTGCTTTTATATATTTTCAGAATGAAGTCAAAACGATGGTACCTACACAAACTACTTATTTATATATTTAAATATTCACTAAATATTAATATATAGTGAATATGACAACTTACAGACTTATTAATTGTGAGGTAGATTTATATTTCATAATAAGGATATATTAATTTTAGCCTTCTAATCTTTATTAGATATATTATCAATAAAATATCAGTAAGATATTGATATTAAATAGAGAAAATAGTAATTTAAAGATTTTAATTGGTGATAAATGATTGGTTTGATTTATAATTTAAATTTGATAATTGATATGGGTATTTGTGCCTCCTAAAGTGAACCTAAGAAAGTAAAGAAATAAAAGAATTAATCTGTAACCATGCCATCTCTGTAGCCTCTTACTACTAGAGAACAAAAAACGAATACAATGCAATTTTAAGAGCCTACTTCGATTCATAGAATTACTACACCAATTCGTCGTGTTTCACCTAATCAAACCACAACTCCTGTTTAAAAAGCATCACCAAATAATACAGCCACACCTATCTAAAGGGTCTCTGTTTCTAATCATCCAACTCCAAAAACGATGATCATCTAATCAACATAATTACAAGAGAGGACCAGAAATGGATCTCTATTAAATCTACCTATGAAAAGATTGAGCACAAAGCCAGGTTAAAAATCCATTCAATCTCCAGCATCTAGAAACTATTCTATTGTTTCAGGATAATTTCACAGTAAATATTTTATATAAGTTTGAAGACATTCAAAGTAAAACGGTCATGTAACATAATGAGACTGGACAATTAGTTATAGTGGAAATTCTTAAATTTGAAAATAGGAATCAACAATATATTGACATGTTGGATGAACTACGACTAGTAATTCTCAATAATAATATTTTAAGGATTAAATGCATATTGTTAACATTTTAGATATTCACATTGATTCACATAAAAGAAATTACTAAATAGTTTATGAACATTGTCAAGGTGGACCTTTGTCTAAGTTTCTAGACTCAAATTAATTGGAATACTAAACCATAGGATCTATATTTTATCAAATGGTAGAAGCATTAGCATATGTTCATTAATTAGGCTACAGTCATGATGAATTAACTATTGATAGTTTCTCAATTTTTGATGATTTTTCAACACCCTTTATCAAATTATCAGAAATAAGAAGCATCTATTAATTTATGTATCCTAAGAATTCAGTACTCTATGAACCACCTAATTCACCTAATCATAATCATAAAGATACCAATAAACTTTAAAATATACAAACAAAAAATAGAAGTTAATCAAATGATATCTGGGCATTGGCTATAATAATATTATAATTGATTAATCATTAATTTCCATTTGAAATAGAAGAAATCAAAAAATTTAAACCACAAATAGCTTTTGCTAAATAAGAATTAGATATCTATCCTTTATTAATAGAAATGCTTCACCATAATCCAAATGATAGAATCACACTTGATAAATGTTTAATTCATCCTTATCTAATAAAAATGAAATAGATTCAATCTAAAGATTATATATAACCATTTACAAATATCATCTAATCCAAAAATATGACTTATTTACATAAATGTCTATTTCAATATCTTCTATCATTATATGCAACAGATCATTTAAAAGTACTTACAAAATTATTTAGTACTGCTGATCTTAACAAAGATGGTTAATTAAGTGAAAAAGAATTAAAGCTAATCTTTAATTAATAACCTTAAGATTATTAATTTTAAATATCTGACTTTATTAACATAACTTTAGAAGATTTCCTTTTATTTGCTGCTGATAAACAGCTTGTGCTTACTCAAGATTGTCTTACATCAAGTTATAAGACTTTATCAAGATCCTAAAATTAAATCACTCCAAAATTAATTACCAAAATTATTACAGATTGTGATGAAGATTAACTCTAATAAGATTTCGATACTTATAACTTAAATTATGCAGTATAAATATATATTAATAATACATTAGTTTTAATAATAAAAATATGAAGAATTTCTGAATAATTACAAATCTCCAAAACCTATTATTTGAAAATAGTAGTCTAATGATATTTATGTTATTATTTATATTCATTCTCTGATTTTAATTAATAAAATAAACTATTTATTTTACAATTAAAAATTTAATTATAGAGACATGTCGAATTTATAATTGTAAACATATTATTCAAAGATCAAATATATCTTTTTGCGGTAGTTTTCTATCAGAAATTCTACAAAATGGACAATACTTCTTTTAAACATACTCAAATTCATGTTCATCTATGAAAAAGAATCTTGCACAATAAGGACATACATGAATAGGTTATGAAGCATTCATATTTCTATAATATTTGACATCAATCGTTCTACAATATTATCTAAGATCAACAATAAGGACTTCTTCAGGTGATAAGGATTAGATTGTTGCTTCATCTAATTCTACTGCCAAATATTGATCTTGTGATGTTTGCTATTATTATATTATTTCATTCATTTTGTCTTAAAAGAGTTATCCAGGTCGTTTATTTGAAATAACTTTCTCAGAATTAAGCAATTTTTCAACATCATCTCTAGATAAGGAATGATCAACCTTGAATTCAACAACTTATAGATTTGAAAAACTGATGAAGGATGAAAAGAGAGGATGAAGACAAACATTGCATTAAGAAGAATGCTAATTGTCCATTAACATTAAATTTGATGTTTAACATCTGGCACAAAAGGGCAATCTTGATTCATCATCTGTATAAGGTTTAGATCTAATAAGCATAGATTAAAGATCAATTTCTTCACTCCATTCAGATGGTACTTTGAATGACTATAATTTATAAATCTATAAATAATACATTTAGTTTTTCATAACAAATACGTGCAGTTTTGTAACATTCAAGTTAAGAAGCACATTTAGCAAGAGAATAATATACATAACTCATTTTAATTCCTTGATAAGTGCTTTTCCATTTAGATATAATGAATCGAGCAGCATTCATAATTTATAAGAAATAAGCCTCTCCAGATAAAGGTTAAAATGGTTCTCCAATAAAACTATGTATTTTTTGATAAGCAAAATAGACATCAGCTAAATCACTATAGTCTTAATACTATCTGATTGCATTAACATCATCTCCTGAAGGATTATGATAATCATTAATTTAACTAAGACAATCAATTGCTAGATTCCAAAGATATTGACTAGCATCATGATATCTTTATTCTTCAATACAATTTTTAGCCATATCCTTTGTCATTTTCATAGTAATATCATATCTACCTGCACTTTTATATGCTTTAAGTGCATCTTCATATCTATCATTCTACAATAAATGATTAGCATAAGGCACTTTAACTATTTCTAATAATTGTTTATTTGATCGACCTATTTGAAAGGCTTCTTCCCATTTTTCAAATTCAACATGTAAACTCATCAAACTCTATAAATCATTCAATTTAAGATATGCTTCCTTAGCACCTCCATGATGTTTAAGTTTCTTGAAGTAATTTGCACATATAACAATATTATCTTAATTGTCTTATCTATCCATCATTCTACAAACATTAATCAATCCATCAATATTTTTATTCTACCCATACAAATCTATGGCTTTCTTGAATTCTCCACATTATACAAATAAATCTGCTGCAGCCTTCCAATCTCCTGACTCCCTCATCCACTCTGCTTCTTCTCTCAATAACATATTCATTTCAATCTTTGGAGCTGCTATATCTTATGGCTATGGTATCACTGCTTATCCTCTACTTGTGCCTGTTCTCCCTTATGAAGTAGGTGCTCTAACTCCAGTTCCTGTTCTTCCACCTGATGTCACTGCTCTAAATGCTACATCTCCTTTCTTTGCAAAATCTAATTATTTAAATATATTTATTAACTTTTTGCTTCATCCCAACGTTTCAATTCCTTAAATAATTAAACTGCTTTATCTGCCAAACCAACTTTTATAAGTAAATTACCTGCATCAATGAATTTCCCTTAATAAGCAAGAGTCTCTGCATTTAGTTCATTTAAGGTTTATGCATCCAAATTCCTTTTCTCATATTTTTATAATAAATCAATATATTGATAATCTTTATTCCTCAAAAAACACTAATTAAATTAATAATTATTTTCATACTCTTCTTGCAATATCAAATTCTCCAGCAATCAATGCTTCAATTCCTAATGTTCTTATATCTTATTCAGTCACTCCTAAACATGCTATTTTCAAAGCATTCTAAAAATCCTTTTTCTCCAAATACTTTTACATATTTGCTGTTTATTATATAACTATAGTTTAAGGTTTTGAACCATCAAATAAAAATATTTTACATCCCTTAAAACCTATAACATTTCCATTTATTTTTTAATTTAATGCTTAAAATGCTATACATTTAATAAATAATAATCCTTTCCCAGAATAAGCTATTAAATCTTCAAATTCTTCATTAAATGCTACTCCTTCCACACTCATCTCTCCAAATACTACTTCCTTTGTAATTGTATCTAAAACTTATAAATTCTAATTGCCATCAATTAAAGCTAATTTTCTTTTAGTTTAAGACATTGTTAAATATTTGATCTATGTATTTACTTTATGTATTTAAATAGGAAATGAATTATCTAAAAATAATTTATAAATTCCTCCATTCTCTAATCCAACCAATACTAATTCCCTTTTAGGAGGTCCTCCTTATATACTAACAAAACTAATAGTTGCTTCAAATGACCATGTTCTATCCATATCCCCATTAAAATTGAAGGCAATCAATTTCTAACCTGCTCCTATTAACACATTAGATGATGACAATTAAAAATGTTCACAATCCACTCTTTTAGAGAATTTCTTAAATTGCTTATACTTCATATAATCATCACCCTTTATCACACAAGTATAAATTAACACCTTGATTCCACATAAAATAGCCACTTTCTCCTTAAAAATAGCAACTCTCTTGACTAACTCTTTACATTTTATCCTAGCCTTTTAATTTGAAATCATTGACACTATAATAGCATCAGTCAATTACTCTCTGCTTATAAATTTATCATTATATAATCCCATAACAGTATCAGAAATCAATTCTTAAATAAATACTTATCCATCATTTGTACCACAACCTATTAATGTTGATTTAGATTTAATCTTTGTGCACCATATCCAATCTTATGATTAACATACCTCAAAAAGGAATCCTCCTTCTCTAGTGTATAAATTCACTTTATTATTATTTCCAGATATTGCCATATATTCTCCATTATATTAAAAATTGATATTTAATGGATCAAATGGCAATTCTATTCTGGAACCTATCTATTATCCATTCTAATCAAATTGATATAAAGAATTCATCCAAACTCCTACAGTAAGTTAAGACTATTAGTAATCTGAATTAATTGGAGACCATTCCATACACCAAGCAGGTCCTCCTTTCTGAGTCTAGATTTCTTTCAAATGTTGTGCTTGTCTATCTGTAATTACAATCAAACCTATTTTTCAAATAAATTATTTATACCATTTATAGTCCCAAAAGATACATATTATCCATCTGCACTCCATGCACAACAAATAATCTTCTCCTTAAACTTTTATCTCTCTATATTACTCATTCCAGGAATCCAAAGTGAATACTCCTAATTCGATCCTGTGAAGATCTACTATTACAATGGACTTATTGCTGCACATTATATAGCATCACTATGAGAAAACCATTTCTCTGGCTCTAATAATCGATCAGTTTTGTTGCCATTGTACATCCAAACCACAACTGTTTTATCTTGACTTCCAGATACTAATTTAGTTCCATCCTTTGATGTGGCCAAACAAGTGATAGTCTCTTTATGTTATCCTCTCTGAGGTTAACACAGCATATCAGATTTGTAGGTGTCGAAAAGAACAAGCGCATTCCCTACTGCTGCCACAAAAATATCACCATCTTTGATTATTTCCCAATTTCACATACCTTTTAAAAATGCACATGCAAAAACTTGATTAGTGATATTGCTATTTGCATCTTTTGGTTAATCTATTGTAAAAGTCCAAAGTTCTTTACTTTTCATATTTTTAAATTATATATATATATTAATAATAATGAATTCTATTTATAATCAATATATTTTGAATTTGAATTCATTAAAATAAAAATGGGCAATTATTGTAGTGAGATTTGTAATGAACCTGAAATCTAAGTCTTAAGATTATCTGATTTAGAATGCACACCCTAGTCAGTGCGTTCAAGAAAGAGTTAATAACACCAGAAAGGTTACTTCACTGAAAGTAAAGAACCAGTCCTTCATTTGAATAATAATACAGAGAAATAGAGACGTCCTCCTTATCGTTTTACTACAGGAGGAGTATATGAAGGAGAATGGGTGGGAAACAAAAGAGAGGGAATAGGAATTATGACTTGGCCAGGTAATACATGATATTTGACGTATTTGCAAGATGGAGCTAAGTATGAGGGTGAGTGGAAAGATAATAGAGCGAATGGTAATGGTAAATTCTGGCATTTAGATGGCGATACTTGTAGGTTTATTTTATTTTTATTAGATGAAGGAGAATGGAAGGATGATTAGACACATGGCTATGGCATATATGTACATGTTAATGGTGCCAAGTATGAAGGATATTGGAAGAATGATGTACAAGATGGATATGGAATCGAAATATGGGCAGATGGAAGTAAATATGAAGGATTTTACTTTATGGGTAAAAAGGATGGTTAAGGAAAATATTATTGGCCAGATGGAAGTTTTTATTCAGGAGCTTGGAAAGAAAATAATATCAATGGTCATGGTACATATTAATGGCAAGATGGTCGCTAAGTAATTTTGTTTAAAAATGATTTAGTATGTTGGAGATTGGTTAGATAATTGTATGCATGGGAAAGGATGTTATAAATGGAAAGATGGTAGATCATATTTAGGAGAATTTGTATAAGATAAAAGACATGGATTTGGAGTTTATGAATGGGAAGATGGAAGGAAATATGAAGGATTTTGGGATAATGGAAAATAACATGGGGAAGGTAACTATTATGAATCAAATGGCAAGATGAGGAAAGGATTATGGGAAGATGGCAAAAGGATTAAATGGTTAGATGAGTGATATTATGTTAAACTATCTCAAATCAAAGAACTTAGTTAATCTGATGCCTCTTTTAAATGATTTAAGATTAATTATCTACAATCTTCAACTCCATGTTCACTAAATTAAGCCAAATCTTCCTTTATATATAGTACAAACTCATTTTCAGTTGAATCTGTCAATTTTTCTGCAACATAAATCAGCCATTATTCATCAGATGTATAATTCTTATCTCTAAAATTGACTAATTACTTAATCTTGGTTGTGTATTCGATTTTAGCTTTTTTCTATTAATCCATTAAAATGGCATCATATTTTGATTGTAATTAATCATCCCTTATTGAAAAATAGGAATAATTTAGAAAATATTCTGCTCTCATTTCTTTTAATTCTTATTTTATATAACTTTATGTAAAGAATTGATCAAAATTCTCCATAGTAAGTGTACGTAAGGCTTCATCAACTTTTTTTTATAGGTTGTCTAATTCATAAACTCCAATGCTTCGTAGACATTTAGAACAAGCTGAAACAATTCTTGACACATCATTATCTTAATCCTTAATAGGCATCCTATAAATAGCTGGTTAATTGTGTTAAAGACATTTTTGTTGATAGATAGATTTCCTATCTTGAATAACATCTAAATCATTAATTAATAATGGTGAAATAGGAGGTTGAGAGAAGGATACTTAATTTAAAATAGAGATGGAATTATTAGTAACATTTTATTTGTATTGCCTTATTAAATCAAGTGTCCATGATAAAGATTTCCTTTGATTTGATTCTTTGTTAATCATACCCATAAGAATATTAGCAACAATTTATTTTCTTGGTGGTAATCGACTACCTGAATATTCATGTTTTCTTGGATAATAGGGTTCATTTCTAATTTTAATAAAGACTTCATCTTCTGTAAGTCCATCAAAAAATGGAGTACCATGTAATAATTCATCAAACATTAATCCCAAAGCCCAAATATCTACTGATTTATCATACCCATATAATTCTGCTCTTCCATCAATGATTTCAGGAGCAACATAATAGGCAGTTCCAAATTTAGAAGTAAGTTTGACATCTCCTATACAACTTAAACCAAAATCTGAGATCTTATAATAGATCTAGCCATTATATGTTGTTCTCAAAATATTTTCTGGTTTAATATCTCTATGAACAATATTGATCTTATGTAAATAATCTAAACCTTGAGCAACTTGTTCCAAAATCTCAATACAATGTTCCTCACCCAAATATTGAGGTTTCTTTTTCATAAAATCAAATAGAGTGCCACTATTACAGAATTCTTAAACTACATATACTTGAGTGCCCTAATCATATACATCAATTATTCTCACAATGGCAGGATGTGAATGTTTGACTAATTCATTAAGGATTTCAATTTCACTCATGGTTAATTAATTATTTTTTGGTAAAATCTACAATATTTTAATTTTGTTACTTTGACTGCCACTTATTCTTAGGTAGTTTTCTTTTTAGCTAAATAAACTTAACCAAAAACTCCTTATCCTAATTATTGATTAGAAAACTCATAAAATAAATCAAATCTCTTCATCTAGTTATAAATATGATAAATTTTAAAATTATTTTAATATATAAATCAATTTTTGGTTAAGTTCTAATAGAAACTAATAAAAGATTTATTATCAAAGACTTTGGACAATAATACTTATTAATGCACATTCTGAATCAATTCTGTTTCTTTCAAAAAAGAGCAACTCTTTTTAGAGGTCAAAGACACTTCCTTTTGTGATTTTATCACAATGCGTAACTATATTACTTAACTAATTGTTTTATTACATCCTCTGGTTTACTCCAGAATGCAAAAAGAGGCAATTAAAATACTATTTAGGGTTAAACATAGGAATTAAGTAAGTTTCCACTTTACATACTCTATTAACTACAAAGTACTTATGAAGCTTCAACTTTTTCATCTTTTAAGAATCTACATCAATTTTATTAAATATACGTTTCGACAGCATTCTAACTATTAGGAAGACTTTTGTTATTATTATTTTTTGTTATCAAATGACGAACACATAGCATCTTTTTTACTAAATCAATCAAGTATTGTTTCTTATGACTCAATACTTAATGCTTCTTTTATAGCAATTATTGATCTTCTTTTATCTTTTGCCATTTTTCTTTATTATGGCACCCTATTAAGATTATTAAGTACTTCCCACTCTTAAAAGTCTCTTGTGTTGCAAACAAAAACTTCTTCTTCTTGATAATCACTCCAGCTGCAATCAAAACATTGAGTGCATCATAGACTCTACGCTTCACATTTTATTCCTCCTTCTTCTGTTCAATGTCCTCAGATACTAATTTATCGGCTACGAACCTATAAGTAGTCCGTGCCTCTGATTCAATTATTTTTTTCACCTTATAACTCAGATTTCTTAATCCTTTATTCTTAGAACCATGTAATGAAAAGTTTTTCTTCTTTACTCCTGTAAATGAACATTATGAATAAATGGGTTTAGGATGCAGGACACCATTTGGATTGAAACTAAATCTTGAGACATCTGGAAACTGACTGGCTTCTCCATCGTAATCCATTTAATCAATATATTATTAATATTATACATTCCCAATTTATCAAATTGTTAATCAATGTGTATAAATATAATAATAAGATATTCATTTCTTTTTTAAAAAAAACATGGATGAATTTTGAGTTATTGTAAATCTAAAATTATCTCAAAAATAACTACAAAGAATCACTTTAAACCATTTCCAATTTATAATTTATTGAAGTATTTGCATTATTTAAATAACTTAAAGCTTTTTCTTATTTTTATTAAAATCTATTCTTATCTCATCAAAATTATTTGAAATTCATCTCCACTCATTCTAATGAATAATAAAATGATTTGAACTATCTTTCTTTAATCACCTATATTTCTATTCAATTTATTTCTATATTCTTAATCAACATATATCCATTTTATATTATTATCTCTTCAATATCTTATCTTCTTTGTTGTATACTTTTAGATTGAATTCATGAGACTGAGGATTTAAGCCTCTTCAAATTTTTGTTATTACTTTTTTCATTTATTTATTTATATATATAAAAACATTAGACTTCATAAAAGAATAAGTCTATTGTTTTTATATCTTTATTAAGAGAAGAAATTAAATCATATATTTAACTAAGTGATACTTATTCAATTATCCTATTTTATTTATTATGATTAATTATATTAATTTAAAATTGTCATCATATTATAATATTTTATAAAAATTACAATGACGAATTATACTTTAGTAATAAAGGTGAGCTGGGATAAAAAAGTTCGAGTAAATGCAAATGAGCGTGCAAATTTTGAATTTGTGAATGGACAAGTACATAATTTGTGGCTTGTAATTAAACAAAATTTGAAGCACTTTTTGTAAGTTATTCTCTTAATAATTGATATCCTTTTGCTAAAACATAGTATTTTTCAGCTGGATGTTTTGAGTATTAAATTGCTTATAGATATTCAATTTATTCTTAAAAGGGCTTATTCTAAGTCAAATATTTCTTTGGAATTTCAAAGAAATCCGGTTTTAATGATAAATGTGTCATTTTTCCCATTAAATTTATTATACTATTTTTATGTAATATTTTTAAGACTTCCATTAATTAAATTGTTAGGGTTTCATTCATAGTCTAAATAGAATGAATTAATATCTTACTATTGATAGAAAAAGATTAAAATAATTTGCTTTATCCTTTAGATACTTATTTTAAGCAACATCAAATTAATCATTTGATATATCTCCCAAATATTCATTCAAAGCATGAATGAGATAATTTAAGAATAAATTTGTTGTTACACCAAATTTGGCAACTTGAGCTTTCAATTAAGACATATTTTAATTAGATTATTGAAGCCCATTTAAATGAAGTTTTGCCCATTCCTAAAATTATGTAATCATATAGAAAAAAGGATGTTTATTTGATTTGATCATCCCATTTATTATTGTAAACACTAAATAAAACTTTTGAGCTTAAAGATTTTAAGTTTCATAGTCCTATAAATCTTATTTATATGAAGATATAGATTGATTTTCATTGATTTTAGAAACTAAATTTTATGGAAATTAAAAAATACATGAATTGTAACTAGTTGATAATGTTTGTTCACTTGATGATGTTTGAATACATGTATCTTCTCTGAGAAACTCATTGTTCTTTCTAAAATATATTATTTATATTTACAAAAACTCTTCTGATTGTTACTATATTTTTTTCATTTCTTCTTCCTTCAAACTTTCATTCACTTATTTTGTTATTTATTAAATATATACAAACTTATTTAATCTTATGTCTAAATCTATTTTATTCTTGAGGAGAATGTTTAGCCAAACATTTGATCATACTTATCACCCATTCCTCTTCTAAGCGAGATAATCTATCTTTCATTAATGATTTCCAATCATTCTGCAATATAATTATAATCATTACATTAACACCAAGCCAAACTGTTGAGATTAATTTATCATCATTTTTTTATTATGAATTGCCCATTTTATATTTAATATTTTAATTAATATCATCATAAGATTGATTGTTTGCAATATTACAAACTTTATGCACATTGCTAACAAAACAGTTCCAGCATATCTAAATCGATAGAATGTATCTTCGCCTCGCTGTTTGAAGAAATGTTACCAATACCCTTGACATTAATTACTTAAATGGCCCCAATAATTTGATGATTTTGTGATTTCAGAGGCATACAAATAATAGGCATATTTGTTTCAATATCAATATTTGGATTAAAAATGGGACTTGTATAACAATTGCTAACAGCTACCAATTGCTGATCCTTAATGCATGTTCCCATTAAGCCCAATAAAGTTTCAGTTTAACAAAGTTTGCCATCTCTATTGATATGAGAAAGAACCTAATTATAATAAACAACTTTGGCCTAATCTACATTCATCAATGATCTTAATCTATCCTCTGCAGACAGAATTAAATCGATAAGATTATCTTACTTACTTTAAAGCATAATTCCTGTTTTAATAATGTGTCTTAATTTATTTTAGATTAGCATTTAAGCATCATGATTCATTGCATTTTTTAAGACACTTTTACTGAATTCTCCCATAATTGATAATAGTGCTTCATCATCCTTAGTAAAATATCCATTTTATTTATTTACACATTATAAAACTCCCATACATTTATCTCCATCTAAAATGGGAGATATTAATAATGTCTTTGTTTTATAATTATTTTTGACATCTTATTAAGTATTGAATCTCTAATCTCTATATGCATCTTCAATATTCAAAATTATTCTATTTTAAGCTACAAATCCTGCTAATCCTTATCCAATTTATAGTCTTATGGTTGTTTATGTGCCTTTAGCAACTCTGGTCCAAAGTTCCTTTTTTGCTTAATCAACTATAAAACAAGATGCTCTATCACATTCTAAACAATCAATACATTTATCAATAATTGTTTACAAAGCATCATCTAATAGAACTGATGAATTCATTTGCAAAGCACCTGTAACTATTTTTTTTAGTCTTAAGACTAAGATAAATAATTATTAATGATCTGACATTATTCTTTTAAATTTATCATATAAAAATGATAATTTTTATGCTGAAATTGATTAGATTATGTCACAAAAGTTTTCTTCAGATTCTAAAAGCACTTTCATTAATGAGACTGTTCCATCTCTATTATATTAAGTAGTTGCATCTTCATCAGCTAAAGTCTTATAATTTTCAATTACATAATTAGATATTCAAAATAGCATTGGTTCTGAAACAATCCTCTTATTATAACATATCATAAAAATTAGATGATCCAGATGTATTCCTATCATTTTTAAAGAGTTCTCCATCATCTTAATGAAATCTGACTAAAGTTGGATTTCGAAACGTTTGTCTTCTGAAAAGTTTAATAGATTGAGTAGTGCCTTCTTCTGTTATTTTATTGTTCTTTTTTTCAATTGGTAATAATGATTTAAGATTCTTAATTTTTAAGTTTGACTTACTTCCTTGATTGAATTATCTTTCATCTCTTAATATGCTTAATTTAGTTTAATTAGCTTGCATTAAATATTCATTAATATGAGTCAAACGATCAATTTCTTTTTATTACAATTTGATCAAGTCTTAACATTTTCTAATTTGATCTTCTTTGTTATCAATAGTCATTAATAATTTATCTATCTCTTTTTATTACATCTTATAATTATCAGTTAATTTCTTAACTAAATCTTCTGATGCATCTATTTCCTTATTTTTGGGTGATGTTATTTAAGTACTACGATCAGTTTTGATTTTAAATTTCTTACTATTATCAAAAGTATTCAATTCCTATAATTTGTTCATTTTATATAATTTTATACGTAATTGATAAATTAAATCATCATATTTTTACAAAATACAATTGATTCTCAATAGATAATATTGATGTGAATTAATATTTAATCATTTACATTTTTTCAGTAGAATGTAGGATATTATACTAAACACAGTTTCTATTCCCAATACAATTAAATAACAAAATGTTTCATAATCATTTGCTATTATAAGATATGTCTCAAGTACCAGAAGTCCATGGATTAAAATTAAAAGGATCTTTTAGATCAATCTATATCCAAATTTCTCTTGTATTCTCATCACAACTCCTGCAAATAAGGAAATTGGAATAAAGATGTAAAAGTTTACATCTAAATACCAAAGTAATAAGATTAATCCTTATTCAAATCCAATACGTTCTACATAATAGGTCACATATATGATTATATCTAATTTCTCTAACTAAGGTTTCTAATCTCCAATTAATTCTTAGAATGGATCTCTTTGACTTTCAGGGTTTTCAGTTTGAGATTTATTTTATGGAAATTGAACTTACAAGATTGTACTATTTGGTGATTCAATCTTTATTGATTTCTTCCTTTACAATTTCTATTCCTTCATTATAGCCTTGATGTAATGATTTGAATTCATGCCCATTGACTGGTTATCCTCAACTCCCTCCACTTTTATAGTACTATTTCTATATTATTAAACACTTTTTCTAATAGTTTAGCTTATAATGACTGAAGATTTCCTTGAGGATTCCTTTCGTTTAGGTACTGGGGCAAATTGACTTAATTGTTGTGGTCTACTCTATTAAATATTGATACTCCGAGAACACCTGGCTTGAATTGCGACTTCTTCTTCTAATGATATAAAGAAAGAGAACTTGAATCATAAAAAGAAGACCAGAATAAGATAGTTGTGCAATTTAGTAATACATCTTAAATTATATATAAAAATATATTATTATTTTTTATACTTAAAATGTAAATTTCTGTATTGATATTTTAAGTAGTTTATTTTTAAGAAATAATGATTAAGACTTAATGTATGAATTGTATTTATAAATGTCTGATTAATTTATTTTATTTCATTAATTAATTATAATAATAATAATATAAATGAATTAAATAGAATAAACACCAAAAAAAGGAATATTTAAAAATTCAGAACCTATAGAAATCTCACATTATCAAATAGATAGGAAAAAATTCTATGGTAAAGGACAATATGGAGCTGTTTATGGCTGTACAGATCATTAGAATCCCAATAGGTAACTATGTGCTAAGGTTTTGAAAGTTGAGGATGTTGATTAATTAATCTTGAAAAGAGAAATCGAAATTATATCAGTTCTTATGCCTATCTAAAAAGAAAACAAGAATTTAATCTAAGTATTTGAAGTATTCAATGAAAAATAACATGGCAGTGTTTATATAATCATGGAACTTTGTCAAGAAGGAGATCTTAAATAACTTATGGATAAAAGGAAAAAGAAAAACTAATTATTCACTATAGATGAAGCAATTAAGATTGTTGCACAAATAGCCAATGGATATCAGACACTCTATAATTGTAGAATTATTCATAGAGATATCAAACCAGCCAATATTCTGATTTCAAATGGTGTCTTCAAAATTGCTGATTTAGGTATGGGAAGAGTAATTGAAGATATGAATTATGCTCAAAACTTTACTAAAGTTGGAACACCTGCTTATGCAGCTCCTTAATTATTTTTAGAATCAAAATTCTCTTCAAAAGCTGATGTTTATTCATTAGGTGTCATATTTTATCAATTAATTTATGGATAATTACCTATATAAGCTAACACATAACCAGAACTATTATAAAAATTAAGAAGTCTCAAAGCAACACCAAAACAATGTGATGAATAATGTCCGACAGGGTTTGTACCTTAAAATATTAGAGAATTAATTTAAAAGATGCTTTATTATGATGAAAATGAAAGATGTTCATGGTTAGATGTATTTAAATCTGATGCTTTGAGTTAGATATTATCTGAATCTAATAATTAATAAATACCAATTCAAATCACTAAGTCTAAGCTCCAATCTATAACCTCTACTGTACAATACTAAAACTATTACAGAGTAGAGGAGATATCAAATAACAAAATTCTTTAAATTACTCGTATTTTGACTACTAAAAGTGATTTGGCCAATAAATGTCATAAATATTTATAAGAGTAAAAGTAATTTATTTGATATGACTATTCTTAGGTCTGGTTAAACTGTTTTCCCTTTGAAATAAGGTGAATTGATATTACTCTCTTTATCTGTCTCAGGATATAGATATAAATTAATTTAAAATATTTTAGGATTACTACTTAATTAATATTATTAATTGATTCCTGAATTATAAGAAATTATCTCTCCATAAGAATTACAAGAGAACTCTTAAATTAATGATGTAAATTCTAAAACTTTGAAAGAATACATACAAAAAACACTCAATTAATCCATTCTTTTATTCAGAGTAATATTATTATACTTATTTCTAGGAAGATGAATGTAAATTCTTTAACTCCAGTTTCAAAAGAGACTTACCTGAAGTAAAGGAATTAAAGAAGAATCTTGAATAAGATGATGGTACAAATTACTTATTCTTTGCTCAAAAATTCTCATTTTTTTATAAATTCTTTGAAGAATCCTTTTCTGAAAATAAAAATGAACCAAATAATTAGAAGTAAATATATATATATAGAGAAATCATAGATTATTAAAATATTTAGACAAAATGAATGAGGTAGTAACTTAGTTTTCAATATAAGAATTCTTGAAAACCCGACCAACAGATATTTTAGAAAAATCAAAATCTTTAAGTTGATTAATTATAAAAATAATTATAAAAATTTAAGATATTTTATTTATTATTCTTTTTATTGAATATTCTCTTAAATAACACATAAATTATTTGAAATGAAGTCTATAATATTATTTCTCTTTATTCATTTAGACAAATTTATTAGTTTTTTATTGATAATATATAAACAATCCATTTGATGATCTTATTATCTAGTAGTTTATTATTTTATTATTAAAAAATATATTACTTTATATGAAAAAGCATAATAGTGAATAGGATTACTGTGTTTTCTATAAGGATAAAGAACTTCCTGCTATTCATAAGACAGATAAATTTATGAAGGCCTTGGTTATGGATTCAATCAAGAATTAAGAACATCCACTTAATCAATTAATTGAAAAAAAATAAACTTTTGTGCCATTTATTAATGAAAGAGATAATATGGGTAGATTGATTTCAAGTGAATCCTATCATATAAAAAGAAAAAGTGAAGCTTCAAGTCTCTTCAATTCTCCTAAAAATAGTCACGTTTTCTTAAGTAAAAACTCCATATCGAATACTTGTAGCATTTATGAAAATTAACTACCTGCTTCAAAATTAAAATTAAAAAATCTTTTAGGAAGCACTCCTGAAAATACTGAATTATTTTAATCCACTTTATTGGGAAGTCAATGTGAATTTAAATAATCATTTTAGTTTAATTCAAAACGCACTTAGTTAACTTTTAGAACTCATAAAAAAAATAATAGTTTATAAAATAAGCTACCTTAATTTATTAAAGAATAAAAAACTAAAGAATTTAAATTATATAAACAACCAAATACACCCTAAGCTATAAGATTTTATAAAAGTAACTTTATTATTGAGATGTTCAATCAAAATAAGTAAATACATTTTTTATTTATATAAGAATTGCAGATAATAAATTGTAATTTATATTGCTAATGGAAAAAATGTAAAAGTTATAAACAGAATTGATATCAAATTTATCAGCCAATGAAAGACGTAAAACATTCGTTAAATTGGATGGAAATAGAAGAGTAAAATTAAGTGTATTATTACTATTATCCAGATAATGCATTTAATATCAGATGTTATAATGATTTGTAGATATTTTTATATTTGATAATAGAAATAATAGAAAAGATATTTAATATTCTCAATTCACAATTTTTGGATTACTAAATTTTTTAATTCAATTTAATAACTTCTTTTATTACCAAGTAATTTATTATAGTTAAATTAAACAATACTTCTACAGAATTATATACAATAATGAAATTATATAATTATGGACTCTTATTTTTGAATAAAATATATTAAATATATTTTTATAAAATAAAATGATCATTCTAATATTCAAATTTATTTTTATAGTTAACTTATTATAATTTCTCCAATTTATTCTTCAAAATGCTTAGATTTTTATTTCAAATAAATAAGATATGTTGATTATCTCGAAAATAATAATTACTAATTTGTAATCTTATAACAATATTAAAAATTTAAATTTAATGTTTTTCAAGTAAGAAATTGTATATAGTTAGCTTTGCTCGTTTTTTCACTTAGCAATAATAATTAGATAGTTTGTTAGCAAATCCTGATTGCGATTTAGAAACAATTTTATCGACTGAGGGAATATTACAAGAAATAAAAGGTTTAGGAGCTACTAAATTTGCTGATCAGTATTAAATTAAGCATAATAATAGTGTCATTAAGCATCCAGAAATGTATTAAAAAATGATTGATTACATTATATAATTTGAAGATGAACTTATTGATAAGAAAACTCAAATTTAGTAATTTCTTAATTTAAGTATTAGATACCCTTTTCTAACAAGTGAGATATTAGGTAGTTAAAATTAGAAATTAATTGATTACTTATTTGAATGTCCTGAAGAAGAAATTTAAAATGAAAATTAATAAATACGCTAAGGATTATACAACTAACTCTTATCTTTCTTGGATAATGACATACTGAATGTTACTTCAGCAGGATATTTTGCAAAAGCATTCATAGCAATAATTAAGAAAAGAGGTTTTGATGTATGATTTATTTAAATATTTAGGTTTGGGCAACAATTGTAAAAAACAAAACAATTCTTTCAAACTTAATAAAACATATAGATATTAAACATATAGCAGAAATAATTGAAAAATTAATAATTTTAGATACATCATAAGAAAATTATGAAGAGAAATTCTTTGAAGAAAGAAAATAATTATTAGAAAGAATAATTAAATTATTATAACATAAATCTTATAATACAGAAATAGTTGATAATGTTTGTGATATATTAATTGAGATTACAACAAAGAGTATGAGTTCTCTATATTATAATAATGGAGAAATAATACCATTTATTGATATTATAAAAAAACCTGAATTATTTTTGAAAATTGCTTTGTAAACATAGCGTATAGGACCTTATCAATTATTAATAAATTTAGTAGAAATGTAATCAAAAGAAACCAAAAAAGAAGATGATGATGAAGTTGTTCATAATTTAGAAAAGGATTATTCAATTTTTGAATAGATTTTATCTGAATTACCTCAAAATCTATTGAATTAAGATTATCATACAAGCAATTTCATTAATTCTAATAGATCATCCATTTAACCTTTTGGATTAGCAAGAATGCACTTACTCAAACTTATTCAAGTTCTTGTTTAGTAATTAATTATTAATATATTTAATAAGAACTAATGATTACAAAATAATCAAAATTCTAATACATTATAGACTTATTGAAGCATTATAAGCTATTATTATTAAGTATGAATCAAACAATCAAATCCATGCTTGTTGTGATAAAATACTTAGAGCTATTATAGATCTTAATTAAGATGATTTTACTTTTGATGTAAAGTATTATTAATTCTTTCAATAGGTTTTCGAAAATAATAATCTTTTAAATTATATTGTTTAAAATCACAATATTGAAAATTCAAAAAAAGGTTTCATTGGATTCTTAACTTCAATCTCTAATTATCTTGAAGATAAAAGTAAACAAAACAATAAAATTTTAAAATTACTTCGCATGAGTATATATATATTAATATAATTATTTTAGATGATTTATGGTAGTAATTTACAGACAATATATTAAATAATGTGAATTCTAAAGAGAAACCCTTTTTATGTAATGCTAATCCAAGACCAAGTTAAGAACCAGATGTACTTGATGAACAAGAAACTGACAATATCTTGAACATTTTAAGAGTATATACATTAATAATACAACTATTAGAAATTTAACAATAATTTTTAAAAGAATGACAAACATGTTGGGGGTAATGAAATTGGAGAAGGAGTTTAGAGAAATACTGAAGTTTTGAATGAATTTGAATAAGATTAATAAGATTAATAGGATGATAATACAGAAGAGGAACCTCTTTAATATGAATTAAACTAATAAAATGAAGATGATTAACCTGAAGAAGATGATTAAGTTTAATAGGAATATAATCAAAGTAATTTCTGGAAATTGGATGTGAATGAGAAATTGGCTTAAGAATTGTTGGATAATTTTCAATGATAAATTATCATTAATGTAATTTTGAATTTTAAATCATAATGCTATATTGTATTATAATATAAAAATTCTGATATCCTTAGTTTCAACTTTATCAAATTAAATATACTATCAATATATATATTTATTTAAATATAATTAGATATATTTTGATAATTTTCTTTTCTTTTTCTAATTTAAAATTTTTATTATCTTAAAAATCAATTGATATTCTAGTAATTAGGTTATTATTATTTTATTTTAATTAAGATCTGCATTAAATTGAATAATTAATTCTATTTTAGGTATACATCTATAATTTCTATTTAAAATGATATTAAACTAGAACTTACTAATATTAAAAATACTATAAATTTATATAATTATACAAATAAAAATAAATTAATTTATTTGAAACCAGATAATAATAGTATATTAATAAATATAGCATTTTACCATAGAAATGTTAGCTAAAACAAAAATGAATAAAAAATAAATTTTAGCTTAAAAAATCAAAATAGTATATTAATTTAATAATTATAATTGTATTATATTCTAATTCAGATTTATTCCATTATCTTTAAATAATATTCAATCGGTTAATTGTCTTATATTTTCTGGAATATTAACATTTAATCTGCATAATATTGAATTGGGTATATATTATCAAATTTTAAGAAATATTCTATAAAACATAATAATCTATATTAATAAATATTCTTACTTAATTATTTGTTATTACTAATTTGATGCAAACCATTCTTTTTAGTAGTATAATTTGAAGAAATAAGAATATATATCATAATTGAGTTAATTTTCTGAATTCAATTACTGTTAAAATTTTTCAAATTTAAGATCATGTTAATTAGATTATGTAATATAATTAGCAATTTTAGTGAACTCAATAGGAATAGCCTAATATTATAATAATATAAATCTTACATTTTTTTACTATTAGCATTATTCAAATAAGTAAACAATTTCCTACCTTAATTTTTGGGAAGTTTAGGTTTAAATTTTAGAAAATGTAGTAATTTCTTTTTTATATTCATTTTCATCTTTAAAGATTTTTTTTAATTGATTAGCCATTCCTGCATATTGATATTTTTCACTTAAAAAATTAGTACCTTACAATAGAAAATAATAATTGCATTGTATTACACAAATCTTTAGTATTTAGAGGTGATATTAATTATTGTTATCATCTATTAATTTATTTTAAATAGCAGAATCAAGTTATTGAGATAAATTAAATGTTAGTTAACCTCTATAAAGTAAATATTGAAGAAATAGTTCAGAATTGAAATTGATAGTTTATATATCCAATAATTTTATTTGATTTTCTGATTTATTTTTGGACATAGGATATTAAATGTAAATTAAAATATTATTTTTTATTATTATTACTCAAACATTTTTTCTTGATTGAACAAGGGCTTCTAATTGTTATTTTGATAAATTTTCATTAAGCACAATTTGCTATGGATCTTATTCACTATACTTCTCAAAAGGAAATTCTGTATCAATATTCAAAAACTTCTCAATCAAAACCAACATTCTATTTTTAATTTAATATTGATTACTTGAGATATCCAATATCATATTATTTACTTTTATCATAAACTAAAAGTTTTCTTAAGTCTTATTTCCAAAAGAATTAAAACCATCTTCCATAAATTTTAAATTCTGTATTATCAATAATAGACATTAACTTTTAAAAGTTTTAGATATTGTGTGGATAAGTATTAGTTTTCATAAGTTTAATGATTTAATTCTCAGCATGGATAAAAGCCTTATTTGATTAATTTAAAAATTGACTAATATTTTCTTTGGTTTGTTCAGTCCATTCAGAATGATCATTTTAATATTCTAATAAGGTTTATTTTAAGGCTTAATTATCATACATTTTCCTCATTTCTTCACAAATCACATCCAAACTATTAAAACAGAAACCAAAAGCATTCATCAATATTTTATAACGATAACCTATGATACATGTTTAGAGCAACTCAAAATGATAAACATTGAAAAATGGAAATTGTGTTAATCTATATAATAATAAATAATGAATACAATTATTCTTAAAGTGATTAAGAAAGATTAAATGATAATTCTGCTTTTGCCAAAAATAGAGAAACTAAATGATTTATACGATCTGTTTTAGTAATTTTATTTTAATTAGCAAATTTACAAGCAGCTCTAAATTTAGCTTCATTAAAGTATTACTGTTAACCTTACTATTATTAATATAAAAATATAGAGTCTAACAATTTCATTTCTCCTTAGTTTTCAAAATTTGTTGGTTTAGTAGGATTTACAACTAACCATATATTAATAATATAATTACATAATTTACTCTTTAATAAACCATCCCATCCTGGTCTTGCTTCTTCACTATATGACATCATTTCATTGATTAAATTTTGGATTGCTTTTTTCATTTCTTAAGGTCCTTCTTGTGTTAATTCTGGACATTGGAAAGGTTTAGCTTAAAGAGCTTTAAGGAATTAAGTTAATTCTGGTATTGTTTTAGCAGAAAATGGTAATTTATTATTAAAGGCTAATTGATAGAGGATTACTCCCAACTAATGATAGATATTTTTTAATTACAGAATAAACATCACATTTTGAAGAATATTTATCTTCCAAATATAATTAAGGTGCTGCATATGCTGGAGTACCTACTTTTGTTAATACTTATTTTTTAGTTATATCATCTAACATTCTTCCCATTCCAAAGTCAGTTAACTAAATAAATATAAATGATATACTTTGACAATAATCTAACCTTTACCTCCATTTTCAATTAGAATATTGGCTGGTTTAATATCTCTATGTATAACTTTGATGTCAAACAAAGATTTATATCCCAATATTATTTGTCTAGCTATCTCTTGAATTTGTTCTAAAGTGAATTATTTTTTGTTTAATTAGTATTGATCCATCAATTATTTTAAATCTCCACCTGTACATCTTTCCATAATAATATATATTTATCGTTCTTCTTTTATCACTCTATAAATTTTCACTAGATTAGGATTGTCAACTTTATTAAGTTATTCTAAGATTTCGATTTCTCTATCAATCAAACCTTTCTCAATTTATGCTTGTAAAACCTATATACAATCTAAATAAATGAATACCTTAGCACATAATTTTTGATCTTTTAATTTCTCTGAATAGCATCCATAAACAACACCATATTGTCCTTTTCCCAAAAACTCTGATTTCCTAATCACAAAATCTTCCACTTTCTAATCTTATTCCATTTATAAAAGATATTAAATTAAGATAGATTTATTTAATAATATAGCTTTATAAATTATAAGTGATGTTAAAAACTCACTCAAATATATTAATTCACATTCCTCTTTTAAATCTAATCAATATATTTCAATATGTTTAGCAATAATGAATGTGAATTAATTTTAATATAGTAGATTTGTTATAGAAATAATAATTAATATTCATAAATAAAAAAGTAATTTATAACTAATTTCAATAAAAAATCATATTATATATAAATAAGTATTATTAGATAGTAATTTTTACTATATAAATTATAATTATACTTATATATATATATATATATATATATAAATAGATTAAAAATATTTAATATAAAAAAATATAGTATTATTAATAAAATGCTTTATAATGATGAAATTTATTATTCTAGTGAAATTCATGAAGATAACTCATCAACATAATCAGCTTATAGTTGTTGCATTGCCTTTTTGTGTATGCTATGTGGATATGTACTCTTGTAAACAAATTCCTACATAGAAGGGTAAATTGATAATTCGAACTAGCAAGTCAAATCCATATTATTATTAATGCACTATGACTTTACCATTGACTTACTTTTGTGGAGTTGCATTTTTAATTGCAGCAGCTGTGAGATTAATATTTTTAGTCGTTTTTTGTTTGCAATCATAAAAACAATAACCTCATTCAAGTCTTTTTCATAAAAAAGTAAAACATTCTGAAGTAATGATTGCAATGGCGTAAATATATTTAATTAATTTAGATTTTTCTTTTTTGGTTCATTCATTTTAATGGTGAAAGAACAATGTTATGAGTTGACTGTTGCACTACTATTTGTATTGATATTAACAGCATTCATGATTTTATAAATATGTTGTTACGATATGGAGGATGATGAAGTGATTTGTGAAGAAATACTTGATTATTGAAAGACATTATTATAAAACAAATAATGAAATAAGATGACATTCAATCTCCTTAGTTGTGTGACAATTTTCCACCTAGACTTCCAAATCCAAGGAGATCAGCAATCTTCAAATAACAAAATGCTATTAGTCTAACAAAATTAGACACAAGACTATAAGAAAAGAATGACATGCTTGTTGCACAAATTTAAAAAATTGTTAAACATATGCCTTCTGATGATAAGTAACTTAAAGCAGAAAGACATATTTATGATGCTTACTATTTGAGAACCATTCGTAATGATATTGATCTTGCAGATAAAGTAATTTTAAAATATCTTTGGATCATTGAAAATAGCAGAATTTGGAGTGGATATCTATTAACATTAACAATCTTCTATCAAATTATCACTTTCTTTGAAAAACCTTATCCTGAATCTGACTTCTATGAAGCACCTGAAATTGGCAATATTGAATTGTTCATATTAATATTTCTTACTATTGACTTCGTAATAACTTTAATTTTGCTGGCAACTAAAAAAAATGATGGAGGATTCCAATTTAACACAAAAAGAATGATAAAGATGTTGTTCTATTTAGTTTGTGTAACAGATTTCATAAATTGGAAGATTGATTAAAATCAAATCCGATTCAGTAGATTAATTAGACCAGCATTAATGATATTTTATTCTAAAGATCTAAGACGAAATCTTAAGGGAATAGTCAAAGCAAGTAAAGATTTACTTTTATTATTATTACTTTATGTAATAATTATATCCACATTTGCTTTTATTGGAATAAATTTAATTGGATAATTGGAAACTGTTGATTTAGAAACATAAGATTATGGAGACTTCTTCAAATTATTTAGTATGTTATTTATGGCTGCTACTCTTGATTTCTATCCTGATATTATGATTCCTCCTATTTTCTAAGGTACTTTCTATGCTCTCTACTTTGTAATATATATCATACTCTTTTTGTTTCTATTTTAGCCAATTCCTTTAGCTGTTGTCTATGAAGGATTTCGTAAACATAGAATGTAGATTGCAATATAAGATATCATAAAATAAAAATCTGCTATGATGGCAAGTTTTATCTCATTGGATTCAAATGATGCAGGTTTCTTGACTGAAAATTAATTTAAGAAATTCTTAAAAACCTTTTATCATGATTAATTAACAGATGATGAAGTAAAAGTCCTCTTCTCAGAAATAGACAAAGATTTCAAGTAATTTATAATTATCAAATAGTGATAAGATTTAATTCGATGAATTCAATCAGTTACTCTATGTATTATAGAATAGTAAGAAAATTTCCTTACCAAGATCTAAACCACTTAAATGTTGGGAATCTCTAAGAAATTTTCTAAATAAACATGGATTAAAGAAATTTATTGAATCTAATGTAATTATGATATAATAATAGATAAGTTTTTTGGTCTAATTATGTTCTTAGTTACAATAATAAATTGTGGATTGATTATATCTGCATTTTTTATAGAAGATTTAAGTGTACTTGCCATATTTGATACTATTGATACAGTGTTTTTAGGAATCTTCATTTTTGAATGTCTAATGAAAATAATAGCCTTAGGAATATATGACTTTTTTGTAGATGGTTGGTATTAATGTTTTATATTATCTGTAGGAATGTTTTTGATATTTCATTGATATTTTTATAGATATTGTTTGATTATATTTTATTCAGTTTTGTAACTGGAAATATTGTATAATCTATCAAAGCGAATAGGATTTTGAGAATTGCAAAAATCTAAAAGGTTTTTAGACTTTTTAGAGCCTTTAGATCAATAAAATTAGTTGGATATTTATTGAGAGGATTAGAAATATTTGCTCATGTGAAAAACTTATTATACAAGATCATCATTTGTGTACCTCTTATTCTTAGATTAATTCTGCCTGTATAGATTGTTTTTTTTACATATTCTTGTATAGGGATTTATATTTATGGAGGAATTTAAACAGATGATTAGAATCCTTTTTCAAACAATTCATGTGATCCAAATGAATTTAGATTTTTATGGGGTTAATGTAAATATGCAGATTTTAATTCAATGGGTGGATCTTATTTAATGATGTTATAAGTATTTACAGCATCATCATGGGGACAATTAGTTTTTGAACTTTCCTTTGACACTAAGAATTTAGTGATCCCAATGATTTTTATTGGTTCATTTGTTTTTCTCTCAATATTCTTATTAGCACTTATTGGAGGTTTAGTATGGGAAGTATTTACAGTAGTATCTAAGACATTATTTGAATAAGAGATGGAACAATTCAAACCAGAAGAGAGAGTGGCCTTTTAACTTAATTTTTAAGATGAAGCTTTGCTAGGTAGTAGTTTGGGAACTGAATATGATATTCGAAATGGAACTTAATTAAGTAATGCTATTCAGTTACAAAAGAAAACTGCTATTCTTAATGATGATAACCCAGATATATTGGAATTTAGACCTAGGAATGTAGGTCTTAGAGTACATTAAGATGATAAATTGGATATACCTGTTGAATTGGATTTTCAAATTGAAACACAAATGTACAGTAAAGTACTAAGAGTAGGAATCAATCCAAATTAAGTAAGTAGGAAATTAAAACCTTAAGGTGATTTAGCTTAAATAGTTGAAGATGAATTATTAGAGATTTAGAAATTGTATTGTGATTACTTTATTGATTATTAAGAATTTTTGGAAATCAAATTTATTAAAGAGTCTCATAATATTTATAATGTTACTACAGAATATGTAGTACATATTAGAAATGAGATTAAGAAAGATGAAATGTTTAAAAGGAAACATGTAAATATTTCTAATCATGATTTACTAATTTAAAATGCTGTTTTAAGAGACACTAGTGAAATGTATATTAAATAATAAGAAGATTAATATTTTAAAACTGAATATGGTTAAAAATTTGAATTAATTAAAGAACTTAAATTTTAAAGTAAATTTAAAGTTGAGAGTAAGATACTCTTCTCTTTAATGGGTATATTGAAATTTCCAAAACCTAATATTAAATATTTCTTTTAAATTTTATATTTGATAGAAAATTATTTTACTTATTAATTGTTACCAGATTGTTCATTTTTTAAATTATTACATTAAATGGATGGAAAATGGTATATGATAAGTATTGAAGATAAGTAAATTGTATTTACTAAAATTGGAGCTGGACCTTGGACACATGATAATTTATTGTTTGATTAAGGTTAAATGAGAATTTGTGAGAATTTGAAATTTATGAAAGAAATTAAGAATACTGAAGTGAAATCACATATAAGAGAATTTCATACCAGCATGAATAAAATGGCTAAATAATTCGAACTTGATATTACAAAAATAGATGTAAGGAGTACAATAGTATTATATCAAATAAAAAATGAACGTTATGCTCCTCCTGATTCTGCTACTCCCAGAATGAATGGATAAAAACCAATCATTAGTCCAAGATATATGACAATGAGTGTTAAGAATGTTTAAGTAAGTCAGGTTAATGTGGAAGTGAATTCTTTTAATGAAGATGATAATCCAGAAGAGATATTTTAAATGGGTGCTAATGTTGATGAATGTCATAGACATGTAAGTTAAACTATGATATTTGTTCTGTCAAAGATATAAGCATAAGAGAGTAGGATTGTATATTAAAATTAAGTAATGTTGGCTTAATTTGTCTTAGATTTGGCTGGAGTTATTAAGAACTATTCTGATAATTTCTTTTAATAATTAGAGGAATTATATTCTTTACGTAGTAAATAAAGAGGAGTAAAATAAAAATGATAATTAATATATATATATATATAAAAAGTATATTGTGAGTTCTCTGGGTAGCTTGTTGAATTATTTATAGAATTCAACAGCGACAAATCAAACATCAAATAATATCCCATTCCTACCCAATTGTTATATCAATGGATGTACAACAAAACCTCAGGAATGATTAATTGTTGTCCTTAATTTATTCTTTAATTTCCCTAAAATTATAAGCAAATTTTATATGGGTTTTTCACTCTTATTTTATATTCTGATAGAGTTTTGTCAGATCAATTTCAAATCGCCTTTTATCAAAATTGCATATATTTAAGTAATTGATTATATAATAAAATTTCATTCATTATGAAAAGGTCAATTAAGTAGCCTGCTTCTTCCTCCTATCAATTTCTCGATAAGTTAGGTGAAGGGTATTATTAATCATAAAGATAATAGTGCTTTCGGTTACATTTGGAAGGTCAAACACATTACTAGTGCTTAAATATTTGCTTGTAAGCTTGTCAAAAATTCTATGAGGAAGGAAAAAAAATTATTGTAAAGAGAAATACAAATCCTATAAATACTAAAAGGAAAAAAAGGTATTTGTATAATAAAGACATGAAGGATTTACATAGTTGTTTGCATCTGGATCTGATTAACAAAATACATACTTTGTTATGAATCTAATGGGAGATAATTTAGAACAATATCGCCAAAAGCAAGGAAATTTCAATAAAATCTTACCTATTGGATTGGAGATCATCAAACTTTTGAAAGAACTCCATTCATTAGGAGTAATTCATCGTGATATAAAACCAGAGAATTTTGTTATGCAAGATGGTAAAATAAATCTAATTGATTTTGGACTTTCAAAAAAATACATTATTGATGGTCATCATATTCATTACAAAGAAAATAAAGGTATGATAGGAACTGCTCGATATGCATCCATTAATGCTTTAAAAGGTATAGAATAATCTAGAAGAGATGATTTAGAATCTTTAGGATATATGTTAATATATTTGCATCAAGGTAATTTGCCTTGGTATTCTATTAATGATCAAGATAAAGAAATTAGATACTAAAAAATCAAAAAAATGAAAAAAGCTCTAAAAATAGATAAATTTTTTGGTTTACCCATCCAATTAACAAGTTTTATGGAATATGTAAAAGGGTTAAAATTTGATGAAGATCCCAATTATGAATATTTGTTATCACTATTCTCACAAGAGGAAACTGGAACTCGTTTGGGATTATAATATTTTCAACCAAAACCTGCTATTAGATTAAAATTTATTTAAATGTAAAGAACTAGTTTTCGTTCTCCTCCAAAAGAAATCAATTCCAGCAGAAAAGCCAGTTTTGAAGAATCTTCTTCAGCAGGATCTGACATTCAGGAAGAACTTCAAGAATCTATCAAATTAAAAAATTTTATTGTTGGAATCAAACAACCAGCTGATAGTCCAATCTATGTTAAACAGAAGTGATTAATTAATATACTTAATTTTTTATTATTAATAAACTATCAACAAGTTCCAAAAGTTTGTTGTTCACAATATTTTACATATAAAATTCCATCTTCTTCATTCTTATATTTTTCATATATCATGCCAATTGTCTATTCTAAAAATAATCTAATATATTAATACCTGATGATAATAAGTAATTATTGCAAAGTAAAAAATATGTGTATTTTTAAAAATCCTTATGAAAAACAGACTGTAATTTCTTCTTCAAAATTGTGGAAATGTTTTCAACTGGATCATCTTTACTTAGACCAACCGCAAACCTATTTTTATCTATGAAATAGCATTACATTGGTTACTAAGGACCAGCACCAGCCCAATATTGTGTCATAAATCTATGTGGTTCAAAAACTAAAACAACTTAGGATTCATTATTATATTTCTTAGACAATTCCTATCTTTAAACAAGAGTTTTTCTAGCAATAAATAATCTGTTGTTATCATTTTTTAATCCTAATTTGTAAGACAAGGAATTTTGCATCTTAACTATTTAATAGAAAATTGAGATTTTTGCATTTAAATAAATTATAGTTTATTAATATATGGAATCAAATTTACAACTAGGAAGTTTAGAAATATTATGATTTCTTTTTAAAATCTTCATTGTGAATAATATGTTAAAATGCTTCTCGTAAAGTTCTTACAAAGACTGGTTTCTATACTACATGGAGCATTCCAACCTCAATACATAAATCTAATGTTTCCCTATCATCATGAGCTGTACAACCTATTATTGGTACATAAGTCATTTCTAAATCAATCATCATTTATACTAATATTTTTGTAGCCTAATAAATAGATAATATAAATACTTCAATTCCTCCCATAATTGGCATATCTAAATCCATAAGAATCAATAAAATATTCTATTAATTTTCTTAAGCCATTTCAACAGCTTATTATCCATTAAATGCTTTAAGAAAATTTTTATATCCCATAGATTTCATCAATAAAATCAAAGTGTCATGGTTGAATGGTTCATCATCCACAATCAAAATTAATTTATCTGTATCAATCAAACCTTTATTTATCAATGAAGAACATAAAGACTTTTAGTTTTTGTTTTTCCTTTACCATTTGTTATTATGAATCTTATTTGTTAATGGTTAATTGGCTTAAGGTTCATCAATCACATTTAATGTATACAATTATATATTGGTATCTTTAGATGAGAATATAGATTTATTGGTTCCACAATTATTTTAAGAGCTCTTCATATTTTTTAAACTTCTTTATCTAAGCATAACTCCAACAGATTATATATCTTATTAACTTTCTACTGTCTTACTTTCTTTGATGTTAAGTTTAAATCTAAATTCTACACCTAATTCAGATTAAGCAACTTCTAAATGTTATTCTTAAGAACTTAAAATATTGATTAAATTATTTGTAATCTTCAATGACATTTTCAATTCCTTTTTAATTACTAAGTGTTATTTTTTGAATTGAAAATCACATTATTATTTAATCCATAAATTAATATTTTCAATATCCTCATCACTAAATCCATCTCCACTCCCATCAATACTAAAATATATTTCTGTACGTTCTTGATTAAAATTGATATTCAAATTTATTTAACCTCCAGAAGGTGTATGTCTATAAGAAAAATTCAAAATATTATATAATACTCTTTCCAATTTAATAACATCTGATATAATATAGAAACTAATCAATATTATCATAATTATTACTTCTCAATTTTTTACAATGGAATCTAATCAACAAAGACTTAAAATAGGATTCTTTTATTTATACATTAAGATTCAATCAATTCTGATAATTATTACAAAAATTATCTCATATATATCTTACTAGATTAAAATATAATCTTATCTGTCTGAGTACTTAAGAATTCCAATAAATCTGAAATTTAAAAATATTGCAATTTTGAATTAATATAAGCTGGTTTAATAAAATTCGATTTTGTTTAATTATCCACATCAATACTATTATAGGCTGAAGAAAGAAATCCCAATGTAGCATTTAAAGGAGTTTTTAATTTATGAGCAAAAAGATCAGTAAATGATTTTTTAAATTAATGAAACTTTTTTTTTGTTTATTTTATCATGAAGTTATCTATCTTCAAAAATGATAATATTTATAAATTTCCTTAATTTATGGATTTATGCATAACTACAAATTTTTATTTGATATTCTTTTAAGTATCTACTGAAGATGCTATATAATGATTATAGTCATTGCTTTAAATTAATTCTTAACCATTTATAAATTCCAATAAAGAATAGCAATCTTGAAATACAAGTTATTATGATTTATTTGAATTTTAATCAGGACTGCTTGTAAAATCTTAGTCCTAATAACATTTTATATAAAATTGAAGATGTTCATCCAATTAAGTATTTTAAGTTATTTATACATAAGAATTAATTTCTAATTATATTTTGTTCTTTGGAGTAATGTCCCTATAATTTGAATCAAATATTTTAACAATCATTTGTTTCTTTAATTCTTGTAGAATTTCATTTTCAGCCATCTCAATAATGGAAATTTGACCATCCACTTATTTTAATTCATACAGTAAAAATGCAACACATTAAATGATTGATTAAAATTCTGAATAAACTATGTTACCTTAATAAGAAAATGAAAATAATATTATGCTTAGTGTTACTAATACAGCTTTACTGTATTTTTGTAATTACACCTTATTAGTTTTATAAATTTGTAAAAGACAAAATGTTAGCCAGATGGATTGAGTACCATAATGTAAAAGCTGAATGACATTATAGCTGAATAGGATGAAGCAAGTTGAATCCTCATATTTTTTACATTTAACTATCAATATAAGTTATACTAATCATCAATATAAGTATTTTTACCAATTTATAGGGTAAATAGTAATGTTGAACATATCAAAATAGAGATTTAGCTCTCTAGTATGCCTTTAATTATGTCAGGAAGAATAAGGAAACCTAACATTAAGTGGAATTTTATGGTTTATTCAATCATATTGGATAATAAAAAATAAATGAAATTACAATATTTTCTGGCTAATAAAAATTATAATCATAACCTTTTATCCTTTTAATAAAATTATAATCACTTCTATTTTTTATGATAAAAATATATATAATCACAAGCTTTTCCTTTAGGTTAATGAAAAATATAAACACAAAATATTTAAGAGATTCATAATTTTATCATTTAATACTTGACGAAATTGCTTTGGATCCAAAAATAAAATTTTAAGATTTAACTTTGATTTCATTAATTCTCAAAAATGTTTCTTATAAACTCCTTATAAATACAGGTTTAGCAATGATACATATCATGCCTGCCATAAGACATTCCTATTATGTATCTTTATCATCATGTGCAGTACATGCAACTATTGGTATATAATCAATTTCTCCATCTGACATCTATTAGATAAGAATTTTGGTAGCCTAAATTTAATATATATATATATACTTTTATTCCTCCCATAATAGGCATATCTAGATCCATAAATATAATTTTTATAGATTTATAATTTTTTTTTACTAATTCTATACATTATTAACCATGATAAGCACTTATAAAATTTTTGAATCCTAAACTTTTTAGCATTAATTTTAGAGTATCATGATTAAATGGTTCATCATCAACTAACATAATCGTTTAATTCATGTCTTGTCTAATATCTATTGAATCTGTAACACGTTTGACATTGAAAGAGTGATCGAAAGCCATAGAAATAGTTAGTGATTTATCATTAATTTCCTTTTGAAACACAGATTTATGAAAAGGTAGGATACTTTGTTAGACAGGATGGTTTTTGAATAAAGTACTTTTAGGAGATGTTTAAGCCATTTAAGTACTTAATTAAAGTGGTTTATTTGCAAGTGGTTCTTCATCTATATCATATTCTTCTAACACTTTATCCCTACATAAAAAATAATATTAATACGATTATTAATTTTTATTGGTTGTAAATAATGAAATATGATTTGGTAAATGTTATTTAAGTGAACCAGAACTTTTTCTTTAGAAACTTAAATTTCTTTAACTGATTTCAAATGACTACTGAACATTTACTTATTTACAATTAAGACTAATAAAAAATTGATAACTTGCTCCTTCTTCTAAATCATGATTTATTTATAAGGAACACTGAAAATCACTAAGAAAATAAATTAATTTATTTGTAATTTATAATGTAAGGCTAAATTTGAATGTAGATCTTTTTACAATTGAATTTCGAAATCCATGAATACATTAATTTTATAATCTAGCAAAATTATTGATTTATTCAAATTATTCTTACTTAAATCCTTAAACATTATCATTAATTTTAAATTAAACTTAATTATTTTCAGTCTATACATCTACATTTAATTAAATTTTGCCTTTAATTTATGTATGTCTATATGATTTATTCAATAAATTAAATAGAATTCTTTCTAATCTTAATTAATCAGTTGTTAAATATATAGGTCTATCATATAATAAATTATATTAATATACCTATCATTCACATCAAATGGTTTAGAATTTACTGTAAAGATAACTTGAATCTATTTTGCTCTACATTATAATTCAATCATATCATAAATTAATTGTAAAGTCTTATGTAAATTGACCTTACTCATTTTATATGTAACTAATTTTGCTGAATTTACATAATCTAAAATATCTTAAACTTAATAATATTGAATTTTTGAATTAATCAAAGCAGGCTTTAAAAATCTTGTTTTTACTTATTCATCTATTGTATTGTTTTCTTATACAATAGCTTATAAGAATCCTAGAGTTGTATTAAGTGGAGTCTTCAATTTATGAGTAAATATTTTGGATAAACTTATCTTAAATTTGTCTATATATTTGTTTTGCTTTGATGGTATTTTATCTTCTAAACTAACTAGTGCTACTAATGTATAAACTTTTTGAATTTATTTAAATTATTCTATATATAATCTATATTATTGTTTTTGTCCTGTTAATTCTTCAAATTCAGATGCTAAAATTACATTATTCTTCATTTATTGTTTATCCTTCTAATAAGATTCCAGAAATCCACCTAGAGTATCAAAAACAGAAGGTTTAGATGTCATTATTTGAGATTCTTAGACCATCTCTATTTATTATTTAGTATAACATTTGATTTTGATATCCTTTTTAATTTAGGATTGTAATTTCTAATTTTCAGAACGAGATGAAAATAATGTTGCATTTGAATTTTAGATTTGTTCAGATGATATTAATTTTTCTCCATTAAGTTCATTTTAGTTTTAGTCAAAGGTGTAATATTTAACATTTTTAATGATCTATTTGAGTATCTTATTTTTAGTTTGCTTCTTAAGATTGGTGAAATTGTACTTTCTGTAAAGAAACATAATAATTAGAATCAATTATTCTAAAATTGTTTAAAGTATACTAATCTCTACCATTGGTTGAACTTATGCACATGTGAAAGCAAATACAATTAATAAAATTACAAATTAAACTAGATGTTAGTCCATAGATATCGAAAATATATTAAACCAAATAGAAGGTACTCCTCTTAAAACCAGTTGGAAACAGCTATAATATACTATGATGACTTGTTCAAATATTAGTTGTTTTCTATGACACTTGTACTTGTATAGCAAATAAACTTCATATATAAGCATCAACTTTACTTACTTAAGATCAAACCAAAGAGAATTGAATTAGATATGATTGTAAACATTTCTGACTTCTTTATACCAAAAATCAAATTGATTAAGGAAATAAAGAACATTGTTTCATTTTAATTTCTAACAGAGCCCTGAGTCATTATATATTATAAGTAAATTTAATAATAACTTTTGAATGCCAATATTAATGATTGTACTCTCATAATAGACTAATTAACAATATCTTAAATTAAAAACAATATGTTAATTCAATCATTGATAATATAAATACCAACACTATCAATAATCTAGTAAATTATTGATGCATATAATATTAAATTAATATAAAAATATTTTATTAATGTAATAAGTGGAACCAATTATAGCTAAGTTACGAATTGCAGATTTAGATGATTATGAACCATTAAAGAAATTCTTACCTAATGTATACTTATTTCTATCTATATTTTATAAATATAGCCAAATATCAAGTTATCACACATAGCCTTTGTAACATTATTGTTCTCAATCCTATGTACATTGATTGGAATTGCACCAAGAGTCTTAACTGGCTTAGTTGGAGCCTTGATCCCATCCTTTTAAGCAATAAATAAATATTAAACAACAGGTAAAATATAATTAAAACCTAATTAGGCGAAATTTACACAAGTCTTCCTTATTTCATAATATTTTCAACTTATTTGACCTTTCAAGGATGGATAATGTGGATCTTTTCATTCATACCATGTTTCGATACCATGTGTTTATTATTTGTGTTGGCTCTCCATCACCCAGATGTACAATTATCTAATAAAATTTGGAATTTGTTGTAGAAAGTATTATGAGAAATAAAATTATAAATATATAAATATAATAATATATGTAATTCAACTATCTAAAGAAGATAATAAAGATATAAATCTAATTGTTTAAAGTTCTTGTTGTGTAGTTCAATAATATAAGTTATATTAAATTGAAAAAGAAAGTAGATTATAGTGTCAATTAATTTGATAAGAGTATAAATTGTTTTAAAGAAATATGGGATATAGTATGACATAAACTTAAATTTTATGTTGATGAATGGTTTTGATAATATTAAATGAAGAATATGAAAAGAAAAAGGAAGAATTTTAATGTGAAGATGAATTAGATGAATTTAATAATGGTTAGAAAGAAGATGAAGAAAATTAATATTTAAGTATTAGGAAGATGGAGATTATGAATGGGTTAATGAAGTAAAATGATTTAATGAAAGAGATTATTTAGATAATTGTTTATAAGATAAAACTAGTAAGTGTATATGTATAGACAAAAAATACTATACATAATAATAATTTAATTTAATAGAGTATTAATTTATTATTTTAATGAGTTTAATCATTTATATTTATACCTAATGGGAACTAAATCATAATATTATTAAATAAATATAAATAATGAATTGTAAAAAATATTATTACATATTCAAAGTATATGATTATTTATATGAGATTGTAATTAAATTATTTTCATAGTACAGAAATTAAAATAATATATCTAAATAAATTATTATGTAAGATAAGAGAGACGAACACACATACATGGCTAGGTTGGCTGAATAAACTGAAAGATGGGAGGATATGGTAATATAAGTAATTCAATAAGTAGGTTGAGAACATGAGGAAGGTAGCAGAGATTACTAAAGATTTGAATAATGAAGAGAGAAATCTACTTTCAATTGCATATAAGAATACAGTAGGATAAAGGAGAACTGCTTGGAGAGCAATTACTGCTTATGAGATTAAGGAGAAATAGAAGGTATAAGTAGAGTGGATAAGTGATAGATTGTGAAATATTAAGAAGTACTTTAATATTACAAGGCAAGAGTAGAGAAAGAATTAGATTATTATTGCAATGAGGTTTTGTAGTTGATAGATCACACTCTATTGAAGAAGACAGCTAACACTGAGGCTAGAGTATTTTATCACAAAATGAAAGGAGATTATAATCGATACATTTCAGAATATTCATAATAAAAGGCTTAGGAGAAAGCAATTTAATAAGCTTAGTAGGCGTATTAGACAGCATTGGAATTAATTGATAAGGACAAGTTTCCAAAAACTAATTTATTAAGATTAGGAGTTACTCTCAATTATTCAGTGTTTTGTTATGAAATAATGAGTGATGTTGCTAAGGCATGTGAATTGGCAAAGACAGTAAAAGATGAAGTATTAATTTAAATAATATATAAGGCAATTAAAGAATTAGATGATATGGAAGAAGATCAATATAAAGATGTGACCACAATCTTACAATTGATAAATGACAATCTTACTAATTGGTAAGCTGAGTTACCAGATGAAGGAGGGAAAAAATGAATTCATTTAATATAAATAATATTATTAACAAATACACAAAGGTAAATTTATCATTTAGGTATTTCTAATAATTTCTTTTAATCTTCAGAACTTAATTTTTTAAATACTTCTTATAGATATACTTTAACTGAATCTAACTATTCTAATATCCTAAGTGCACTAATTAATTTAGAATCTATTTATGCTGTAGACCACTTTGATTTATAACAATTAGCAATTATTTTTAGTATCTATAAATAATATCATCATACTTGTAATGCATTTTCAGATTTACCATTGACAAATAGATCTCCATCTTAAATGATGAATTCAGCTAATAAATTATGCTGAATATAAGCCTATCGTTTATCATATTATAAAGGTAATAAATATAGCCAAGTTTCTATACCTTAAATTAAATCTTATCCAAGTGATTTCGGATGTGACTTAATAATCTTACCTAAAGCAGATATTGAATTGTCTCTTGCTAATCCAAATTATCTTTCATTATCATCTTAATTTATTTGTATTTTCAAAGATTCAACCAAAGATTTCAATAAAGATTATGATACTTACATATACAATTCTTATGGAGTATTAATAGCCATCACACCTATTCCATATACAGCTACCTATCTTACATAACATACTCTATCACATGCATATACAGTTAAAGCTTAAGTTAGATCCATGAATTTATTTTAGATATATGGGAATCCCAAATACTCAATCATATAGTCAATTAAACAGATTCCAAATTAATGCATCTTAGGAGATTTTGATTAATCAAGTACTTTAGGTAATATTTAATTGCAAATTATTTCATAAAGAGGAAGAACAAATTCTTTATGAGTTTTGAATAAAGCACCAATACATTCAGCAATCTTAACATGTAAATTTTCTTCAGTTTCTGTTTCTTCCTTAATAGCATTCTTCTCATCCTCATCTACATCTTCATCCTTAGCCAAATTCTCATTATCAGCCTTTCTTCTATCAGATTCTAGTAATAATTTAAATACTTTATCTGATAATTCAGTAACTTCCTCTGTGGTCATAAATGGCTAAGAAACTAATTCAATTATTTCCTTGATGCTATTAATCTGTTCAATAATCACAATTGGATCATATTCCTTAAAAGCTGCTTCCAATATGATTCCAAGAAAATACTTAGCTCCATTTATCAATTATTAGGGATTGTTAGTTTCTTTAACATTCTTGACTAAATTTACTAAGCATTTACAAGCAGCACTTCTAATGTTTGAATCAGAACTAAATTAAGACAATGGCACAATTAATTTAATGCATCTCTCCACAAAAGGAAAGAAAGACTGTTTCAATTCTTAAATGAATACAGATAACGTATGAATGGCAACCTAGGCTTCTTCATTATCATAAGTATGCAATTCTTCCTCATTATTTGATTCTGTTGAATTGATATTAAAAACTAATTCGATTAATTAAAATAATGAAGGTACTACATCTCCAAGATATTTAGCCAATTATTATGGACAAATTAATGCTAATCTTTACCATCCTGAAAGTACATAAGACTTCTATGGATCAATAACTTCCAAATTATTTGTCTATACTTATATTAGAATCTAAACTGTCTATTATAGATAGGGTAGATACACTTACTCTCCCACTGCTGAAGCTATTAAAGTGATTGTTTCAATAACTTAGCCTTTCAATTATCTGTATTGTTTAGTTTAATGATTCGTAAAAATTTAGAATAAAAGAGGAAGCAATTCATTAACATAGGGAATGAATTGTTTTTTACTTGATTCTGCTGTAGCTGCAATTACACTAATAGCATTTTCTTTTTCAATAGAAATGCCTGTATTTAAAAATTTGATAGACATTTAAATTAAATTAGGCAAATATATTTCAATGCCTTTTTCAGTTCCTTCAACAAAATTTGTTAGAGCAGCTAAAATATGAGAACTTACTCTAGACACATCCTCAATAGTTAGACGATTCAAGAATTCTGGAATTACTAAATGCAAATAGGAATCTTAAAATTTGGGTTTCATATCATCAGAAATCTAACCTATAGCATGACATACAGCATATCGTATCATAGGATTGCTATTGTTAAGCATAGGTAATATTAAATCTATTGTTGGTTTAATATCAGCAACTTAATCTATGTATTCACCAACTTAAGATAATGCCATTATAGCTGCATGTTAATATCTCCAATCTTGATGTCTTAATAATTCACTAACTATTGGATTTAAAACAGGTAACATATCCTTTTTACCTTATGATTCTATTAATCTATCTATACTAGACATTCCAAAATTTGTTGTTTCACAATCTTCATCCTATTCTACATTATCATTAAATCCTTCAGGAGGTTTCATCCATTCATCACTAATAGTGGGACTAATTTATATCATATGAAAGAATATCATTTCAACCAATTACATTAAATAAATTTTCTCAAATTTGAATAATCCTGGAAACTTTTCAACCAAACTCAATAGAGTTTCAGTTCCAATTCTTTTAACACCAATATCAATTTGAGGTTCTCTAAAGATTGCTTAAATTCCATTAAAGAAAATATTATATTATTTTCTAAAGAATTTTGGTTTAGAATCCACTATATCAGAGAATACTTCCATGATTCCTTCTCCTAAAGATAGATCTTATATTGTAACTTCGAGTGCAGATTTCATCATATTTGATATTAAATCTTAAAAGATCTTATATTATGCAGGTAATGAATATTTAATATAATTTCCTAGAGCATGCATAGTAGATGATTTAATTTTGATCTATGGACTTGCCAATCCTTAAACAAATAAAGTATGAAGATCTTGTTAATGTTTATCAAATTGATCAATTGAATATATAAAGAGATTCCCAATTATTTTAAATCCACATTCTATTATGTCATTCTTTGGTGATAAGAACATTTGCCATAAAGTTTATAATAAATTTGGCCATTCATTATGATTATCATCCTCATACAAAGATCCACCTATCTCTCCTATTGTATCACACAATTAATTTCTAACATTTTAACTATTTTCCACTTCAATACATTAAAACAAACACAATTTAAGAGTTTCTTTTGTTTCTGAAATCAATTTACTCCAAATATTCTTATGACTCTTTGGAGCAAATTTCGATAGACTATATCTCAAATAAACAGGAGCAAATTGCCTAATTTTTAATTCCTCATGTCTACAAAGATTAAGCATTTGTATAACAAATTCATTTGGTTATACTTCTCTAATTTAAGCTAACCTATCTTCCCCTTATTTTCTGATCTAATTATTTTGAGAGAATATTCCTTAAATAATTTACTAAAGTTATTCTTCAAAATTCATAATAATAATAATATATCTATTTCATTCTAACTCTTCCAAATAATCCTTTACTTATGATGGAGGCAATATTCTAAACACATGATCATCTCTTATCACTCCAACTTCTATATTTGTAGGAGTTATCTACCCTAAACTTAAAATTAGATTAATACCTTCAAAACCTTCTTTTAAAGTCAATAATGCTGTATTAATGGCATCTTCAATCTCCATATCAGCATTATATCTCTTTTCCAAAAATGCCTTTGCATTCTTAGCCTGCTTACCTATTGCAGTGGCTTTCCAACTATAATAGGCTCCACTTGGATCAAGTTATACTAAATGAGGTCCTTCTTCATCATATCCTGCAATCAGTATTGAAACTCCAAATGGTCTAATACCTCCTCTTTGAGTTGCTACTTATACATCCTAATTTAGAATGTCTAATGTACTTCTGCCAATTCTCTACTTAATGTTTATACAAATATTTCCTCTTAGTATTTGAGATCATACTTTTTGACTAATTTTCTTGCTTGTTATGCTAAAACCCTAAAATCTGGACCTAATCCTGCATATGTAGCTGCTATATTATCTGTCAATAATGCAACTTTTTGAACACTAGATTCTTCAACTAAAATTGACGATTGCTTCTTTTCGACTACCAAAACAACACCATTTTTAGCTTTAATTCCAATTGCTGTATCACCTTTTGCAACAGCATTGAGTGCATATTCAATTTATAATAATTTTCCTTTACTACTAAATGTAGTTAATGCAAAATCTGTCATACTGGTGTTTGTTATTTTAAATAATTTAATTAAAATAAATATATTTATGATGAAATCTCACTAGGCTAGTCAATTGACATTGAGCCTTCAAAAATGATTACAATTCTCTGATAAAATGTTTATATTAGTATACTATAGATATATCCAATAAGTATATATTGTTAAATCAGAATGGTATTGGACTTTTTCTAAAAAGATGTCTTTTTGACTTCTATATGTTTAATTAAAATCGCATCAAATTAATCCTTGGTGTGTCTCTATCTATTCTTATTGTATGTTATTCTAACTGTTTTGCAAATTTGGATGCCAAGTCTTCAAAATTCTTTTACTCACTAGAGCTATAATTCAAATAGGAAGTCTTTCCCATTTTAGACACCTAAGGAAATTTAGCCTTATGTAAACTAGTCAACATATAAGGTGATCTATCCATTTCATTAAAGATTTGAGGAAGATTGGTTGATCGAAATTGTTTTGTAGATGTTTACTAGAATCTATTAACAGATTAACTAGTTATTTATTTAACATATTCTGCAAATGATTACTATTGACTTTTTTTCTATACTTACATATATATATATATATAATTAAATGAATTGTTATAAGAAAGAAATCACAAAAAATTGGTTATATTAAGAAGATAAATATATAGAAAATATAGTTGGTGCTTTTGAAGTAATAAAATTACATGAAGAAAGATCAGTATAAGCTGGAAATGCTCGTTAAAAGATTACAGAATAACTCTAAAAATATATTGATGAAGATCCAGAAGATTTACCTTAACATTTAAGTACATAACATGTTCTTTCACTTGATGAATAATTACTAGATTATCCATGTTATAAGAAAGGTGGAATATTTGGATCTGTAACATAAAGATAATGTTAATTATAAAAAACTACTCTTGGATAATCTAAGAAAGGTAATGTTATTATAAAAACATTTGGTGTCATTAAAACATTTTATATATAACATCTTGAAGATGCTAATAAGGATTTTAAATGGGATGTAAGTTATCAAAAGTTTCCTGTAAGAATCATGTTCAATTTTGTTAAACATAGTCCTGTATGGTTATATTTTAAGGATGATGAGGAAGCCTAGAAATATTATGATTATTTTAAGTGTCATATTGCTATGAATAAAATTCAAAAATTACCCATTATTATTTAAGAATCAACATCACTTGTAAAAGAGAATTATTTTTTATTATTTGCATAAAAATTAGAAACATATTCAATACATGTTATATAATAAAGAAAGAAGGCTGCCAAATTAGGGAAAGATGAAGCTAAATTTTTAATGGAAATTGATATCAAAATTATAAGGAATATTTTATAGAAGAAATGGTTAAGTAAGAGTGTTTAATTCTTCAAAAGAGAAGAGAGAATGAATTAATTAGCTGAAGAGGAGAGAAAGAAATTAGATTAAATTAGATAAGAAGATGAAAATAAAAAAATGAAATGGCGATAATTTCTAGGATCCAAATCAGTACTTAATGTTGAATTAGCAGAGTGGTTAAGACCTATGATGGCAGATTGGTTAGAAAAAAGTGAAGAAATATAAAACACTTAAAAAGTAAGAGAATTAGTCTTTACAATACTTATCAAATCAATTAATATTGCTGTTGATATTAATTTAATTAAGCCAACACTATTTGTAGAATTATAATCAGTGGAATAAGATTCTAAATTAACAATGGAAGCCTATTTAGGATAACAAAAAACGGATCATTTTTATAATTGGTTATTGAGGGAATAAAATTTTGAGAATAAAATCATATCTAAATAATAAGAGAGAAAACCATGCTCTTTCATTATTTCAAATATAAATAATTAAGATCAATTTTAAATATAATTCAAAGACATGGTCAATGCTTTCTATGATACAGCTACTATTCCTTTCAAAATTATTGTTAAAGAATTACTTCAATAATCTTAATAAGGAAGATCCATGTGGATACCTTTAAAATTAGTATAAACAAATTCATTAAAAACTGAATCTAAAGAGAGTATCATTTATGTAGAAATTGATATACATGTTAAACCTTCAATTATGATGCATAATCCTTAATCTTATGAGGAAGAATTAGAATATATAGTTGAACATAGTCTAGCTTTTTCAGATCCTATTTATTTGAGTACTATTTAAATTCCAAAAATGAATAAGGATATCATGAAATTTATTCTTATAACATTAGAAGAAAGTAACATTTGTATGAAATAGAGTATGTAAATGTTAAGCTATATCTTATTCTTATAATAAAAGAATCCTGAAACTCTTAATAAATAAATGCATTAATTATAAATGGTATTTATTAGAAAGGTCATTTTAAATTTGTGTCATAATTTTGGTCTAATGGAAAAATAAATCAAACAATATGAATTAGTTTCATATCGTTTAGAATCTATGAATTTCTACAATATAAAAAATCCACAAGTACAAGAATTAGTTAATGGACTCTTTTTAATGGGGATTCCCTATTATTTAAGAAATAAATTATGGTTTCAATTATTATAAATATCATTTGATCCTATTAAAAAAGTCTTGAGTTAAAACTACAAAGTTAATCTTGATAGAGAGGATGGTATGAATGAAAGTGTTTCACTTTATTTCAAATTATCTCAACTTAAATAAAATTTAAAAAAAACACTACTTTAATAAATAGATATCTATTTGAGATAAGAAGATAGTCGAAAAGGATTTGGTAATGAATAATTTTATCATCAATTAAAGAATCTTCTAATAAGTTTCTTATTGTATCAAGGTAATTAAGGATTGATCCCAAACTAGATATATATTCATCATCTATTCACTTTTGCTAAAAAAATGTTAGTCATGTAAATCTATTATCATGTCAGATATAATGATTACACTGAATTTGCTAATGAAACTAAATAGACTCCTTCTGATTTAATTAATGAAAGTAGAGCATTCTGGCTTTTAGTTGGCTTTCACAATTAAGTTCTAGCTGATTATCCATTATATGAAGATTAGACCTTATAAAATAGATTATTCTTAGAATAATGTGCTAAATTAAGAGTCTATCTAAATAAAAAACATCCAGACTTATTTCATAAAATGTTCTTATATGGAATTGAAGTAGAAAATGAATTATTTGAATTGTTCTTTAATCTTTTTTCTGATGTCCTACCATCAGAAACTCTTTATAGAGCATGGGATCTCATTATTTATTAATAATAACAATCAATCAGAGCTACTTCTGAAAGAGGAAATATCATTATTTCCATAACTGCTGCTCTCTTATTAAGAGTGCATAAGAAAATCAATAATATCTCCAATCACTTGGCCTTCTTAGCTGCAATTAAAGTAGAAGCTATGTTGATTAATGATGTAACTGAATTCCTTACTGAAGTACTATAAGTCTAGAAAGATTTGAATTTAGCTGTTTAAATTGAATATTAAGAAGAAGGACCACCTAAATTAGAACCTTAAGTAGAATATAAAAGTATCTATATTATTATAGTATTCTTTAGTTAAGTCTGATTATAGAATATTTGATGTTCTAGACGAAAAGCATCCTAAAGGGTCATAATAAATGCAAGTGTATTAGTATTTAAATTTTATTGATTTTTGAAACTATATTCAAAATTTAGAATTCAAAAAGATACTTTAATATTATTAATGGAATAGTTTATATTTCAATCAATCAATCATAATATAACATGGGCTTGTAGCACAATTGGTAGTGCGCCTGACTACGGATCAGGCGGTTGCAGTTTCGAGTACTGCCAAGCTCGAATTTTTTTATATATATAAATTAACATAATATATATATAAATATTAAAAAATTAGATTAATTCACTTCATTTTTGTAACAACTCATAAATTGTAATACAGAATACTCAATTTAAAAATTCATCTATTCTTTTGTGATATTACCTATTTTAAAACGATTATTATCTAACAATTTATAATTTTAAATGTTTAATCTATTCATGTATGAATAAAAATAGTGAAGAATAATGTTTGAAATAATATATAGAATATATCTAACTAACAAGAATTGATAACTAGTTAACAATTTCTAAAGTGATTCTATGCTAAACAAACAATTAAAATTAAGATGAAAATTTTCAAATTTATACTTGAAAATATATATTGCTTAGACTTAAATTATAAATAATTAATATACTTATTATTAGAATTCTAAAGAATAAAGATTCAGATAATCTCTTTAGAATATTTTTTGATTAAAAATGAAGAGATTTAGTTTTTCATAAAGAATTTTTACTCTTAAGAAGATATAAAGAACAAAATAATCCATAACTTCATAAAAGATGATATGATATTTCTTAAATCATTTTAGGATTAATGAAATATGGAATATAACAAATAGTTATCAATTTTCTTTATAATTATTTTAAAATATGCTCTCATTTATATATTCAATTTAAATTATGATAATATTTTATAGTTTTACTTAAGATATATACTAGTATTAAATAACTTAAAGTCATTTAAGGAAATAAGTCTATCTTGAAGATGTTTCTTCAAATGAATTGAGATAATTTTAGATATGAAATTCTGTTTGTTTTTTCATTTTAAATAATTATTGTTAAAAATCAAGTTCAATAATTCAACTTCTGCTCTTCTAATTCTTGCATATAATTTTGGTTGATTATTTCCTAATAATTTCACAAAGAATGGATCATGAGATTCTGACAATTCAAATATTTTAATTAATTATGGTCTCAAAATTTAATAATCTGAATAGAATCTTTCACAATATACAGTATTATCATCCAAACAAAATTGAATATTAAGATTTTTATGTTCAATATATTATTACCATTTCACAATACTTTCAAGTGTGTTTAATGATAATATTCTAAAATCATTAATAAGTTCTTTTAATTTCTCTTAGTCTTTAGATTAATATGTCTTTAAAAAACTCAATATCTAATTTAAACAATTTTCTCTTGCTGTTATTGTAAACATACAATGTAATATTGGGGATAATTTTTGATCCATTAAATTAAGTTCCTCTTCCAATATTGCTAATTTGTCATTAGATGATGCCAATATTTAATTGAATACATTCTACATAGATAAATCTATATATATACTTAATGAATTTTTGGAACATTATACAATTTATGAACTTGTCTTACTTATTCCAATTTGGTAGTAAATATTTTTTGTTCGCATTCAATAAGATTATCTAGTTCTTATTAATTCTTATGCATTTGAATGTATTTCTAAACAATGGAAGCTGTTCCACCATTTATTGATGGCAAGAATGTTTTATTTGAATATTCTCTTGGTACAACTCCTAAAATCTATTCAGATGCAATAATCCTATTGTTCCAACCTTTTTCCTAAAACCCACTATTATGGAGAACTTACTCTTTGAGAAAATCGTTTTTAAAGAGAAGAAGACTTTGTAGTGCTTTTCTGAAAATATTCTTGACTTTGAACTTTACTAATATTTTTCATTTAAAATATAATTATTGAATATAAATTATTCTTATATTATTTATAACAATCTTAAATGCTTATAATTTTATACTAAATTTACAACATTTAGATACATCTTTTTATTTTGAAGTTGATATATATTGATATATTAAGAATATTAAATAATTCTTTGTGATTATAATAATAATAATAGAATTTCTTATAAATGTAATTATATTATAAATTGACAAAATATTTGTGTGCTTAATCAAAATAAAAAAGAGTTGTTTATTTAAAAGTAAACTAAATAATTTAATACATTTTAATTTGTAAATGCCACCAAGAAAAACTTAAACCATCAAAGAAGTCTAGAAAGAGAGCTAATCAATTATTGATTAAAAATTAGGATCTACAAGAAGTAAAAAAGTAAAAAAAAATGAATCTGAAGAAGATTCTGATTTTATTACTGCATCAAGTAAATCTAAATAAAAGAACTCTAATGCATCATCAAAAATTAAGACATCTGCTAATAAATAGAAAGAATCTATAAATGAATCCAAAGATGATCCTTAAGATAAATTATCACCTGAACTAAAACCATCCTCTTAACGTCAAAAAGCAAGAACTAAAGGTGAAAAAATTTAAGAAAAGCATAAGTATGATTATTTAAGTTAATTATTATAGTACAAAGACAGAAGAGGTAAAACTAAAATAATAGAATGAAGATGAAAATAAAAATGTGGATAATAACCATTAATAACAAGGTAATATATAGGAAGAAAATAAAGATAATAATGATTATAATAAAGATAATAATAATGATTGTAATAAAGATAATAATAATGAAATTAATTAATAATAAATAAATACTAATATAAAGAATTAAAATGATGATAATTAAGAAAATCTTAAGAATAATGATTAAAAACACTCTAATGAATTATAAGAAAGTAAACCGGTTTAATAAGATTAGAATAATAATGCAGAAGTGAATGAAAATAATAATAAAGAATAATTAGATAAAGAGAATAATTAAGAATAGAAATAAATATAAATAGATAATAATACATTATAAAACTAAAGAAATAACATTGATTAATCTGAAAACAAAGAAAGTCATGAATAAAAAGATGAAAAACATAGTCAATAATAAAATGAATCTGTTGTAAAATCAATTCCTTAAATAATTGTAAATGAAATCAATAATAAAACTGATTAATAAAATATAAGGTAAAATGAAGAAGAAGAAAAAGAATAATTAGATAAATAAATAAAAGTAGTACAATCTAATTAAGAAACAGATGTAGACATTGTATTTTGTTGTGATATCAATCTTTTAGAAGGTCGTAGTGTTGATTAACTAAAGGTAATATTTTAATTGAATTTAGAATACTATAGAATTTATTATTTAATAGTTAAAAGAGAAAGAACACTTGAATTCTAGCATAAAATTTAGTATAGTTCGTTTTAATGATCTAATTACAAATTAAAAGTTATAATAATGTTAGGTAATTGATTTGTGTGATGAAACAGAAATTTTATAGAGTCTTGAAGAAATAAAATAGATGGGATAGATAGAAATAAAGAAGGGATTATATTATGGTCTAAAATTAGCTACTTAAAATACGAAATGGAGATAATAAAGTAATAATAAATCCTATAGATATATTATTCATATTGCCAATTAATAATTAGAATTAGATAATCAATCAGATGAATTAGAATAAATAATATAAGAAATGAATAATAAAAATATTAGATATAAATATTTAAGAATTGATAAAAGGATTGATTTAGATTTTGATGGGAAATAATATTTACAGAATAAATTGAACAGTTATGAAGAAAGTTTTTTGAAAGAATTTGGATGTCTTAAGAATGTTGTTAGTAGCATTATATTAAGAGAGCTTATACATGAAAATAATAAATGATTTTTATTTTAAGCAAATTTATTGATATATCAATTAATCAGATCCTTATAAATTTAACTAATCTATCATCTTATGGAGCATAAAGGAAATTACATTCCATAATTAAATTAGTTTAATCATCTAAAATAACTTTATAAGTTTTCATTATATAAATAAGGATTAATTTTATTTCTATTTTTGCTAAATGTTATCCTAAACAATTTCTTGGACCATATGAGAAAGGAAGGAATGCTTCTGGCTCTGATTAATTTAACCATCTTTCTAAATTGAAATCCAAATGGTTTTCAAAATATTATGGATGAGTCATCATTGGTTATAATCCTGCATCAACATACCAATCTTTCTTTATTAAATATTCTCCTACATAATGATCTTTTACAGATAATCTTGGAATAATTCCATCACTAGGTGTTTAAGTTCTAAGACATTCATTTACAAATGCATTTAATAATGGCAAAGAATTTATTAATTTTTAATCAATCTCCTCAAAATTAATTTTATTTAATTCTTCTCTTAGTCTCTCTTAAATTTAAGGATGTTTGGCTAACATATAAATTGACATCCCTGCTTAATGAGATGTTGTATCCATTCCTGCAAATACAAATGTAATATATTAATGAATAATCTATTCCCTAACATCTTCACTTAAAGGATCTCTCATTAATATTGAAAACACATCCTTATCTGATCCTTTTTAGTAATTATTTATGAGATTATTAATATAATTTCTTACTCCATACACTCTTTAAAGGAATTGTTTCTCATAAGCTGTCATCAAATAACTCTTCATTGTTGATAGTGACTTAATTCCAAAGAAACATCTCATCTAATGGATTAGACTACCATAAGTAACCTTAATAATTAATTTTAATTTTACATAGATAAAATATTTAGAAAGATCTTAAAATTCTTCACTTAAATGTTAACCATTTATTTATTCATCTTTGATTTAATTAAAAAAACAGATCTACATTGTTCTCTATGCTATTCTTGCACATTACTTTATTATATTAACTCTCTAATTATCTTAATATTATAATGTTTCTTAAATTAATAGTTTGATGACAGGTATCTTTGAAGACAAAGATTCAAAAGTAAAAAAATTAGATAATTCTCTCTTTTAATCTTTCCATTATTAACCTTCTGCATACACTAGACCTTTACATGCTATAATATCTCTAAATATTTCATCAGTTCTTTTTTTATAATTTGTATAATTGTATAGCATTTATTTTACTTTTTCAGGTTTGATAAAGATGAAATATGGTCTACTGAAAATATGAGTGATAATCAATTCTACTTCTGGATGATTATAAGCAATATTTCTTTTGAAATAAATAACATCTTTTTAAAATCTTAATCCATCAATTCGATATTTGAATTGACCTAACAATGGAAAATACAAAATATAAACTTTGTTTCCATGTTTGAATTTGTAGAAATAACAGATACATAAAGGGTACAGAATAATCCACAACAAAGGAATTGATAAAAAACTTAGTATCCAAAAAAGCATCATCAATTTTTATTTATTTTGAGATTAATATATATTGTCAATTTAGAAATTTGCTTTTACGATTCTAAGATATTTTAATATGATATAATATTTTGATTAATTCTGAATCTAATAGTAAACTGCTATTATATAATCAATCTTTATTCTAATTTTATTCATCCTCATCCAATAACCTTGTCAATTCTAACTTTAATATTTTATGTGCTATTAATATTGGTCTAACATTTTAGTAATCTGTCTTCTAATGGAGAATCCTTTTTTCTAATGTGTACAATATATTGACCCATTCTTAATATATTTCCTATGTTACAAATGGTTATAATTAAGTTAATAAACCTTAAATTTCAACCTTATATTAACTCCATGTTTTCACTAAATTATCAAATATCTATTCCATATTTGCTTCCTTACCAATGAAATCATTAAGAGCATTTTCAGTAAAGATTTATTAATTAACACAAACTGATGTGAAACGATTAAATGATAAATTCTTTTCGCCTTAATGAATAATATCAGCTTATTCATCAAATAAATCTAATGCTTCTTAGAAATTAAATTTCTCATATTCAATGTGTCTAAACAAAGTTAAAAATTCATTATGATTAATCTTTTTGTTCCCATCCAAATCAGCAGCTTGAAATGCATGTATCACAAATAACTTTGTTCTATGTGTAACATTTCTATATTTATCAATTACTTTAGACATAAATAAATCTAGATCAACTACACCTGATTTATTTTTTGAATCACTTTCCTTTAGATTATCTAAATCACCTCTTAGCTCTTTAATTTCATCTTCAGTTAATTTATTCTCTAAATGCATTTTTATGTAACTATATATATATATTATATCTTTACTCTAAAGCTCTCAAATAAGGAACATAAAATTTGGCTTCACTATCTCCTTATACAATATTAACACCTAAACTTGTTTGACTATGTATATATTCTAATCCTGATATTAGAAAAGCTGATTCTTCTTAAGTGAAATTCAGATGTTCATCATGTAAAAGACATAATAATCTGGCGAATAAATTCACTCGAAATATTTGACTAAAATGAATTACAGATAATAAAAATTATAAGTATTTCTTTTCAGCTACATGTTTAAATCCATATTTATTAAGGAAGAAATTAAAAACAAAAATCTACATATCAGCTTCACCTCCAAAAGATGTTTTCTCTAAATATATTTGACTAATAGTTCTTAACACATTCTTAACTGGCCAATAAGCAACAACCTTCTTAAATAAATGAGATTATTCTCTAGCTTTTATTGCTAATAAGACACCTGGATGTGTTAATCTATCTATAGTTGGTATTTATTTCATTTATCTAGTAGCAAAATTCATTCTTAATGCTCTTTATATTTTTCCTTTTCTTCTTTTTAATGCCTCCTATTTTTTCTCTTCCTTTTCTTTTTCTTCATCCAAAACATATTCTTCTTCTAAAATCTCCTTGTCATTCTAAATTTTCTTTCTTAATGATTCAAATTCAAATAAAAACTCTTCTGCAATTTAAGTATGTGTTTTGAATTAAGTTTTTAATATATGAAGAGTTAATTTTCTTGCAAATAATAATACTTATGTTAATAGTTCATTTGTTTCATTCATTCTAGCTGTAGCATTTTAAGCTTTTTATTTTTGTATTTGATAAAGAAGCATTAACATAGTAGTTTATTATTTTGATAAATTGGGTTATTAAATAGTTTCATTTTTTTCATTAATATCAATTATATGTGTATTATTTTATGATTATGATTATTATTATTATTATTATTATTATTATTATTATTACTATTATTATTAATATTATTATTATGATACACTCATTTTCTTTTTCTTTTAAACCTACTTTTCTTTTTCATTTATATTCTTCTTTTCCAAATTATCATTAGATGGAAAATATCTTATTGAATTTATTGATCCTTATTATTGATTATTCTACTATAATTATTATGGAATCTATTGCTTTTAGTTTGATTTAGCTGTGTCAGTTTTACAAGTATTTGTTTAATTAAATTAAGAACTGGCTTAAGGTGATAATTTAATTGCTTTTTATGAAGATTATTATGAATTCTATTAAGTATTATTATTAGAACTTGCTCCTTATTATATTTATTTAATATTTAATAATCTATCTGAACCTTATTTATCTAATTCTCTAATCAACTTTTCAGATGTCTCAGATCTTTCAATTTAAAATCTTCTTTCTTATATATAATCTTATTTTCTTTTATTTAATACATCAGGTGATCCTTCATCATTTTCTGGTACTTCATATATTAAATCAATTTTAGTAATTCCTCTAGTTTCATAATCATGAATTGAGGGTTCATCTTGATGCATATTCATCTGATCACATAGACCATCCAACCAACTCTATTATTCTAATTGTTATTTTAGTTCAAATTCTCTTAATGTATTTTCTATTTCTTAAATTGATAAAAATTTATCATATTAAGGAGACATTAATTGTAGATCTGTTTAAGTTTCAAGAACACATAAACATTTTTAAAATGTTTAAATACCAACACTATGAGAGACAACAGGTAGTACTTCAATCACATCTCTGACAATAACATCTTAATTTTATTCAAATTTAGTCTGTTGATTCATTTCCTTAAGTACTTATGATAATGATAAGTCTTGTTCCTCCATAGCATCATCAGATTTGTTCATAGAAGAATATTTATTTTAATTCTTTTTGGATAATTAATGCTTCAATTAATCTATTTCCCTTTATAAATTGCCTATCATATTTGCTGCACTTTTTGATATGGTTTACTATAAGTTAATTTTATTCTATAATTTATTGATAGTCTATTAATAACTAATACGTTCTGAATTAATCACATTTTCTTTATATTTTAATTGATCTAATTCTTATGTTAATTTATTTATTTAGATTCTTGAACGATTTTCTATTTCCTCTTTTTCTTTAGCTTCATTAATATCTTTTTCAAATAATTAAAATTTTAATTTTCTTTTTTCTTATTCTTTTATCATAAAATGTTTATGAAACACTAAAATATATCCTTTTACTAATGTGTGAAGGAGTTGACCTCTTTCAGCACATTGATAAGATACTTATCGAATAATCTCTAACAAACAAAGATGTAGTGCTTCAGATAAAGATATTAATTTATCTTTGAAATCCTTATTAGATTAATGGATAGTTTCCATGAAATTTACAAACCATTATTTAAGTATGATTGCATCTCTTCTACCAGTAGGTTAGGCTGAAAAAAAACTACTTGATTATTATTAGAGTGAAACCAAAGAAGGAGCAAAATTGATTGCTTTTTATAATGATTGTTTTAGAGAATTTAGTATGTGACTACGATCCTTTTCTTAAGATAATCCTGCTGTGATTTGTTCGAAATTAAGTTCTGAGATTTATTCTAATATAGGTAATATTTCATTTTCATTGTCTTACTCTATAACTTATTCAAGTCTCTCTTCAGTTTTAACCCTTAATTGATTACCAAGATAAGCTTAATTTTGTTTTCTCATCCTCTATTACTATACATATTATTATAAATGAAGCTCTCCAAGTACCTACTTCTATTTAATTTGTTCTTAGAAACGATGACTGTAATGACTATCAGTCAGATGTGATATATCTCTTGTTCTTGTTCTCATTGATGTCATAGTTCTATTATTTAAAGATTTCAACGAAATTGTATGATCTTTCATAAAATAATTAAATATAAATGATAATTTTTTAACATCAATTAATTATTTTAGATACTAATCAATTCTTACCATACTTATGATGGAGAAAATCTTATATCAATAAAATCATGATTGATTAAGGTGCCACTCTAGAAAAGTAAACAAATAATCCAACCCATAATCCAATAAACTTTTCTCTTTTTATACTTTTCATAAAACAATCTATCACTCCTTGATATGGCATTGAACCATCTGGTAATGATTTCATCTTCTAAAGTTTAGTCTTTACATTATCAAAAGGCAAAGAAATAATTGAGGATATTATTCCTGCACCACACGATGCCCTAAATGTTTAATCATTAGATTTACATAATCCTATCAAATGCAGTTTCATTTTTTGAATCTTTCAATTGCATACTCATTTACTTGAGTTAATCATATGTTGTTAATTACCCAATTGTGATTGCAACAGCTCTTGTTACTGTTGGCATAGATCCTTTCCAAAAAGCAAGAAGTCCTTCTTCTCTATAAATTCTTGTTAAGGCTTCAAAGGCATTTTTATAATTCCTTCTTTCCTCAATTGGCAATGATTAATCTGCTTAAAATCTAATTAAACACACATCTGTTGGATTCCCTACCAAAGCTCCAATAAATCCAGCAAATGAAGATGCTCCTACTTTTTCAAAAAAAGTCAAATCACCTTAGATATATATTGGAATTCAATACGTTATTATTATTTCTTAACCTTATCAGTGATTATCCTGAATATACCAAGACGAGTTGTTGTATATGTTAATTGTCTCAATAATGCCGAACCAAGGCTAAATTTAAAATTCTCTCTACCCTGAATAAAACCCTCTTAACCCTTCTTTTTGGAGCATCTCTCTACTTATTTAAAAAATATTCTTCTTATGACTGACCACTCCAAGACCCAAGTTTTCACTCTAGATTTAAATCCTCACTTTGAGAGTATCAATAGGCATTATGATAGCAGCAGCCGAGCATCCAGAAATGGCTCCAAATAGAAAAGGTTTAAAATAAGAGGAGTTTTTGGATTCAGCCATAAGGGAATGTTTATTTTTATTTCTTTAATTATAACTAAAATTTTAATATTTAATCATTCTCATTCATTATATTAGTCCCTTTGGTTATCTATGAAATAATAACTAAGTATCTCATCTAATTAACAAATTACTAGACAAAAATTAACAGTATAATGAAATAATTTCCTTCTTTTGTATTAATCTCTAATATCATTCACTATATCTTTTATCAATAAATTATCCACTAAATGGATTAGGTAGTTAAAGCATAAGTAAAAGCATACAAGAATATAAATAAAAACTTTAAAATTACTGCTCCGTTCTTCTCTCAGTAAAGCTTGTTCCTATTCCAATTATATAGCATATTATTACTAAATTAAGATCTTACCCCATTATATATAAATATATTTGAATATTCAGGATGCCATTAATATATTCTATAATTACATCACTTAACTCGTAATTAAAATCCTTTCTAATTATAAAAGTATACTAAAATGATATTGGATTATTTATTCTATTTTTTATAATTAGTTGTCGAAGTAAGAAAAGCACAGTAAGTAGAGCAAATATATTTTATTAACAATAAGCATTTTCTTTGATTTTATATTTAATTGATATCAATTACATTAAACTTAGCATTCGACAGAATTCTATTTAAAAAAATGTAAAATTACTTATGATTTAACTATTAAATTAATTATATCAATAACAAGTATGTCAAATTACAGTATTATTTTTAGTGTTACTATTTTATGATCATAATTTAAAGTCTAAAAATAAATTAAAGAATTGCTGAAATAATCTAGAAATAATGTTAAGAATTTATAGTTTATTATATTCTTAGATTCAAATTTACTTATTTGATTTTTTGAGCCTATTTTTTTAAAACATAAAAATTTTATTAATGAAAAAATGTTAACATTTCATCTGATTGAAGTGATATTTATAAATATTTAGATTCTAATCTTTAATTTTACAATCCCTTCAAAATTGATGAAAATAAATATTTTAAAAAAAAGTATATATTTTTCATTAACTTTTATAATATAATTAACAATAGAAATTCAAGGCAAATTTTTAATAATAGTCTATAGTTATTATGTTGTTTTCAAATTCTTAAAAAAGACCAACTAATCAAAATAAACAATATGACTATTACTTAATTATTTCTTAAAAAATATCGAACCCATGGATATAAGACCTAATTAATCCTTTATATAAGTTACTAAATTTTTCCTGAATGAATAATATTTTAATATATGAGTTTTAATAACATAAATCAGATAGACCAAGAAATTCCTAGATAAAAGAGAACATAAGTTTCTAATTTGCAAAATACTTAGACAGCAAATTAAAAAAATATCAAATTATAGACTTATGCAGATGTAAATCAAGAAATATAACCGTTTTATAATCCGCAAATTATATAAGTTCAACCCTAAGAATCCTATGAGCAATCAGAAACAGACAAAACTAAATATTTTTAAAACTTTCTGGGATAGCATAATTCAAAAATATCTAAATTGTTTTTTTTCGAATACACAATTTATGCTTTACAATTAAAAAATGAAGTTTTAGACAAAAACTTTAAAATTACAGAAAAATATCTTCCTGCTTTATCACCAGATGATGATTTAAATGAATTAGTATTTAAATCTGAGAATCGAATTTTTGAAGGACAAAATATGACATATAAAACATTAATAAAGTTAATATTTTTAGGTGAATTAAAATGGATAACAGGAAAATGTATTATGTCATATGTCATAGAATCAATTTCAAAAAATGGAATTTCTTTTGTTTTAAGTTTTGTTATAATTAGTGTATCTCAAAATAATTAAGATAATGCCCATTATTATGGAATAATACTAGTATTATTAAATTTCATTAGTTTATTGAGTAGACATCATGCTGCTAATTATTCAATGATATTTTCTACTAAAGCACGTCTTTGTTTAATAAATTTAGTTTATATTAAATTGATTGGATTAAATTCTTATTCTTTTAAATAAGCTAATATAGGTAAGATATTAAATATAATATCTGGAGATATTAATACATTAGAATAAATGTTTAGCATGATATTTCCAAGTAGTGTAGTAATTATATCTATGTTTTTTGCTTGTTTTATATTATGGAATAGATTTGATAGTATTATTGGTTTATTGGCAGTTTTATTATTATTTCTTGCTTATCCTATTTAAATGATAATATAATCATTCAATTAACAAACTTTAAAATAAGCGAAACTTAATTAAGATTAAAGATTAAGAATAACTAATCAATTCATTGAAGGAATTAGATTAATTAAGATGTAAGCATGGGAAAATGCCTTTTAAAAAATGATATTGACAATAAGACAAATTGAATTTCTAAGTATTTTTAAAATTCTTCTAAGAACTTCAGTTGATAGATTATTTACATAAACTTCACATATATGGGCAAGTTTTTTGTATTTTATTATTATATATTATGGTGAATAAAGAAATGAAATGAAAATTGACTAAATGATTTTAACAATATAATTGTTAAATTCTCTGAGAATATCTTGTGTATATATGGTTTCAAATGGAATATAAGCTTTTATTTAAATTAAAGTTACTTTTGAAAGGATTGCAAATGTGTTAAATCTATAAAATTTTGTTATGCTTAAAGTTGATGATTCTTCTTTAAATGAAAATAATATAATTAAAACAGAACAAATTAGAATTGAATTAATAAATTTTAGTGCATATTGGACACATACAGTATCTGATAATGATAAAGCAATCTTAAAAAATTTGAATATAAATTTTAAATAAGGAGAATTATGGGCAATTATTGGAAGAGTTGGATGTGGAAAATCAACTCTTTTACATTCATTATTATGTGAAATTCCAGCTTATAAAGGACTCATATTAATTGATGGATAAAACCCATAATAAAATAAATTAACAATTAGTTATGTTGAATAAGAACCATTTTTATTTCCTGATACTATTAGAAATAATATTCTATTTGGAAAAGCATATAATAAATCACTATATTTAAAAGTTACTTAAGTAGCATAATTAGAATCTGATTTTGATTTGATGAAATTTAGAGATTAGACTGAAATTGGAGAAAGAGGTATTACACTTTCAGGTGGATAAAAAGCAAGAATCTCCTTAGCTAGAGCATTATATTAAACACCTGATGTATATTTATTTGATGATCCTTTATCTGCTGTTGATGCAAGTGTTGCTTAAAATATATTTACAATTGCTATTAAATAATTCATTTTTGAATATCAAATAACTATAAACCCAGAAAAACAAAAACCAATTGTTATTTTAGCAACTCATTAAATTTAATATGCTATCAAATGTGATAAAATTGCGATATTAAGTCATGGTGAATTAATTGCTTAAGGCTCATATGAACAAATTAAATTACATTTAGAAATGATTAATAAGGATTTAGCTTAATAATTAGATAAAACTTAAAATGAAACTAAAAATTAGGATATCTTAGAATAATAACCTATCAATACAATCTCAAAAAAAGTAAAATCATCAGAAAATAGAACTCTAATAGTGTCAGAATCAGATAATTAATAAGTCATTAATTTTTCTGTATATATGAGATATTTCAACAATTGGAATTGTTTATCTTTTTTTTTAGTGATAGCCTTTGAGGTTGGATAAGAAATTTTAACTATGCTATATCAAAGATTTATATCATTATTTGAATACTATTAAGAGAATGGTTAGACAGATTCTACTTTTATCATATTATCTTGTATTGTAATTGGATTAATGATTTGTTGTTTAATTAAGTATATTCTTAGTTTAATTTAAGTATAATAAACAACTTAAAACATTCATAAAAAGATGCTGAATTCTATTGCATAAGCCCCAATATCATATTTTGATGTAAATCCATCAGGAAGAATTATAAATAGATTTTCAAACGACTTATCTTTGTGTGATAATTCAACAAATTAAGTTTGTTTAGATATTTTAGAAAAGATGGGCAATTTTTTGATTTCCTTAATAACCCTTGCAATCTTATAACCTTTCTTCATTATTATGATATTCTTCATCTTAATTGTAAATCTTTATCAATATAATTTTTACAATAAAATTATAAGCTAATTGAAAGAGATTGAATTAATTTAAAGAAGTCCATTATTTGATTTTATAAAAAATACATTAGGTGGATCTATCCAAATTAAAATTAATAAATAATAAAAACTATTTAAGAAAAAGTTTATAGATATATCAAATAAATGTAATTTGAATTCATTAACTTATTTTTATTCAACAAGATCATTTTGTTTTAATATTGATTTTATTGCATTTATTGCTTCAACAGCTGGTTTATTTATTTTCCTTAATCTTAATTAAAATGATGTTGCAATATTTTCTTAAGGATTATTATTATTAACTATATACAACGAAGGATTATCATATGGATTAAAATAATTGATATTTTTTGCAACTTAAATGAGTTCATATAATAGAATGTTCCAGATAATAGATGTTGAATAAGAAGCACAATAAGTAAAAGAAATAGATTCAAAATTATAAAGTTTTCCAGAATCAGGTGATATTAAATTTGATAATGTTTATATGAGATATAGATGTGATTCAGATTTAGTTTTAAAAGGATTAACATTTGAAATTAAAAGTGGATAAAAAATAGGTTGTGTTGGTAGAACAGGAGCTGGAAAATCTTCAATTTTATAAACAATTTTTAGAATAAGTGAAATTGAAGAATATGAAGGATCTAAAATAGAAATTAGTGGAATTAATATTAAATAATTAGGATTATAAAAATTAAGAAGTAGTATTGGTATTATTCCTTAATCTCCATTCTTATTTACTGGAAGTCTTAGATCAAATTTAGATCCATTTAATTAATATGATGATTAAGCTATTTGGTAAGCATTAAATATTGCTGGATTAAATGAATATATTAAATAATTTTCTAATGGTTTATAAACAGATATAAGTGATATTAATTCATTATTCTCTGTTGGATAAAAATAATTAATTTGTTTAGCTAGAACTCTATTAAATAAAAAGAAGATTATTGTTTTAGATGAAGCAACTGCTAATCTTGATATGAAAACAGATGATTTTATTTAAAATACACTTAAATAATAACTTCAGGATTGTACACTTATTACTATTGCACATAGATTAAATACTATTGCTGATTATGATAAAGTTATGGTTATAGAAGATGGAAAAGTCATTGAATTTGATGAACCATTTAATCTATTAGCATAATCTATTAATTCAATAAATATTGATAAACAAACTTAGTTTTCTAAACTTGTTTAAAATACAGGACATTCTAATTCATAAGCTATTTTTGATATTGCCAAAAAAAAATAGATACAAATTTAGAAATGATCTTGATTATTTAATATATTAATATCTTCTTTATAAATTATTATAAATTAAATAATAAAAAGGAACTGAAAACTTATAATTTTTACATCATTTATGATCTTCTAAACTTAGAATTCTTAAAAACAAATCAGTAATTATTTCAAGAATTTTCCTTTTGTAAATATATTATATATTCAAATATTTCAATTATAAATATTATTCAATTTTTTATACCAAATTTAGCTTTGCATAACTTTAATTTTTCTTAATAGGATATATCTAAGTCAACTAATTTCTTATTTAAATCTTATATTTATTTAAGAGCAATCAAATTCTCTTTTGATTCTTCTTGCTAATATTCAAATTAAAATATTTTCTATCTTTTCTGGGTTGAATCTAACATATTTTTATTTTCTAATATTTAATTCATCTCTTAAATCTATAAACTCAACTACTTTTATTGTTAAATTAGTGAAGTTTTTGTATCTTGTAAATCTTATTTAAGATTTCTTAAAATAACTTTATTTTAATTTGAATCAGTACTCTTATCATATGTGTTTTCACTTTTAACAAATAAAAGATATTTATTTTTTCCTTAATTTATATTTTAAAGGTCTTTAAATTATTGACACTTACAATTTTAATTTTACTTCACTAATTCATCAACTCCTCTTTTAATATCTTCTATATAATTGAACAAATTATTTAATAAAATTTAAGAAGCAATTTTCTCAGAACAAGTTCTATCCGAAGATTATAAAGAATTTTTTTCGTTACCTTCTTGTACACTATCCAATAATTAGTGTTCCTCAATATTTTGGTTTTGAACTGGTTATTCTGTAGGTTTACAATTCTTTAGCTTTTTTATTGTCCATAATATTTCTTCTATCGTTCTGAATATGTTAACACTGAGATTCATTTTATATATTATATTTTAATTACACATCTTAGATATAAAAATAGCATAATTCTATTACAATTTTCTATTAAAATTGATTCAAGTTTTTTATTTATTAAATTTATTTTGAATATATGTAGAAATAAAAAAATCAAACATGATGATTGAAATAATTATATATTTAGTTCTTTCATCTTTAAGCTAAAACTAATATACATATAATATATCTTTTATCTATAGAAATTGATATATATTACACATAATAACTACTTCCTTCTTAAGTATAGAGATTGAATTCAATCATTAAAGGGTTTTTTTGTTATAAATCAAGATATAATTGTCTATAAATTAAAAAAATTAAAAATAAACTACTTCATTGTTAATAATTATTTTATATATAAAAAGTCTAATAATGCAGGAAAAATAATAGAAATAATAGCAATAGGAACAAAAAAAGTCTGAATTTTATATAGGAAAGTTTTTCTGTTAATTTTAATGTAATGGCAAAATGACCGGTAAAAATTAATTAAAAGTAAAACTTAAGATTTTTGACTAAAAAAAAACAATTAAGTAATTGAAAAAGAAGAAGTTATATGTTGTTAGTAATGATATTGATTAATATGAATATAACAGAATAGTTTGTAAGGTAAAAAAAGGGAAAGAAATTGTTAAGAAAATATATAATAATCACGGAAAAATTTTGCATTTATATGATGAAATATGGTTTTTTTTATTGAATGCTGGTTATGTTAAATTAAGAGTGAAAATAATAAAATTAAATGAATCAGATGTTGAAATTGCTGAAGTTTCTGTTTATTTAACTTAATAAGCCATAGATGATGATTATGAAATGAAGATTAATAGATATAACAAAAAGACAGAAAAATTAAATAATGTAGAGGAAAATCAAATGGAATTGTTAAAATATGCAAGACTATCTTTATTATTGATGTTTGATTTTATGAATGTAACAGTTGAAGAAAATTGTTTAATTAAATAAAACAAGTAATTTAAAATCTTCTTTGCATAATATTGTCAATTCTTTTAGAAATCAAAAATGAATTTTTAAGTAAAAAGTTTGCTTAAACCATATGCAAGACCTATTATAGAGAAGTAACAAGTATTTGAGAATTATCTAAATAGTAAAAGGTTTAATAATAATTTATTTGAAAAAAAGTTGATACAAGACTTAGTTGTATATTAAACAGGTCCTTCAACTTTTGTATCTCAATATAAGAAATAATATTCCCCAAAAATGGAAGAGATCTATCCAATTCACCATGATTTATTTTAAAGGATAGGCTTAGAATTTTTTTAATATGTTAAAGCCTTCATAAAGCGTTCAAAAAATTCAGTTGATAATCAGTTTGCTGAGATTTATGATGATTATGTTTTAAGGACTGTATTTTTATGTACTTGTGAGATATCAGAAAAAATTTAGAAAGATTCCATTTATACAAATTAACATAAAAATTTAATAAAAGTTCGTAAATAAATTACAGAAGCTTTAAGTAGATCAAATAAGGACTAACTCAATTTATTGAGTGATAAAAATCTTAAAATTTATTAATATACAAAGAATACAATCCATGATTTATATTTTATTGACTTTAAAATAAATCGAAGATCTATTCAACAATATCAATAAGTTTTTAGTTAATTCTTTTAACCTAGGTTCTATTATTAGTATAACAATTAAGGATATAGTGAGATGGAGAAGTATATACAAAAATAAATATTTGAGGAGATTAAGGAATAAATTAAGTATTAAAAAACAAATTTAGAATAGAATAAATAAGATATAAATGATATTTTTCTTATCAATAATCTGATTCTTAAAGAATATAATACTCCAAAATTAATGATTTCTGAACTTAAAAAACATTAAAAAGAAGCCTTATTTTGGATGCTTTATAGAGAAGGACATATTAATGATCATTAATTATAATAGAAGTAACAATTGTCTCCATTATGGTAGGAATATAAATTATAAGGTGGTGAATCATTATATGTCAATATGTTTACAGGTAAAGTATCTAAAGAAAAAGTGACAATTCAAGAGACTAAGGGAGGTATATTAGCAGATGAAATGGGTTTAGGGAAAACTTTGATGGCTTTGGCATTAATATTGGAGACTCTTAAAAGTGAACAATAGACATTGATTGTAGTTCCAAAATCAGTAATAAAATAATGGGAGAAGGAAATCTTTAAGCATTCAAAACCTGAAAGTTTAAAAGTCTTAGTTTATTATAAGAAGAAGGATAGAAAAAATAAGAAGACAGATTTTAAAAACTTTAATATAATACTAACTACATATGCAGTATTAAGTATGGATTTTTAGATTTGGAATTAAATTAATAATATTAATATTGAATAAGATGGACATATAGATGAGAGTGATAGTTTTGTTGAAAGAGTTCAATCTATTGAAGAATATAGTGAATTATCTAATACTATGGATATTTATGATAGTAGTTCAGATGATGATGATAATTAATAAAGTTAGTTCTATAATAATCCTTTTTATGAGTATTAAAATGAGAAGAGAAAGTAGGAGAGATAATTGAAATAGCAATTAAAATAGAAATAAAAATAGGAGATGTAGGAAAAATAAAAAAAGAAAAGGTAATTGAATCCATAACAATTGGAGATAGCTAAGGAACATAATAATTTATTTAAATAGAAATATCATAGAGTTATTTTAGATGAAGCTCATAACATTAAATTTAGATAAACATTGTAATCAAAAAGTGCATATAGTTTGGAAGCTGATTTTAGATGGTGTTTAACAGGAACTCCTATGTAAAATAAACATGATGATCTATTTAGTTTGTTATAATTTCTAAGAGTTGAAACATTTTCTGAATAGTAAATTAATCAATTTCATTTATAGTTTTTGGTGGAATACCTATATAAATAAGGAAGAAAATGAAGAAGATTAATAGAGAATATTATCATAGATATTATAACCTATAATTTTAAGGAGGACTAAGAATTCATAAAGATTTGATGGTCTTAATTAAGTGGATGAAGAAATATGTTGGGTTGAATTAAATGAAAAAGAATAAATATTGTATTAAAAATTATTAGCTGGTTCTTAAGATATATTTAAACATTTTACAATTGATAAAAATAATAAATCTTATGTACATATATTCTAAATCATTAATAAATTAAAATTAGCATGCAATCATCCATAATTAGCATTAAAAGAAATTAATTTAGATAAAACACCTATAGAAGAAGTTATTGACAAAATTAATTAATTCTTCAGCAACAAATAAAAAAGTACTAATATGACAGAGGTTTACAAAAAATCATTAGTAGAAAATATTAGAAATGGAGATGTATAAGAATGTGAAATTTGTACTAATACTTAAATAGATACTTTTTGTTTGTCTTCATGTGGTCATATATTTTGTAAAAAGTAATACATATATTATATTTATAGATGTTTCACTTAAGCTATAAATTAATAATAAATATGTCCAGTCTGTAGAACAACATTATCTATAACTGATTTGATTGAAATCAAAGTTGAAAATGAAAATGATTTTGAAGACTTAAAAACATTAAAATTTGGTCTTAGTTCTAAATTAGTATCCATTTTAAATAAAACTAAAATTGTATAGTAATAAAAAGAGAAAGTATTGATATTCACATAATCAATTGATATGATTTAATTAATTGATAATCTATTTTAAGACAATGGAATCATTGCCTATAGGATTACTGGATAGATGAGTGTTGATAAAAGAGAAAAAATAATAAAATAATTCAAAGATTCATTAGATGCAATTGCACTCTTATTATCATTAAGAGCTACATCAACAGGATTGAATCTTACTATGGCAAATAATGTATTTTTAGTTGACCCTTGGTGGAATGTAAATTAATGAATAAATTATCAAGCCTGCCATTGAAGATCAAGCTATTGGAAGAGCTGACAGAATTGGATAATTAAATTAAGTTAAAGTTGTTAGATTTTTATGTAGAAATACTATTGAATAATCAATCAATTTGTTGCATTAACAAAAGAGATTTTAAAATAAAAGAGCATTTAGTGGAGAGGCTAAAAAGGCATAAGAATTGTAAGATTTCAAATTTATATTATTTCAGTAATGATCTAAAATAAATATATCAATTATCCAAATATCGATGTTATTATTATATTTAGATATAAAATCTTACTAATATTTACTAATATTTTTAAATAAATATATTATAGCAAATATATGTATTTATTTGTTTTATCATTATGAATGAAAGCTAAATTTTTGAATGCTTTACCAACAATAATTAAAATTCTTCTTAATGAATAAAAAGCAGATAAAATAAGATAAGCTTCTTAAAAAAAAGGTATTGTATTAAGAGTACTGGAAAACTATTTTTAACTAATCCAATAAAGCAAAAGACAAAATTAAAGATGGAGACACTAGTACTAATATTGTTGAACTTTTATCAAAAGGGGAAAGCAATTAAAATAAAGATAAATTAGAATAAGGTTTTGACAAAATATTATCAGAATAGAATCACATTCTTAAATTACCAAAAGTATTATTATTAATAAAAAAGGACTAAAATCCAATTCAAGAAAATAGAATTTTACAATAGAAGACAGAAAGTAAAACATTATTACAAAATAAAGCAACTCAATTATCTCCACAACCTCAATTTGATGAATAAATTAAATCCACTTCGAGAAATGTGTAAACTTAGAATATAACTTAAAAAATTACTATCACCGATACTAAGAGTTTAGAATCAGGAAATAAATAAATAGATATAAACAAAGACATCAATGATAATGTTATACAAAATGAAGTAAAATAAGTATTAATAAATGTTTCTCCTTAAGAATAATTACATTCTAATGTACAATCTTAAACTAAATTTGGAATTACTTAATAACAATATTAATAAAAAGAATAACAGTAAGAATAATAACTAAATAAATGTAAATAAACTAATTCTTAACTCAAACCTGTCTCAAAGAATAATATCAATTAATTAGAATAGACTCACTAAAAAGGGTTAATTAATGAAAGTCATGATATTATTAAAGATATTCCTAATACTTAATAGTAATTGAAGATTTAAAATAATAAAATAAATATAGATACTGATAAATGCATCAAGAACTAATTTGAAAGAACTTAAAAATCTGTACTTTTAATTGATATTTTAGGAACATTTCATGAATGATTAAATAAAAACCCTTAAACCATAAGATAAATCCAATATTGCATAATAATTGACAACAACAAATGATTCAAATAATAAATCAATAGAAAATGATAATAAACAATAACAAATGAAAATCTCAAATGATGGTTTAATTTAAGAAAACATAAAGTAATAGTCTGAATAAAAAGATTAAGTTAATCAATAAAATGAATCAAATACAACTTCAAATTAAATTGTTACTAGATCTCAACTCAAAGCTGTTCATAAGATTATGAGAACATTGAATCAAAAAGTAAATTATATTATTAAAAAAAAGCTTCATTAAGATGATATAAAAATTCAAGTTATTTGGGATGAAGTTTTAGCTTAATAATCTGATTTGGTACCTAATTTTGAGAAATTTATTTAATGCATTCAATTCTTGCATAATTTAGAAAAGGCACATTTTGATTAATAAAAATTGACTGCTTAATTATTGTGATATAAATTATATGACAAAATTACAAATTTATAATTAATTAAATATTGTTATTTCTCTTAAATTTCATAAACAATATTATTAATAATAATTTTAATATTAGCAATTTTACAATTTAAAGGCTTAAGTTTAAATTTATATAATAATAAAATATAGAAAAGACAGAAATATTTATTTATAAATTTCTCNGAGTTTAGAATCAGGAAATAAATAAATAGATATAAACAAAGACATCAATGATAATGTTATACAAAATGAAGTAAAATAAGTATTAATAAATGTTTCTCCTTAAGAATAATTACATTCTAATGTACAATCTTAAACTAAATTTGGAATTACTTAATAACAATATTAATAAAAAGAATAACAGTAAGAATAATAACTAAATAAATGTAAATAAACTAATTCTTAACTCAAACCTGTCTCAAAGAATAATATCAATTAATTAGAATAGACTCACTAAAAAGGGTTAATTAATGAAAGTCATGATATTATTAAAGATATTCCTAATACTTAATAGTAATTGAAGATTTAAAATAATAAAATAAATATAGATACTGATAAATGCATCAAGAACTAATTTGAAAGAACTTAAAAATCTGTACTTTTAATTGATATTTTAGGAACATTTCATGAATGATTAAATAAAAACCCTTAAACCATAAGATAAATCCAATATTGCATAATAATTGACAACAACAAATGATTCAAATAATAAATCAATAGAAAATGATAATAAACAATAACAAATGAAAATCTCAAATGATGGTTTAATTTAAGAAAACATAAAGTAATAGTCTGAATAAAAAGATTAAGTTAATCAATAAAATGAATCAAATACAACTTCAAATTAAATTGTTACTAGATCTCAACTCAAAGCTGTTCATAAGATTATGAGAACATTGAATCAAAAAGTAAATTATATTATTAAAAAAAAGCTTCATTAAGATGATATAAAAATTCAAGTTATTTGGGATGAAGTTTTAGCTTAATAATCTGATTTGGTACCTAATTTTGAGAAATTTATTTAATGCATTCAATTCTTGCATAATTTAGAAAAGGCACATTTTGATTAATAAAAATTGACTGCTTAATTATTGTGATATAAATTATATGACAAAATTACAAATTTATAATTAATTAAATATTGTTATTTCTCTTAAATTTCATAAACAATATTATTAATAATAATTTTAATATTAGCAATTTTACAATTTAAAGGCTTAAGTTTAAATTTATATAATAATAAAATATAGAAAAGACAGAAATATTTATTTATAAATTTCTCAATAATTATTTATAGATATTTATATATCTAATCAACTTGAAAAAACAGTTTTAAATTATAATAAATTAAGAATATACTTTAAACATTGTTAAAAAAGATTTGTTGATTCATTTGTAATGCATAAATATAATAAATAGACGATTAAAATTTCATTAAAATAATCAAACATCTTTTATACATACAATATGTAAGATTTTATTATTAAAATCATTTAGGATTAAAGAACATTAGCATTTTCTTAAATTATAGATAAGCAATTTTAAGGTAATATATACAATAATTTTTATCTTTAATCTATATTACAAAGATAATCAAAATATTATGATATTAATAAAATGTATTTTATTCATTCATTAATATTTCGCTATCAATTTTTCAATCACTTAGTGTCTCGTTATAAGTTTCTTTTTTTTCTTCTATAATTATTTATAATTGAGTTATTTCAGACATTCATTTGACAAAACAATGGTTTAAATAAATTGATAAATTTTAAATGCCTCAATTGATACATCTCGAACCTATTCTCCAATAATATCTTTAATTGGCTATAAAAGATGCAATTAACGATCACTAATTGATTCATAATCTATATTAGTTAATTTTTGATGAAATTATTGATGTTAAATTAATTTTTATGATTATGCCCATGATTTTTAACTCTCTTGATTAAAATCTAATAGGATCATTAAATATTGAAATATTGTTTCTACAATCATTGGAGGATTATGTAATGTCCTTAAGATTGCTATATCTTACATTTTTATTTATTTCACTTCATTAACACTTTTATCTATGGCTTATTTAACGATCTCCTCTTATTATGGAGAATTTGGATTATTTTAGACATATTCCTATATGTCATTTTCAATATTCTAAATTTAATATAATTAATTTTAAAATATGATTGGCAACAAATGTAAGACAATGTAATTGGTTCTTTTGCTTACTAATCTAAATTTTTATACAGTAATGAAATCAAGGAATATAAGTATTTAGTTTATCACTTCAGGTCTCACTTTATGAAATAAATCCGATTTAGGCTTATCAATAGAATTTTTATTTCGATAATTCACCTGAATTTCTTAAAATTATATAAAAAGGTCTTTAATGCATTATTAATTTTTTTTATTGTTTTCTGATAAATAGTGTAATTGACTTTTAAGTTCTTATAACATTAATAAAATATAATAAATATTTATAATACTTGTATTTCTAATTATTTTGAATGCTATTTAATTCATTCATCAAATAGTTTATTAATTAATTAATTTTCTGAAAGGGTTTGCATAATTTCGTATTCTATCAAAAATTCTATATTCTAATTTATTAAATATTTTATAGGTTGATTTAAAATAGTCATATTTAGTTCATATCCCTTCCATTTTTGAATAAAAAATAGGATTTAAAATTTGGTGATTTATTGATTCTTCAAGAAATTATTCAAACTTTTTCATCTATATAATAGTGCCATTATATTAGTTAATAATTATCAAATTTCCAATATATATATATAATATAATTATGATCTTAAGAATTATTATTTTGAAAATTAATTGGAATATTCTAAATAATTTTCATCTTCTTTTTCATAGTATATTGAGTTCATATATCATATGTCTAATCAGTTTAAGAAATATAATAGAAATTTCATTAAAAATATAGACCTCTTTTTTTGTCTTACAATAAAATACTACCATCATATATTTTTCATTATTTTATAAAGGTAAAGATTAGATTACTCAATTAAAATGCACTTTAGCTTGAATAAATTGATTTTTATCTCAATCTGAAATTTTGTGAATTAAAGGAATAGAAATTTAATAAGGTTTACATTCAATTTTTTAATGATTTTTTTATTTCAGATTATTCTCATCAACCTAAAGATTGTAAGATGTGAATGGATACCTCTAGGAGTATACTTGACAGCTGTCAAGAATTATAGTGGTGCAGATACAGATGAATTTATAACAATAGATAGAAAACTACCTTAATATATTAATTGTAATAGAGAAGGCAGTTATATCGTGATAAACACAACCTAAAGTGAAGTTTAACAAAAAAATCAATTCAATTTGAATTCATAGATGTTTTTTGTGACTTTTGACTTAATTTTTTTTTAACATTGGACAGATTAAGATTATGTAAATTATTCATTAGGATAAACTACATAAAGCTTTAATTATAATTCTAATTAAGTTCCACAATAATAGAGTTAATTTTGTGAAAATCAATTAGCCTAGTATTAAGCCTTTAATATGACAGTCAATACTACTTATGTGAATGGTTACCATAAGTTTAGTGCTTCAACAAGTACAGGAAGTGTTGCAATAAAAAATCTTATTATTTTAGGACTAAGATGTTCCCCAAATTGTAAAACTTGTTATGGTGAATCTTTCAATTAATGTTCATCATGTTCTAATGGCGATAGCAATATTAATGATTGCAAAATATAATGTACACCTGAAAAACCTTATTTCGTTAATAATTAAGGATGTTTTAAATAGTGTCAGATTGAGTAATCACTACATTTCAAAGGGTCATGTGTTACGTACCCAAGTAATACATTTTCATTATATAGTTACCTATTTTGTGAATCTAAATATAATCTCATATAAAACTACATCATAATATAGATGGTAATAAATTTATGATTAAGAAAACCTTTAATTCGAAACTTTAAATAACATAGCTTTCGAAAATTATTACATATATGGAATATTCAAATATAATTAAGGTTATTAGAGTGTTATAAATTTGACTAATAATTAAGGGTTATACTTGATTGGAATAAAAATAGAACTAATATTATTTAATAGAATGCCTACGATGAGTAGTATTTCTTTATTAATAAATGAAACATATTAGGCACATATTTATAATGATGGAAGTGAACTAAAATTCTATTAATTTAATCTTCAATACGAAAATAAAAGGAGTTATACATCTTATTCAAATATTGAATACAATGATAACTATTATTATACATTATATATGTATTCAAATGTTTCTAGTAATTTTATTATCAAATTACTTGGAAATTATCCTAAGTAACAGCAATCTATTTATCATATAGATCATCTAATGCTGGTTGGGGGATTAGAACAATTTAGATAACATCAGGATAATGTCCATAATATTGTTTATAATGTAAATCTTAGTTTCAGTGTTCAGTATGTCAATAAAACTATTTGATATCGAAATCTGGAACTTGTAGTACTTGTAATGGTATCTATTAATAAAAAATTAATAATACTCATTGTTAAGATCTTGATGATTAAACTCCATGTAAATCAATTTATACATTATTAGATTCTGAATACCTTGTGAAAGAATTCATAGATTTTTCCATAAACCCTGTAACATATCAATTATATACATTATTATATTAAAATGGAACTAATTTCCTAAAGGGTGAAGGAATATTTTATTCTATTTGGAAACAAAAATATAGAATATTTGGAGGTCCATTTATTTGGGCATAAGCAAAGTTTTAAAGAAAATATGAAATAACACGTCCTCATTATAGTATATCAATAATCTTTATAATAATATTTGGTCCAACTTTTCCTGAAAATGGATAATTTATTTTTTGCTTAGATAATTAAGTTTAATTTGAGATTACATCCATTGATCAAGAAATAGTAGTTGACTATTTATTTTTACATAATAATGATGCTTTAATTGTGGAGTGGGAATGTAAGGGTCCAGATAATGAACCAATTGAGGCATATTGTGGATTTTATTAATACTATCTAACTGTACATTATTGTAAACCTGGTTGTAATGGATAATGTACTAACTAAAATGATTGTTCAGAAAGTGTTGCTACTTAAACCTGTTAAGATGATTAATATTTAGATATCTATAAAAATGAATGTAGGTAATGTTAACCTAATTGTTAAAAATGTACTACATTATAAAATTGTCAAGAATGCAGAGATGGCTATACAGATCCTTCTTTAGGCTGTATTTGTGGTATAAATAAATTCGAAGATTATAATGGGTGCTAAGATTGTTCTTAAGATTGCAATTAATGCATAAATTTATAATTCTGTTTAGAATGTAAAACAGGTACTTTTAAAGTTCTAATGAATAATTAATGTGTTTGTTAAGAAGGTTACTTTAATGATTCATCCATATGTAGTATATGCAAAGAAAATTGTAAAAAATGTACAAGTTTATCAGATTGTAGTGAATGTTTTGAAGGATATTAAAAATCATCTTCTGAAGAATGTCAATTGGATTCATAATTTTATTATTCTAGTGATCTTTAAAAGTTATTTAGTTGTGCTACTTTTAATCATATTTGTAATCCTTGTTAATCTAATGTTGATAATTGTACTTGTGGCGATTTAATAATATATGGTAATGAAGATTGTGATGATGGCAATGAAATAATGTATGATGGTTGTTACAATTGTTAATTTTAATGTTAATAATAGTGTACGAAGTGTATAAATGGTAAATGTTTTGAATGTGCGATATTGGGATGGTATTTGGATACCATTACATAAACTTGTAAAGAATAGTGTTATGATAAATTTAAAGTTGGAAATGAATAATGTGATGATGCTATTAATAGTTCTAATTGTAAAGATTGTAAATATTTTTGTAAACCCGATTGCTAATAATGCAATTTTAATAATGGTACATGTTCAATTTGCAGAGAAGGATTACTTGCTAAAGACAATTATTGTTATAATGTATGTGGAGATAGTATAATTGTATCAGCTCCAGATGTTAAAGTAATTGAAGAATGTGATGATGGTAATAAAGTGGAATTTGATGGTTGTAATAATAAATGTTAATTTTAATGTTAAATAAATACTATTTGTGCAATTTGTTAGGATCGTTAATGCTAATATTGCTAATATGGCTATTTCCTTAATAAAATGATGAACAAATGTGATTGTGGCTTATCTTGTCTTACTTGTGATTATTCTGAGGGATTAGGATGTATAGAATGCTAATATGGTTATGAATTAAGGAATTAAATTTGTTATCCAATTTGTGGTGACTCTTACATTACTTTTCATGAAGAATGTGATGACGGTAATATGAATATTGAGGATGGATGTCATTAGTGTTTATATACATGTGAATAAACTTGTCAATTTTGTTTATTCGGAGTTTGTTAAGAATGCTATGAAGATTATTAATTAGAAAATGAAAGATGTATATTAATAATTAATTCGTATTTGGATAATAGTGATAGAGGGAGTAAATTTCAAAATAGTATGCCTCAATTATTTTATTAGGAATATTAAGATTATTATGTTATTGAATAATTCAATGATTTTATCTAGAAGGATACTTATTATCTTGATTAATTGTATATGTTATATAGAATAAGAATTGATGTTCAAAAATATTATATTAATAGAATTGATATAATAATAAATGATAATCATATTGAAAAAGATGAACTAGTTTGTCCAATAAATTGTTCAGATTGTATCCATGGTTCTTGTATCTCTTGCACATTAGGATACAATTTAGATTTAGTTAATAATTTATGTAATGCTGTTTGCGGTGATCAATATATAACAATTGAAGAATTATGTGATGATGGAAATAACATTATTTAAGATGGTTGTTTCTAATGTAAATATCAATGTTAAGATGAGTGTACAAATTGTCATTATGGTAAATGTAAAGAATGCATTCAATCTTACTATTATGATATCAAGAAAGAAAGATGTGTAGAAAGGACAATCTGTATAGAATCATAAGGATATTATTATGATGATAAATACAATATTTGTTATTCAAAATGTGGAGATAATATTAAAGCAGGAAAAGAACAATGTGATGATGGTAATGATATTCCTTATGATGGATGTTATTAATGTAAATATCAATGTGAATAATTATGTGAGATTTGTTAATAAGGTAGATGTGTAAATTGTTAAATTGGTTATAAATTATCAATACAAAATTCTAATTGTGTAAATGATTGTGGGGATGGATTAATAAAGGATATTGAATAATGTGATGATGCCAATTCTATAGTAAGAGATGGATGTACTAATTGTCTTATTGATCCTGGATATAATTGTTTAACATTAAATAATAAAAGTTATTGTTACACTTGTAAATCTAATTGTATTTAATGTGAGTATATTAATGGTCAAATAAATTGTATAAATTGTTAAAAAGGATATTTCTTAACAAG